AAGCAGAATTTTACTTCAAATTTTCAATGCGAGCCCCATCGATACGTTACTTATCGTACCAGGCAAAGCAAGCATGGCATCAGTGGTGCGTCTTGTCTTGCCGGCTTCCAGGCCACCTCGCTCAATTGGGGACCGTCGACCAACCTCATACGACATGGCGCCTTCGCAATTGGAAGACTGGCATCCCTGGCGGAGAGGAGAAGACCCTCGTAAAGATCTGAGGGGACCAGTCTCAAATCCTTGGAAGTGATGAATGAGGGGACTTGAGATGTAATGGCAGAATGAACCGACATCGCTCAGAGAAAAACATTTGATCCTTCATCCACAGACGGGTAGGTCATCCATGTCTTCAAGTGCTGCTATGCACACTCACTACTATGGAGCAGACTCTTCACTTGTTGATGCATGCCCCATCCTTGTCGACCCCAAATGGATGCGATGCGCGACCTTGCACCCTGAACCAACAGTGTGTCAGTCCCTGATCGTCGACCTTGAAGCGTTGTCTCTCGGACGGAAAAACCACACCCCGAAGCCAGCTCGGCAAGTCGGCCTTGACTTGGAATCTGGATGCGCTTCGGCTGCCAACTGCCGATGTGACGCTCCCGTTGGATGCCACTCACTGCTTGGATTGTCCAGAGTCCGGTGTCGCAAAGAGATGGTTGTAAATCACAGGTTTGTCGAGTTATTATGATGTGATTATTCAAATGATGCGTCCGAACTGCGCACCATCCAACGTCTTGCTCTTGTCGACGGCTCTGATTGAGTGCCAAGGTAGTGCGTGACACGGACTCACCTTACCCATGCCACCAAACGAAACCATTGCCATGGTTCAGTTAGAATGTGCTCTTCCAATCGACTAGTGTCGTCGTTTGAGGCCCGGCTAGTGAGAGGCCAAGGAGGTGGTTCACCATGGAAACAGAAAACGGCCCTGAAAAAAAGAAAAAAAAAACACGTGAAGGCGCAGCTGCCCCGCGATTCAAACGGAAGCAACTGCTGGGCAGCAACTGAGCAACCAAAGCGCGCCTGCCCATTCACAAAAAGCCCACTTTTTGTTTCTCCCCCCACCATCACCATCAATCTATCCCGCTTCTCTCCCCGCCTACCTTCAACCTCCTCCATACCCTCCATACCTTGTCTTCTTCTGTTGCCGCTGTGTTGAGCATCTGCCGCAATCATGGAGGACCAGCTGGTTCAGCTCCTTGCCAACACCCAGCTGTCTGAGCAGGGTCCCAGACAGCAGGCCGAGATCGAGCTCAAGCGCGCCCGCTCCAATCCCGCCTTTCCCCTGTCCCTCGCCAACATCGCCTCCCACACCTCGATCGATACAAGCATTCGCCAATCTGCCCTTAGTAATTTGCGGATTTTCATCGAGAAGAACTGGAGCGACGATGAGGCCGATGACGAGCCGGCACTCCCTATCGCTGATGACGTCCGGGTCCAGTTGAAGCAGGTCCTGCTCGACCTTTGCTTGAGTCCTGAGGGTGACCGCAAAGTTAAGCTCGCTGCGAGGTTTGTGCCTTTGCCTGGCTCTCTGTACACTCTCAGAGTACTGACTAGACTCTTGCAGTTACGCCGCAGGCAAGATTGCCGTGCACGACTTCCCCGAACAGTGGCCCAACCTCCTTCCCACTATCCTCGCTGTTATCCCCACGGGTACCGATGCCCAGCTCCACGGTGCATTGAGAGTCCTGAGTGACCTCATCGACGAGAGCCTCAGCGAAGACCAGTTTTTCTCAATGGCTCGTGACATCACCAAGGTCCTGACTCAGGTCGCTCTCGACGAAAACCGAAAGCCCATGCTTCGAGCCCTTGCTATTTCTACTTTCCGAGGATGCTTCGACCTTATGAACATGATCAAGGAGGACCACGCCAAGGAGGTCAAGGCATTCGCTGACGAGCTTCTGACCGAGTGGAACCCCTTTTTCATTACCGTTCTCGCCAGCCGCCTGCCCGAGGCCGACCTGACCCAGGGCTCTCAACCTGACAGCTGGAACAGCATCATTGCGCTCAAGCTTCAAGTTGTCAAGACCCTGCTGAGAATCCGGCGCGTTTTCCCCAACCTCCTTCTTCCCCAGTGCACCACCTTCTTCCGCGCTGTTTGGGAGGAGCTTACTCTGATGCAAGTACCCCACGAGCAGCTTTATATCAACCAGGATGCACAGGGACGACTGGAGGACTCGGATAGTCTCCCCTACACTCTGGACTTCCTCGTCCTGGAAGAGTTGGATTTCCTGAACCAGTGCTTCAGAGCTCCTCCCGTCCAGGCTGAGCTTGACGGCCAGCTCCAAGGCCACGCTTCGGCCCACGAGGTGCCTTGGATGATGGAGATTATGAAGATGCTCGTTGGTTACTCGCGTGTCACTCGGGAAGAGGAGGATCTATGGGATATTGACTGCTCCCTGTACCTTGCCGAGGAGACATCTGTCACTGCCAACTACACTGCACGAACTGCCGCTGGCGATCTCCTTATCAAGATGGGAGAGTGGTTTGACCAGAAGACGATTGATGGTCTCTTCGGCTACACCAAGACTCTGTTTACCGGCGAAGGCTCATGGCGCAGCCAGGAGGCGGCTCTCTATCTGTTTGTCATGTTGGCTAGCGACTTCCATGACATGCAGAAGCCTATTTCTAACCAGGTCGCTCATGCATACTTGGAGTTGGTAAACTATGCCATCAACAGACCCCAGGAACCTCTCCTCGGTGCTCGAGGATATTTGGTCGCTGGCGTCCTCTGCAAGTTTTTCGAGACCCCCGTGGAGCTCTTGGATCGCATCATCACTTGCATCACCCGCGAGGAGTCCGAGGTTGTTCAGGTCGCCTGTGTCAAGGCTGCTGAAGGCCTTACTAGAGCCGGACGCGTCACTCCCGACAGACAGATTCCTATCATCAACTCTATCCAGACCTACATGAACAACAAGGATCCTAGCGACATGGAGGATGCGGATGAGCTTTTGTACACACTCGCCGAGGCTCTTCGTGCCGCTATCAAGATTGACACGCGCATCGCCCTCTCTAACGATGTGCAGTCGGTCGACCTCCTTTTCAGACTCGCTCAGTTGGGAGCTAGCAACTTCCAGGTTACCATGATTGTCTCTGAGGCGTTTGAGGAGATTGTTAGCACTCTTTCCAACCCCGAGTCCTACGCAGCTCTGTGCAGCAAGATCCTGCCTACCCTTACCGGAGCCTTTGATGTTGCTAACCTTACTGAGGATAACCCTCTGGTTACGGTAAGATATTGCCCTCTTACCATGGCCCATCAAAACTAATTCCCCATAGGTCGCTGTCGAGTTGCTGGCTGTCTTGGCTGAGCATGGATCTGAGCCTCTCCCCCCTGGCTTCGTCGCTGCTACGTTCCCCAAGCTGAACCGCCTTCTGATGGAGTCCACGGAAGGCGAGGTTCTTCGACCTGGTTGTGAGACCGTCAAGTGGGCCCTGCAGCACGATCATCAGCAGGTTTTCAACTGGCAGGATGGTAATGGCCGTTCTGGCCTCGAAGTCTGCCTGCACATCATTGACCGACTTCTTGGTTCTTCGATTGAGGATAACTCTGCTTCTGAGGTTGGTGGCTTGGCTGCCGAGCTGGTCGAGAAGGCTGGTCAAGAGCGCCTTGGACCATTCCTCCCTCAGCTCCTCCAGGCTGTTGCCAACCGACTTGCTACGGCCGAAGCTGCAGCATTCATCCAGTCTCTTATCCTCGTCTTTGCCCGCCTGACCCTCTCCGGTGCCAGCGACGTTGTTGACTTCCTGAGCCAGATCCAGATTAATGGTGAAAGCGGTCTGCAGGTTGTCCTCGCCAAGTGGCTCGAGAACTCGGTCAACTTTGCTGGATACGACGAGATTCGACAAAAGTATGTTTTACTCGATCGAATCGCTGGCTTTTGCTGACAGCTTTAGTGTGATTGCCCTGTCAAAGCTCTACTCCCTGAACGATGCCCGTCTGGCGCAGACCAATGTCAAGGGCGACTTGATTGTCAATGCCAACGACGGTCTTATCAAGACGCGTTCGCGCGCTAAGCAGAGTATGTACTCATCGACTCGAGACTTTTCCACTGCCTCCATTCTAGATACTCTCTACCTCCAATACATGGAAGCTCAAGACGCTAATCAACCGCCACCGTCAGCAGACCCTGATCAGTACACGATTATTCCTGCTTCGCTCAAGATTATCAAGGTTCTCATTGAGGAGCTTATTTCTGCATCTGGCCAGCGGGCTGCGTCAAATGCGGCAGCGGCGGCTATGGCTGCTGCTAGATATGATGATGAGTTGAGCGATGACGAGGGCTGGGAGGATGATGATGGTACACTCGACCTGAGCCTCGGCACCACCAAGGCCGAACTCATGTCGTTCAGTGAGGTTGGCCAGCGACAGCGAGATGACGAGACCCAGGCTTACCTGGCCGAATTCTTCCTCCGCTGTGGCCGGGAGAACACTGCCAACTTCCAGGATTGGTACAACATGCTCTCGGAGGATGAGAAGACGAAGCTGAACGAGGTGGCGGCAGGGCATTAGGAGGTAACTGCCCATGAGGCGCCGAGAAAGCTGCCAAAGCCGGCCTGGAAGCCTCGGGACATCTCTCGAATGCGGGCGCTGCTGAAGAACCTGGATCCCTGAGGTGTCTGGCTGATAAGCAACCAAAATGGACATGAAAAGACTTATGGTATGAGAACAATACGCCATCTTCGTTACGACAACGAATAGTAGATAGATGCGTACAGACAGGACTGATGCATAATCATGTGTTGGCCTGGTTTATGAATGGACGCAAATTGTAGATAGACTTAGAAGAACCTGTGGGCGGCCTATTGATCGAGCGAGTTGGGGGCACCTGTCGAGGCCCAGAGACATACTTGTGACGAAGGAAACGCCTATACACGAGGCAGAAGAAGCAATGAAATGAAGTCATGATTAATTGATTGTCATTCTGTTCGTGATCTCGTTAACACAATCGGTGTCGACTAACTATTCTAATCGTACAGACTTTTCCTTGGCATGGGACTGATTAGATGATATCTCCTCCACCAAATCCTCCACCGAAGCCACCACCGTATGGATTGTTTCCTCTACCTCCAGGGCCAGGGAATCTTGGGTTGCCACCGGGACCAGTGGGATCCCATCGCGCACCAGGTGGTGCTTGAGGATCGTAGCCGCCAGAGCCATCGCCTCCATAGCCACCAAAAAGAGGATCATCAAAGGTTGGATGCATGCCTGAACCGCCACCTGGGCGGGGTAGTCCTCCACCGATAAAAGACCCACGAAGAGGATCATGAGGGCCCAGACCAGGTGGGTTCAGATCATCGTGGCCGATGTTGTACGGCGAGCGTCCAGGCACGGCGAGAGGGTTGCGCCGGGGTCGGTTAACCTCATATTCGTCCTCAAAGCCCGGGGGCGGGAAGTCGGCGACAGGGCGGGGCTCCATGCGGGCCATCTCCGGGAGCGGGTTGGCTGGCGGAGGACGCACGTCCATATTCGGCGCGGGGTCGCCCCGGAACGGCCGGTTGGGGTCTCGGGCCTCTTGGGCGCGTCGCTCGGAGCGGGCGTTGGCTTCTGCCTCGGCTGTCTCGACGTAGCCTTCGCTCTGGAGTTTTGGGATGAGCTTTTGGACGATGTTTACTTTGAGATCGTGGAGGATGTCTGGAGAGTGTTAGTTGGTTCATGGCTTGGGGAAGATGGGAACATACCGACGATGGCCTGCTCAGAGACAAACACCCCACGAAGCTTCTCCGCAAGGTCACTCCGATCCTCCTCGCCGTCATTTACAGTAATACGCACAGGGAGACCACTAGACTGCACAACGTCTCTAACGCTGCGCTCAAAGCGGTAGATGTGCTCGTCCCCAACAGCCAAGCCCCGGATCTCGACCTTGCCGCCCATGCGATCGACGCGGACGACAAACTTCATAGAAGACTGCTTGTGAGTGTACACGAAGCTCAGGGAGCCAAAGCCCGAGTTCCATTGTTGTGGGAGTCGGGGGGCGAGGGACTCGCATTCAGCTTGAACTCTTGTGTTAGGGGTTGGCTTTGATAGGTTGGAGGAAGGAGGGCTTACGTAGTTTCTTGTCTTCGTCGAAGCCGTGGAGCTTGAAGCCGAGGGCGGCGAGGTATGCATGGATGAGAAGTGCAATAGCTTCATAGGACGATGCAAGATCAGAAGAATCATCTCCGGTAGGGTGTGTAGGCAAGGCCTCCGCCATGCCGGCCAGGATGGACCCGACGCTTAGTGGTTCGGCCATGGTTGGACGTCTGTGTGTATGTGTGTGCTTGGTTGGTTGAGTAGATCGCTGTTGGAAGTGGCTTGAGCGGTAGTGGTGGGACCTCGTTTAGTTGGTGGAGCTTTGCAGGTGTTTTATAATGTTTGGTTGAGAGAGGAGAAGCTTGGGATGGGCTGCGTCATGTGGTTCGCTGCCTCAGCCCTATATGTGGATCCTTCCCTTTGGGCTGTGTCGCGGGGCGGGCAGTGACGATGAGGTTTTTGATGGGGTGTTGGGCAATTGTTGCCTGGATTGGGCTTTCAAGGCAGCTACGTGACTTGATGTTGGGACCCAATGGATAGCAAGGGTTATTAATGCTTATGCCGAGAGTCGGGCCGCTTGTTGGTGAGTTTCTGCATCTTGGAGGTTTCATGGCCATCTGCGAGAGATCATGACCACCATCACGTGACATCGCGTTACACTCAACGCGTCCCATCACGTCTCCCCAAACCACCAACCATCATCATCACGAATCAAAATGTCGACGACAAATCCCGGCCAGTCGATCCCCTCCTCCCAAGCGGCCAATCTCCTCTCCTCCTTCACAACATTTCTCACCCTAACCCTCCACACCCTTCTATACCACCGAGCCCTCTACCCACCAGCAACCTTTCTCACCGCCCGTGCCCTCAACCTCCCCGTCCACCAATCCCGTCACCCAGGTCTCTGCACCTGGATAAACGACTCTGTAGCCGCAGTATCAGCCCAGCTAAGAAAAGGCACCGTCAGGCGTATAGCAATCACAATGCACGCCGCAAAATCGTTTGACGTGCTGGAGCGTTGGGTCTTTGACGTAGAGGCCTTTCCTGCTTGGGGTGACGCAGGGATGGAGGAGGAGCAAGAAGAGCAGGCATTTCTTGCTGCTGGTGTCGAGATGGAGGAGGATGATGAGAGTGTGAATTGGACGGATGTGAATGAGGCGTTGAGGGGGGCACTTCGTCGTGTTGCTCATGCGGCTGAGATGATGCCTCCTCTTCCAGCGGGGAGCACGTTTACACTTGCTGTTGAGTTGCGTGATGAGGCAGCTGCCCCTATAGGTGTAAGTATATTCTGCATATCATGTATACTGGCTGATTTTATTACAGCACCCACAACATTGGATCCCTTCTCAGCCCAATCTTCAACCGCCAACCGAGACGTCACTTAACCAGGGCTCTTCACTGAGGGGCCAAAACACAACACCGATACGTTCAGTACAAGCTGGTCCCCTATTCTTTGAATGCTGGATAGAGCAAAACGAAGCTTCTTCATGAAACTTCAAAAACCTCACAAGATACCCAAATATATCGTCATCATGACACTTCGTATTCTCTAGTCCTCTCGCATAACATGGCATCAAACCATTACCAGGTCCAGATCCCAGACCAGACCCGGCCCTGCTCGTTACTCCGCCAGTCCTAGAGCCCTCCGCATAATATACAGCCCTTCCGGCAAGACCTGACAAACTCCCCGCCTCGTAATCGCAAAGATCCTTTTCAAACGCCCAAACAGCCTCCAAGTTAGCCCCCCAGAGGACAGCATCGCCTACTCCGTCGTCCCCTTCAACGCTGCGCGTAGGCTCACCATCTCGCGCTTCAGTCGCGCGTTCTCCTTCTTCATTCGTGCCGTCTCCTCGCTCTGGTCTCGCAACCGTGCCATCAGGTCTTCCTTTTCCTCTTTGCCCTTGCCTTTGAGCGCCTTGACAATTTTGCCAAGCTCTCCGTTGAACTTTTCGTATAGTAATTCGTTCTCCGCTACTGCTTCCTTGTATAGTTGATCGATGGCCCGCACCTTGGCCTCGGCTGCCTTGACCGTGGTTTCCATGTCGTGCTGGATCGCATCGTGCTTCTCCTGTAGTTCCTGAACCGCCATGGGGATGCGGTCTTCAAGCTGTCTCACGGCAGCACCCAATCGTCGCATATCAACAGAGTGTGAGCCTGGGGGCCTTGTGCTATTAACGCGGGCCATCTCTTCTCCAATCTTGGATAGCTCTGACTTGAGAGATGCATCCACCTCATCGACCGCCTGCTTCTCAGTGTTGAGACGTTCTCGGAGCTTCTGCGGAGATTGTAGACGAAGTCTTTGTGTTCCTGGTCTTGATGGGCTGAAGCTCTGACGACGAGGTGGCGACTCAGATCCTGGAGGTGCTGATCGATATGGGCGCAATGTCGGGATGTTGGTTGATGATAGTGTCCTGGAATGTCTATGACCCTTTGTCGGCGATCTTGACTTGTTTGGCTCTTCCAGGGGTTCTGGTGGTGGACTCTGTGGGAAGGGATCTCCGAGGTTCTCCTTTTGCCTCGAAGGCCGCATCGTCTGAGACACACGGGGACTCATTGGTATTCTAGACGGAGTCGTCGCCTTGGGGCTCGCATTGACCTTCTCCGACGTCTCCTTTGCATCTTGTAGTGGCTGAGGCTCATCGTCGTCAAGTGTTGCCGCTGCCATGAGACTCTTGAGATCCGACAGTGAGCTGCGCCGCTTCTTTCTTGGCGATCGCGGTGGTGGCCGCTCAGTTTCTGGTTCTCCAATCGTCTCCAACGTTCGGTGTGAGCTGCCAGGTCTCTGCACTTCGTCAAACGCCCCTGCTATGGGCGGACGGTTATCCTTGGAGCCAGGTCTCCGCTGAAGTTTCTTGGGTAGTGTATTGTCATCGATGGACCTTGAACGGCCGAGCGATGCTTTGGATAGGCTGGCCGGTTCACCAGTGGCGGGGTTCCGGTGTTTGCTGAGCGTCCGCCAGACTGAAGACCGGTCATCCTTGCTATTCTGTCGTAACAGAGTGTCGAATCCAAACTTGCGCCGTAGTGATGATGTGTTGGAGACCAAAGAGGGTGTGTATGCCTTTCCACGGATTGCAGAATTGATCGACTCATATGCCGTGGTATCAAGATTGAAGCTGTGGTTCAAGCCGGGCTCCTCAAAGATGCGATCACAGTCCTCCACGAGGCGATCCAGCAGGTTGATGTAATTCGGTGCCGTCCCATCATACACAAGCAACTCGGCAAATGCAAGTGTCAGGGCACCCCTATCACCATCATTGCCGCACCCGTCCAGCAGATCGGCCAACAGCTTGATAAGGGCAGTGAAAGCGCGGCGGTTTTGTGGTGCCATGTCCCCAAACAAAAAGTTGACAAAGTCGGCAAAGTCTCCAGGGACTCTCTTGTTCACACGCGCCTGAAGGGTGTCAAGAGACTGCATCGACATGACTGGGCCCATTTGCTCAGACCAAGCGATGCGCAAGAACTTCTCAAAGGCCACAAATATGACTTCTGTGCTCAGATCTGACACCGAGTCGAAATCAAAGGGACTCTCGATGAGTTTGTTGTAGAAATCATTGACCGAGAGTTCATCAACCATGGAGCGGTTCAACAATGTGCGACCAACGATAAGACCCTTGCGGGATTGGAAAGCAGCGACATATCCTGTGAATGTTTGCTCCAACCGCACCAATGGGTTCTCGGGACGGTTTTCCTCTTGAGACACACTGTCCTTGCCCCCCTTTATGGAGCTCACCACAGATGCTTGGCTGTTGTTGCGGTGGATAGATGGCACCTGCTTGTGCTTGGACCCGATGCTTGCCGTATCAGAAACATGAGCAGAGCTGCCGGACCAAAAGCTGGAGAGAAGTTTGACTGGGGATGTACCCAAGAATGATCTCGTCTTCTCAGCCCTGGTCCAAAGAGAAAGCCCATGTAATGTTTTGGAGTAGTACGAAACGAGAGGCGCGGTTAGTTGCATGTTGGAGACACTGTGCTGTGTGCTCAATAGTTGGATGACTGGGATAAATTAGTGTACGTTCTCTTTGATTCACGTCAGTGAAAATACTTACTTCGTCGTGACATAGTGGGCAGGAAATCCTCCAGGAACACATCATCCTGGAACTGTCTCCCGTTCAATCCAACAGTGAGCATCGAGACTCGCTTCATGTCGTTGGTCGAAACGTTGACTACAATCTCGACGCCATAATGGCCCACTGGTGCTCCTTTAGTGCCCCTGTCATGGTCAACAACCACTCGGATCGGGGCAGGCTCCTTGCGGCCCTCGATCAGTTGGTCGGCACCCTCTTGGAAGATGGCTGCGTGTAGGCCTAGGTTGCTATCTGGCATACGCGCAGACCGAAGTGTCCATGTAGGATCTTCACGCTCCTTCTCCGAGAAGCGTGCCTCGACTCGGGCTTTGACCACATCCTCACCCCATTTGGCGGCCCTGGTCTCGTACAGCTCCTGCAGGAGGAAGCATCGTGACGTGACCTCACTGCTGATCTTATGCTCGCCAGGGTGAACTCCCCTCATCTCTGATGTTGAAGTCATCCAGAAAAGCGTCCCATCTGCTGCCTCGGTGAATTTGACCTCTGACAGTTCGTGCCAGCCTGTGAAGACGAATTCATAGGTTGCTGGACCGCCTGCTGCATTGGTCATGGAAATGAGCAAGCCAGCTGCTGATGGCTTTTCGATCTCGCGCAAAAGGTCACGACCAGTCATGGTACCACTCATCTTCTTGAGAATGACCACACAATCTGAGAAGAGGAGGAAGACACCAGACTTGTCTGACTGGTTCATCATGGGCTGGAAGGGAGGTGCCAACTCGACAAAATCGGCCGCCACAATGAGGCGCCCCTGGGGCTCAAGATCCGCTGGCCAGGCTTCAACCATATTTCGAAGTCGACTGGCAACATGCGGCTTATCCGGTAGGGGTTCGTCCATGGAGCAGATGTTTGTGATGATGTCTCGCGCCTTTAGCATGGGTTGCAGAGCAGGATGTGTTATGGGAATGCATCCAACGATCTGGTCTATCAGCAAGCTGTATCGGGGTAGTCGTTGTACAGGCTCGATCAGGATAGAGCGAATCGTCTGCTCACCAGCCTGAGCAACCCGTTGCTTGAAGCTCGACTGCTGGTCGAGAAAAGAGTTGAGCAGCGAGGGAAAGTGCTGGCTGGCCTTGATATAATCCTGGTAGCACTCGGTAAACCTGGGAAACCATTCCAGAAACAACCTCGCAACCGCCAGGGCACCACTGGGGTCCCTTGTGCGGCCAAGCCTCGAACCCGTGAAGCTTGTGCCAGGTGTCTCCATATCCCGTGTGGCCTCCTCTTCTGTTTCGTCCATGATTCGCCGCATCTCCTCCATGAAAGCTGAATTGACCTGCAGAATTCCATCCGCCGATTTTGGAAATAATCTCTCCAGTTCTTCTTCGGAGGGGCTGAGACTACCAGGAGGCCGTGCCGCGGCGCTCTCTCGGAAGTCAGCAGCGACATGTCTGACCAACTCCCTCACCTTGGCAACATAGCGCTCTTCTGTGTGTACCAACTCGGCCAGCTTCATGCGCAATTCCACCTTTTGGTCCTTGGAGAAGGATTTGCTGCGGTTCAGTGCAGATGGCTTGGAGGGTGCCCTCCGCAAACGACTAGTCGGCAGAAAGACAGGGTCTCCAAACAACTTCACCAGAGGAGTGTATCCACCGTATTGCCGCAGAGTTGGGTCGAGAATGTCGTCTTCATCATCGGGAACGTCTTCGAGATCGTCGGGCTGGAGTGGAACGATAGCTCCGGGCGGGAGCACGAGGTCGAGGTCGAGGTTGCTGATGTGTTGGGTCTGTAGGGCATCCTGTAGGGTTTCAATGATGTCGGCTGTGTGGTCACTCGCGACCATATCCTTGACAATATCGGCGGCATGTTGCTCGCTGAACAGAGCGGGTGCGCTGCCCGGACGCCGGCCCCTCGTGGGGTAGAGGTTCTTTAGATATGCCTTGACGCATTCCGGCAACTCGGTGAAGTACTTGAACAGGCCAAAAGCGAGGGCACGGTAGACCTCGTCGCCCTGAAACTCGCGGGGCAGGAAGTGGACGACGCTATAGAATGCCGAGTTGGGCGAGATGGTGATGCGAGGAAAACAGTGAAAGCCGGCCGGTGTAAAGACATGGACTTGGACACGGGAGCTGTTGAGGGTATAGTTGGCGGTGGTCGAGGGGCCGTGGAAGATGAGGACAGGGAGATGGCCTAGCAAGGGGTCGACGGCTTGATAAAGAGTGACATGATCAGGCGAGAGGGCCAGATCGTCGGTAACGCGAACCATGGCGACGGCAACGGCGGCGTCTTGTCGTCACAATGGGTCGGGAGTTAGGCGACCCTCGCTCGAAGGGTGCGTGTGTGTTGACGTTGACGGGCGGTCTCGAGGTCGGGCCGCAGGAGGGATTGAATTCGAGTCGGAACAAGAGCAGCCGAAGCGAGAGAGTAAAAGGAAAGGAAGGAAAGAGAAGAGAGCGCAAACGAAAACGAGACCTCGCCTCCTCGTCACGCACACGCACGCTCGTCAGAATCAGACTCGAGCATGGGGTTGGGTTTTGTGTGGTTCGTTCGTGGGGAGGAAGAGCGAGGCCGGGGATCAACAGATGAGTAAAGTAAAGGCTGAGGGGAGCGGAAAGCGGGCGGAGGAGAGTGGGCCGGGGCCTTGTCTTGTGTCGCATCCAGAGTAAACATTGATGCGTCACACAGATTAATGTTGCGTTGCACTCACTCAAACCATCAACAAATACACGTGATGGAGAATTAAATGTAAATAAAGGATAGAGAGGTTTTTCTTGTTTTCGGCCGAGACAAATGGTTTTAACCTGCACTCATTCTGATACAATTTCGAGACTTGAAGCAACCTCCCTCCGTTGGCCCAGACGACAAGGAAGGGAATCTTACATCCCCACCTCCACTGAAAGCAAGCAACAAACAATGGATTCAGTGGGCGGTCAGAAATTTTGATGGGGTCTGGTCCCTGCGCGGGCGGCGTCGGTCGTCAGCGGGAACTCCCTTCCCTTCCAGCGCCTGACGAGGGCTGAATCTTAGGTTGGTGCGTCGTCCCCCCGCCCGCTCCCAGCCCCGGCACTAAAATTCCATCCATGCCACGCCCTGCATCCATCTTATCTCGACGCGTTCAGTTTATTCATGCATTGGACATCACGCGTTCAGCCACTTTATTCTCATCAATGACTGAAACCTGATTTTATAATTATGCATGATGTTTAAAAATGAGCATCATGTGCTTCCTTTGCAATCTATGTTCTGGGACTCTTGGTAGCTTTGAAGACATCACGGATAGACTATCACAGATACCAAGGGTTAATACTATTATGCCGAGTTTTATATCAGTCTCGTGAAAGATGATCATAGAAACTAACACATATGGCTAGCAAGAAAGATGATGGAGAGTGCATGTACACAAACGTAGGTACTGACTGAGACGCATCTAGATGGCTCTCTGATTTACCATTAAGGCCATATCGACAAGTCAGAATGGAAGAGAATCATGCCAATGCTGAGACATGGTGAAAAATGCATCATGAAACAAATTCATCAACAACACTTTGTTTCTTGCTCGTTGTTATCCCATCCATGTTCACTGTCCCTCACACTATGATCTCCCCTTACCCACCACGTTGCTAATAATAGCCCCTCACTCTTGGCGAGCTTCGCGCTTTCACGTGGAACGAACCCCACGTCGCGTCTGCCGACGTCACTTCAACTCCAAAATCCACCATCTCAAGTATAACACTCAGCTCTAGAGCTCTAGCTCACATCAAACTCTCCTTGTACACAAGGCTGTCCAAAAAACACATCACCATGTCTAGCCAATCTCGTGGGATCACCATTCAACACACACCCTCGGAGACAAACTACCGTCTCATCGAGCTACCCCCAGAGCTCCAGTCCCTCCTCGAATCCGACTCTGCTCCCGTGTAAGTAGACCTACAAACTTCTCACTTCATCTGCCGTTCCCAATAATCTATGCTAATGCTTTCAAGCCTGACACTGGAATCATCCGACACTTCTGCTCTTCTCAAAACCCCCTCCAAGACATATGCTCTGCGCCAAAAGAACACATCCAATGCCTTCATGCTTCTCTCCCCCACACCTTCGACCCCAGAGAACCCAGAGCAGGGCATTTCTATAGTATCCACCATTCGAGAAACTGTAGAGCTGGAAGTAGTTCCAGATAAATCCGCCGGAACTTCAGGCGGAGCGACCAAGAGCCTAGGGGGGGCCAAGGGAAAGTGGCATGAACGATTTGGGAGAAACAGGTAGCAGACGGCTAACTTGAGACCTGTACGATGGCATTCACGAGAGATTGGAGATAGCATGGCGTTGGGGTCAAAAAGTGATTAACTAGCAAAACTCTTACATGCGCATCGCCGGCGCCCTTTTCCCGAAATCAACCTGTCCACACCTTTTGTCCATTTTCTGTGATGGGGACAAATGAAGGCATCTGAAAGAAGTGAACTTGTTACTGCACCTCTAACGCCGTTTCCCTGGCGTGCGAATCCCTTCCGATGACTGAATGTGCCACGCTGCCTCTGTGCACCTTGAGCTTGAGAGAGCGTAAACGAGCGATATGAGAAAACAAGACGAAGAAAGAAAGGAAAAAGAAAGAAGAAGAAAAAAACCCTTTCATGTCTAAGATAAACCGAGATTTATCAACGACAACAGGAATTCAGTGTTGACTTCTTACTGGGGATCCTGTCCCATGTTGAAGTTGAGAAGGGGGGGCATGTTGCTCATAGCCTTGACCGTTCTTTTCAGCTTGTCCCAGAGTCCCTGCGAGAGGTTTCTCTGGTTGTGTTACTGCTGCTGGTCATCCTTCTCCACGGCGGCCTCCTTTCTGGCACGGTCAATTGCGTTGACTTGTTCCGCGCTTAGGAACTTTGAGCTCTCTCCGACAGAGAAGCTGGCACTGCAATCCTCTGTGGAAATGCAACGGAGTTCGTACTTGGACTGAGCAATCTGGCTGTCGGCATTGGTGGCGCAGCACTTGGGGCAAAACAGCTGAACACAACTCGTCAGACGCGGGTGATGGAGGCCAAAGGGACTGCGACTTACATGGGGTTGATCTCCATTACAATGGATAAGCTGGATCATGGGGTACTCGGTGAAGCATCCCTCGCACTCGGAAGCTTGGCCGCTTGCCATGGCTTGTTGAAGGCCAATGGCGTCTCGGCGCCGCATACGAAGAAAAGATAGTCTCAGACTCTGCTGGTTTCTCAAGAGCCTGCACAAGGCCAATTCTGTGATTAGGTGGCCCTCAGTACGATCTTGGGTCGACCCCAAAGTGACAAAAATGTTGTCATCCTCGTACCGCTTGTCTAGTGGGGAGGGGTACCGCTTAGATGTCCATGGCAGTGGTGCGCCATGAAACACAGTCTTGGCAGCAATCTCTAGGGTTGCCATGTAGGATGGGTAGAGGTGGTTCTTGTTGTTGGACATAATCTCCATAATGCTCTTCATGGGGACATAGGGAAAATCCCCGGCGATCATCTTCACCCTGGGTCGGAAGTTAGCTCCTAGATCAAGCAGAGGATAGGAAGTACTTGCGTCAGGTCAAATCCCGGGGTACTAGGGTTCTCAGCAGGCCGACGAGGGTCAGTAAATATACGTTGCTTCTCCTTCCACCCTTCCATCCCGACGTCTGTCGGTCCATTATCCTTGAGTATGAGGCTGATCTCAGTTGGCTCTTTAGGGTAGGGATACCCCAAGTTCTGTCGCTCGAGAATGTGGCCGATGATCTTCTCGGCATCGTGGCCCAGATGGCCAGCGATCGAAGAGACAAATCTCCAGTCGATGTCATGGAACCGGCCGACGACCTGCTCCATGCAAGCTCGTTTCTGTTCAGGTTCTCTGTTTTCCATCGTTGCTGATCTCTGGTTAGTTTTCTCGAAGAGGTGCTAGATGCCTTGAGGCACGATATGAGAAGAGCGATGATTGCTTACCGATTGGTTCAAACCTCGAGAGCGTTGATCAAGCGTGTTTGCGGATGAAGGGGAGATGGGTTTTGGTGGTGATGGAAGATAAACAAGCAGTGTTGGTGTGCGATATCGAGCGGAGGCTCTCTCAGCGACGGATGTTTAGGTAGAAACGTGGATGGTTCGGAGGGAGTTTTCTTCCAGTGCAGTGGGAGGTGGCAGAAGAGTGGTAGGTGGTAGGGTTCGGTGGGTTCAGAAGGGGATAGAATTTTGAAGCTCAGGGCAGAAGACCTAACAGTGTTCGACAAGATGAGCAGTGTTGGTTGCCCCGTGGATGGTTAGCTGGCAGTGCCAGCGGCCGGCAGAGGGAACAGCGTATCCTGAGTGGGAGTGCCCTGAAATCAAATATGGAGAAATGTCAGGGCGAGAATTAGCGGAAGGAGAATAGGAAAATAAGGGCCATTTCGGGCTATTAGAGAACAATATGGTTGATCCTCGTATCATGATAGACCTGAGTGAGGCGTACAATGACGCCCCTGGATCGATCGTGGGCGTGTCTTGCATGATAACGAGGGACTTTGTTGCACTTGATCCTCACAGGGGCTTTCTATACATATTCAGGAGCAAGAGTTGATCTATAACACTGTATTTCATCTCCAGACAGATCTCTTTAACGTAGATGCATCCGAGTGCGAAAAGCAACTCGTTGATACCCAGGAGAAAGGGGTGCAAAAAGGATGGTAGGCTGTCGGGACAGATACGAAAGAAGAACACCAAGCAGGAGGGGCTTCTTTTAAAATTTATCACGGTAGTGATTGTGGCGATGGTGATGTTCATTTGTTCTTGGTGTTGAGGCGTAGCAGTATACAACAGTTCTCCCATCTCTCCCCCGAGATGTCGGTCGATACAGGTAGGACCCCTATTTCGTTCTATCCATCTTCTCCATCCATCTTCGATCCACTTTGCACTTTTGGCACGGTAGGTACTCGTCGAATCGGTCGCTTTCGGAGGTCAAGAGAAGGCTGCTTCATGCCCGATCGATAGGGCTCGGTATGGGGGATCGATTCAGGGGTAAATCGACAGTGGGAAAAAGAATCAAAATCAAGGAATTTCCTGCACCAGAAAAATGCCAGAATAGCGCACAGTCAGTACAGAAGATCAGCCTTATGGGGATGGGAAGGGTGAAAGGTGGTGGTGGTCTGTCAATGCCGCTGGAAATGCCCCGCGGTCAAAGCCCACAACACACCCGCGCCGGGAGCCAGGCGCACTGTTTTCAGGGCCAAACGGGGCCTCAGTCACCATTCTGTCAATCTTGGATCGACCATTGATTCATTCAGCAGATGTCGACAACTCGAGAATTGGTATGAGATTCGTGGGGTAGATTGTGGATGGAATATGGAGGCGCCTCTAAACTCCAGCTTCTGGTATCATCATAAGAAGTGTGACGAGCAACACGCCCATAATTATCGACTCTAACATCAGGTAGTCTAGTAAAAATGTCGCCGATGGCAGCAGCAAGAAAAATCGCCCAAAGGAGGCGTGGTTGAGTAGTGTGCGGCAGCCCACCCTGAACATGACCAAAACACCTTTCTAATACCCTAAGCAGATCTATTCATCGTCCTCAGATTCAGCATACGAATCTGCGACTTCGTCATCATCGACCTCGTCCTCGCCCTCTTCATTATACGAAACTACATTACGCCCACTCCGCGTCGACCGTCGAGTTGCCGGCCCAGAAGAGACCTGCTTCTTCTCAACCTGTTTCCTTGGCCGCCCCCGAGACCTCCGGACTGGTTGAGGCGGCTCAGATTCTGCCTCAGATTCTACCTCGGCCTCTGACTGAGACCGTGGAGCTTCAGGCTCTTGAGGTTCAGGAGATTCCTTCTCAGCAGGCTCTGAATCAACAGGTTCTGGCTCAGCATCGACTTGCACCGGCCCATCAACCTCCATCACCAACCCACCATCCTCCTCATCATCTTCATCCACAGCAGGAAAGAAAGCAGAGGTATGATGCGCTGGCTCCTCGACCTCTTCCTCTTCCTCTTCATAACCTTCTGGCAGGAAGCCACCAGCCATTTCTTCATCATGAACGTGGGGTTGCTTCCTCGTGCTTGTTGCATCCCTAGCATGCCCAAACACTGAGACTTGGTCGTCGATCTCTCCGTACTCTTGTCGAATCCTCTCCGCAATACGCATCCCCATGAGAAATCTACGCCATTGGGACAATGCTGCCTTTCTCCGCTTCTCATCTTCCTTTCGTACGCGTTCCGCTTCGTCTTTCTCGAGCTCTACCATAACCGTTTCGAGATGCTCTTCGGCAATGACGACGCCTTGGATGACGGGGACAGCCATTCGGTTCCCAAATTCAAAGTCAACAACTGCCTCAGCGTAGTCGATCTGAAGTCTTTTGCAAACACGCATTGCGCCGCGGTAAGGTACGTGTGCTGCCCCCTGTGGACACATGTGCTCAGCAAACAAGTCGATGTTCCTGATTCCCTATTAGTACAAGTACCCCTGAAAAGAAAAGTAGAAAAATCATACCCATATTCGTTCTTGGGAATAATGCCGTCCTTTATTGGCGGCGGAATGATCCAGTCGGTTTGTTCGCGGCTGTAGAGTCCTTGTAGAACCTTTTCTCCTGTGGCAGCCTCCGCCTCCATGATTTCGCGGCGACGATTGGTGGTTGCCGCGCGGTATGGTACTCTCTTGAGAGGCTGTTCTCCAGCAATTGGCGCCCTGCCCTGCTTGTGCCATGTCTCGGCGCTCTTCACATTCAGGACGTCGCTGCGAAGAAAGACATCTTCGTCTTCGACCTTGCCGCCCTTGCCCTTGCTCTTGAAGATCTTGACTGGCTTAGCCCCAGCTTTGAGAGCCTCCTCGCGTTTTAAATGTCGTGCAAGGACAAATTCCTTGGACTGCTTGTAGTATTGCAGTGTCTCCTTGCCCTCCTTGACTTCCTTCTTCTCTGGCTTAGCGATCTTCAGGTCTGCGGCGTCTTCCATCTCGTCGACTTCTGTGATTGGGTGTCTCTTGGTACCGCGACGGTATCCAGATATTGCAGTCTTGAACCAGTCAAACTTTTCGTATCGCTTCACCTTTCCGTGGCGGTTGTAAATCGGGACCTTCTCTGGCGCCATTCTCACCCCCTTGGTACGCCCTGGAAGTACATTCCGCTTGAGGTATCTGACGGTAACATCCTTGGCTGTTCCATCTTGGGAGTATCCAATGATGTATGCCATGATCTGGCGAGCCTTGTCGGCTTTGGCTCCACGGGGCTCCAGCGACTCGATGAGGCCCCTGCTTGTGGCGACAATGTTCCTGGCTATAGCATCAACGGGCAGGTATGTGTTAGTGACAGGGGAGAGGACTTCTGTCCAGTAGTGAGGATAGTCCATATCTCGGTCATACTGTTTCGTAGGAACAGGTATATTTCGGGGTGTGGTTTCCAGCTCAACCACTGATTCGTCGTCGGTGTCCTTGTACTCAAGCTCCAGCTCATCAGAATCACTCACGATTTCTGTTTTGGACTTTGTCTTTCTGGCCGGTTTCTTTGCTTGCTTGCTTGTCGCTTTCGTAGTTGGCTTCGTCTCGCTCGCATCCTTTGCTCCTTTCTTCTTGCTTGCTTTCGACTTCTTCTGACCCAATTTGTCGTCCTTCTCAGGCTCGGCATCTTCAAGCTTATTCCAGCCAAACCCAAGAGTAGGGAGGTTCGCAACCATTCGTGCTTCCAATCCCAATCCCCTGAGGAGGGCAGTGAAAAGCTGAGCTCCAACGTCTCGGCTTCCCGTACAAGCTCGAGCGCATTCCCGAAAACCCTCCAGGTCTTCTATCTTCTCTCCAAACTGCTCGGGATCATGAGGCTCAGCCTTGTGAGCCTTGGTAAGCCGGTCCAACCGCTCAAGAGACATGTATCCCCATTTCCTCAGGCCTGGTGCTGATACACGGAATCTCTGCCTCCACCAAGATGTCAGTACCCGCATAAGTCGAAAGAGAGGATCTCCATGGCTCATGTCGACGGCCCCTTCTTCAAGTTTCTGTGCCTCAGCACCCCAATGTCGTGACTGTCTTTCTTGAGCTTTCTTGCCCTTTTCTTTTGTTTTGGGAGTTTCCTTGGTCATCTTCTTGGGAGGTGGCTTCTCAAGACCGCTGTTGCGCCTCCATCGGTCCACCTCATCCCATAACTTGGGTGGGAGATGAGAAATCATAGTAGCCTGGACTTCAGGGTCGCAGAGCCAAGAGTTCCGGATGGCGTTGTGCCATAGCAGTAATAAGACATGGACGCAATGCGTAGCATGTCGGACCTTTCTCTCTCGTTTTGATGGTCCCTTCTTGTCAAAGGCATTCGTCAGTGAGATCCGAGTATCTCTAGTAAGAGTCAACTCCAAATCGCCAGATGGAACTGGAGCATCTGGCGCCGGTGCAGCTGGTGCCTCGACATCCTCGAACTCGATGTCCTCATCTGTGGAGTCCTCCTCGTCTTTGTCTTCCGGATCCTTCGGTGGAACTACATCCTCGAATTCATCATCCGAAAGTGACGTCAAAGAGCTTTCATCATCATCGCTACCATTATCTGCAAAACCGTGCAGAACCGAGTTCGAATTCTTTGACGAAAGAGGTGTCGAAGTCGCATCTAGGTCGTCATATAGGGTTGCTTTGCGCCGAGATGAGCCATCCTTGCTTCTTGCCGATTTTGATGGTCTCGACTCTCCCGAAGGCGATGACTCGCGCAATCTCTTGCGCGGTACAACAGGAGGCATCCTATCTTTGAGATGTGAGTGGTTGCATTATTTGGCGTTTAGTGACAAAGAAAGCCAGGTACTGAGTACATCCGTCATAGATCGTGTCGCGAGATGGCACGAAACCACGTGACTTGATTAGGGGAATCCCATTACTAAAGCACAACGGCGCCGATATAGGTACCCGCGCTACTACCTGAATCTACGGACTGTCATGGAATCCAAGAGCCCAGATAATTACACCATCGAATCAAATCAATCTATCTGCCGTGTTCAACTGCATGATATCCTGGTATCATAGCTTCTATGCCCACAACGCCAGGCCATGCTTCTCTATCAATACAAAATTCTCAAAATCAAGCTTATGCTTCAATCAAATCCGGTGTGGCAGGCCCAACGCCCCTTAACAAAACCACCGTGTTCCCGCTTTGTAGCGCCGTGCCAACCTTTTCGTTAAACTCCAGGATCCTACCGCCCTCGACGTGAAACACCCGTAGCTTATCCTTTTCGTCGGAGCTCTGGTTGTTGATGTTTTGCACCTGTAGACTCCTGGCTGCAGCGTCGAGGACCCGGCCTATCACCCAGTCCTTGTTGTAGAAGAATTCGCCCTTAGGGAATTTGGCCTTTGTAGTCTCTGCCTCCGCCTCTACGTAGATGTATAGCCGCTTCTCCATGGGAACCTTGTCGTCGCCCTTGGCTGTCTTCTTCAGTTTGTTGACGGCGACCAGCCGGGCTGAAGCAGATGTTGGCTTTGGCTTTGGGAGTGCTCTGCTTGCTTGCTCTTTCTTGGCCGTACCCCAGGCGCGGAACCTATCGAACGCCGACTTTGTCTTTTGGGCAACGTCAAACTGTGCTGGGCGGGCTCCGATGGGTATCAAGTTCTTGCAGTCGTGGTCCTCCCCAAGTCGGTGCTTTAGGCAGTAGTCTCGATTACAAGTCTGGCAGTGTACCCCTGGCGTCAAGGAAGTTCCAATCGTCGTCTTGCATTCTGGCGACGCGCATGGCTTCTGAGAGACCTTATCTCGGAGAACCCTTCCCTGACCGATGGATGGCTGGGCCAACTGCTTAAGCCGCTTGCGCTCTGCCCAAGCACCAGCATCTGTACATTTGTGCGAAGTCTCGGATCGGTGGTCGAGGCAAAAGGTCTTTCGGCAGGACTGGCAGAAGAAGGGGAGAAAGTCGAGCTGGTTGCAGTAATCGTATTCGCAGTGCTTGCCGATCAAAGTGGCATCGTTCTTGTCGTCCATCTCGACGTAGCTCGTGTCTGGAGCTTCTGGTGTTGATGATGACGCCATGATGAAGGTATACCGCGTTTAAAAGGGTCGAGGCGATCGCGTGAGGTCTAGGCAGAGGTGTTGTCGCAAGTTTGGTCTGGGACGATGACAGATGTTAAGGAGGCGGCGAGGAAGCGTCTGGAAGGGTCCGTGTCTAGCCAAGGCTGGCGGATTACGAACGAGTGAGGAATCGCCACAGGTGAATCGTGTTCGGAGGAGGACGTAAGGCGCTGACTCGGCGTAAGGCGTATATGTGTTTGTAAGTAAGAAAAGTTACTCGTGACTTTTCTCGTCAGGAGGAGAATCGGAGGCCTGCTTAATGTATTAGAAGCACAGCCACGCCCAAGACTTGGATCCATGCATCCCTCCGTCTTGGTAGATCGCGGGGTGATTTGCACCCCACTCAGAGCTACACCAAAGCAGCCTCAACCATCGGGACAATGCAGACAATGCAGGACAACGCTTGGTCTGTTTCGAAGCGAATTTCGCATGCTATTCTGTTATGCTATATCGTACATAAATCATGAGTTGAGCGCCTTCTATTTCCCCTAACGCCTAGTTATGTTTCCAGGAAACAACTTGTGTTACAATTCCTTTTCCTTGATTGGCTTCTTTGCCAATAACTCCTCGCGGCCCGTTGCAAGCGCATTGCCGACTGCGGCCTTTCCGCCATACATCTCGAATCCCTTGTGGAATGCCCACTCAACTGCATTCTCGACGGGTTCGTCAAACATGGCAGGGAGGAAGGGGACAACAGCGAGACCCAAACCAATGGGTGCCCATGTTCGGATCATCTTGTTCTTCATGTCCTTCATGGCCCGGCCAGAGTACCTCACAACGCTGTGAATCGTGAAAGCGGGCAGACCCATGCTAGCGAGACTCTGGAAAATTGCGCGCTGCACCATGACAGTGCGGTAGTCTTCGAGAGGGGCCACCTCGCCAGGCTTGACGATGCGCGTCTCGATAGCAGGCAGACCAGTGATCTTTTCTTGCCGTTCCGTGAGCTGTATAGTCGGGTCACGCACCCGCTGGTTGTGCCAATAGGCCTTGTAGCCTTCGTACGAGACGTCGCCGAGAAGGTATGCCCAAGACACACCATAGGCGCCGCGAACGAGGTTAGGGTGAGCTACCGGTCGGAAGGACTCGCCAATGTCAGAGGTGTAGGCGACATATCGATGCGCAGAGAGAAGGACGGTCCGGAGTCGCGCAGCATAAGCCGCATATCGAATGTTTGAGTCTGTGGAATCAGAGGCACTATACCAAGTCAACAAGTGTCCAGTCCATCGCTTGCGAACAACATACTAGCCCTCGGTAACCACGTTCATGTCTTCACCCGCATGGTCAATAAACCGCTGCAGCGTCTTGGGGAGCTGCTCTGTCGCGGGGAGTTTTTCGGCAATTGATTCCTTGACTTGAGACGTCTCCTTCTTCTCCTCCGACTTGGAGTCTTGGGATTTTCCCCACCAAAGCATCGCAAGAGACGAGAGAAATCTGAGTGTTGTTGTTTGCTTAATGGAAGAAAAAGGTCAACTTTGGAACCGGCTGCGCGGAAGTCGCTTACATTTTGAGTACCGACCCGCCACTACCGATGCAGGAAAATCCCGGTTGGTGCAATACGTCACTATCCGCTTTAGACCTGACCGGATTGATAAGAGCTCGATCGCTATCGGTCCGTACAAGTGAACACAAGTTTCCGGAAGCGGACTCAATTGGCCTACCAAAGTAACTACACTATCTGGAAAGGAGATTAAAGCCATATATGCATAGCAATACAAGAGTTCTGTTTTCATCTGTTACTTTGAGTTAGTTCAGGTTGTACTTGGGTAGGTAGATGAGCTTGGAAAAGAGTGCCTCCTCCAACATCTAGTGGGGATACCGGGCCCTCTATGGATCCAGCAAGTTAACTAACCAGTTAAGAACTTGCATCCTATTTACCTAGTTATAGTCGGTTTCCGTGATCTTTAATAATAACTTCTTTAGATAGGACATTCATCCTGATTCCCATAATAACTCCTCATCCGTGGAGGACATGAAATAAGAAAGGTGTTAGGCGGGGCTCTAGATGTTATTCATCGTGGAGTTATTACTCTCCGAACATCGCATAGTCTCTGAGTTTATGGCATTCCAAAGGAATTAGCTTTATATTAAAGACATCACAATGTTTCGAACACCAGTATTTAAATCTAACAGACCAAACTTGTTCAGTTTAACCCCCGTTTCTTCAGTTTGTTCTAATAACAAGTTCCTCCAGTGTCGCCTTGAGTAATTCTGCGTCCAAGATGGAGTAATTCGGCAAGATCCTTTTCGCCATGGCTTGTTTAGACAAATCCAAATCGACAAGACTGTATTTGTCTTATGTCTTGTCTTGATTTCTTCACATGATCTAACCCTCCATGTCCAGTTTGTTGTCGCTTGACATCCACCATCCTGTCAACCCTACCCCTACTTGACCTACTGGTAAACCAGTGGTTATAACTAGAACCGCCGTCTTTCCTCTCTACATCCCTCCGCAATGCCTGTTTCATGGACAAACAGAAAAGCCCACTCAAGGCCCTTGCCAGAAAGCCTCCCAGGCCTCTGCACACATCCCTTGAACCTCCTTTAAGTACTTATCAACAGCCATGTCCCTGACATCCCCCTTGGAGTCCGGCGCCACTGTCCGGCGATCCGTGATCCCTTCCCAGCCTTCGACTGACAGCTGCAGATATGTATGGTTCCAGTCACAGAACGTCGTACCCTGTGCTTCCTTTCCGTGGTTGGCCTTGCCGATGGCGATCCTCCCGCCTGGTGGGAAGTTCCAGTTGGGAGCGAGAAAGTAGGTAGGGTTCTGAACGTTGCTCATTGTGACTTGTTGTGAATCGTAGAAGAGATATTGTGGAAGACACTTCAAGGCTGTGTGCAGCTATCACATTGGCAGGGGCCTCTTAATATGGATGATATGAGGAGTCTGAATATGCCTTTCAGGCGGCCTTCATGAGCATCGGAGGCCTCCGGTGGGGCGCAGCTATACGCAGCGGCAGGCATAGCCTCAGCCTGGTCAATGAGGGGAGTTACAGCATCGCCACAAGCCCAGAAGTTTCGTGGTGGATGATAGATGAACACAGCGCCATCATACATCTTGATGCCAGTGGCAACAGCCAAGCACAAGACAGACCAAGAGGTTATTTACTCTTCCTACAAGTAGGCATAATTACCATAGTGCCTGGGTATCTCCTGTTAATTACTTATCTATGCCGGGTATGCTGCAACCCTGAGCTTTCATGTCTCGTCGCTCCTAACTCAGCTGCACTGCCACGACTGCTCATGGAATCGTAGACAATGCATGTCTTACAAGGTACCGAGGTTGCCTTCGGTTCTCATAAAGCTGCCATGGCGCCACATAAAGTCTGTCGAAAGAGTTCTGGTCCCGGGCCATGAGATTAAACACGGCAGTCATTCCCCTCCTCGTCCGTATAGCATGTCTCTCAGCATCCCAACTCTCCTGGCTATCCACAAAAGATATCAGCATGGCGGCAATGGCAGCCAGGATTGGCGTCGCTACCGAGCATCCTGACTTTGTCGGCATTGACGCAGGCCAGCCGTACGGGACGTCTCGTGCAAGAGTGCCGTATTGAATGCCGCTCTTGTGGCCCCATGATTTTGGGTTGTACTGCTGAATGAACTCCCCGTCGTGTTTGGTCCCTCGGGCGGAGATGACGGACTCGAAGAAGGCGGGAAACATCTCAGGTTCGTTCAATCCATCGTTGCTAGCGGCGGCGAAGAACAGAATCTTATCTCCCTTCAGTCTCTCCGCCTCTACAATAGCATCTTTGATCAGCTTGACCTCGTCGCTGAAGCCAAAGGACATGGATATTACATCTACGTCCCACATCGTAACAGCATGTAAGACGGCCTAGGAGAGGTAAGCGACATGACCAATGGCCGATGGGCACATTACTCCACGTACCTTTGCTATATCTTGTTGGGCTTCACCCAATCCTGCAAAATCTTTTGCAACTCGTACAACGTATACGGTCGCTCTCGGAGCAAGTTGCAGCAGCAGGCAAGTGAGTGCCGTCCCATGGCGCCCCTTGTCCTCGTCTACCGGCTCGCGAGACTCACCTAAGCAATCATACCAGAGACCTCCCCAGTCGTCAACGCGATCAATACCCGCACCAGAGAAGTAGGGGTCGTCGGTGTTGCATCCTGTGTCGAGGATAGCAACCTTGATCGCCTCTGATCTAGAGCCTTCACTTAGAGATTCGAGGTGCGTATTCGCACGCTGAAACTTGGTGATCCAGGATAGGCTATCTGATGTTTGCGCACGATGGGTCAAACCAGTTGCCGAGGGTTTTGTGGGAGAATATACCGCGAGTGGGTTAGCAATTCCGGATTTGGCGGTATTCGTCAAATTTTGGAAGCTGGAGCGTTCAGTTACACCTAGAGGGCTCTCTGGCATAGGCCGCATGTCCAAAGCATCCTGTAACTCGTCCAGTGAAACATGGTATCCCTCAGAGAGGGCGACCGCCAAAGGCGTGGCAATACAGGAAAGAATGTAATGCCGTATTGGGCCCTCCTCGGACATCTGCTCAGCTGCCATGCTCGGGGACGGGTTTAGAATCAAGCAAGACCTGACAACTTTGGACAGGACCGGAGGTATACGTCTGGAAAGATGCCGTTCGCCTTGTCTCTCCAAGTCATCGAGGATCCTTAGAGCTTGACTGCCGTATTCATTGTACCGGTCTGCTTGATCAAGCTCGGCTGTGCCGTCTCCATGTGCCGGGTCGAATCGGACGCCTGTTGCAATCTCGAGGAGCATGATGCCCAGAGCTAGAATAGCAGGATGTTTGTGATATTGGCTCACTGGCGGAACCTTTGGAGGGGCACCGCCCTGCTGAAGGTTGACTGATAGATAAGGCAACGTAAATATGGGCGATCGCCTGCTCCCCGAGTGCCGCGGGAAAAAGATCCTGTCACTGCTCCAATCCATCGGGATCCAGTCACCCGGATAGAGATAAAGGAGCGACGACGCTAGGATGTAAGATAGGAGCAACTTCTCCCTGTCGTCGTATCTCGGAATGTCAGGAGAAGAAAGCGCCATGCCGCTACCCAAGAGTTCGCGAAGAGACTGCATCGTCGTGTGATGGATCATACCGAGAGGAGGAGGCGGTCTCAAAACCCACAACTGCCTTTTGGCAGCAAGAAGATGGACGCATGTGGTTCTGCTTCGCCTTATCACTGGACAAATATCCTTCTCGATAAGTTCCTTGTCTGATCCAATGCGCTCCTCTGGCCTGGATTCTTCCGTTAGATTAGCTGCCAATGCGGGTATGGTCATGAGGTTGACGAGCCAACTCACAGCAGTTTTACCTGGACGTTTGTAATCTTCCAGCGATCATGGTCCTGACAAACGGGTATAAGAACCTCAAATTCTGCGCTAGATGGACGCCAGTTTCCGGTCTCTTGTTGACGCTGCCGCAGTTGAAATTTCAGGTGTTTCGTGAGACTCAGCCTAATCTCCCTTCTCGCGACGGGCTGTCGGCATTTGCACCGTGAGTGCTTTTCCAGCAGGCCGTAAGCCCTATTCGCCAGGGCTTTGATACCGAAGCTTGGGTGTTGAGACAACTCGATGACGCCGTTATCAGAACGGTATTCTTTGTAGTACTGGTTGAGCAAATGGCGAGATGCATGTTGGATACTTCTGAGAAACTTGGTCCTCTCGTGAAGGCTCTCCTTTCGATGCAACAGACGTATCCGTACATTGGACTGGTCTAGGCACCGTCTATAAGACTCGCAGAGGTTATCCTCCAAATCTTCCTCATCGCCCGACTCCTCGTCCAGGGACTCGATACAATGTCTGATCGTTCGTAGCTTCGAATATGGTCCATCTGGCTCAACGGAACCAAGAAGGCTGATCGGTAGCTGGAGTGCAATTAGTCTGGCTCGGCAGCAGCGTGGTGAGTCCCGAGATCAAGGGGTAACAGACCAAGCTCCAGCGTGATTCCACCCGTGAATTCAGTGCCTTAAGTAGTCGGTTGATGATCTTCTCGTCGAGTCCGAGAGTCCATTCTCCTCGTGATTGGGCAACAGCTTTGTGAATTGAGTCCAGGTCGTTGAAGCACGCGAGGGCCTGAAAATACAAATCGTTGGCATCAGAGTTTGTGTCCCGACGAGCATCGCATTCCCGCTCTCGCTGACGAGCGAAGGCCGTGAAGACCGGAAGGACGTCGCCAAGCAGGCGGAGCTGCCACATTCCGAGGGGATCGCGGACTGTGGGCAAAGAAACGTATGGGGCAGTCTAGGCTGAACGTCACGTCTGGGAAAGGCCATCAAGAGATGGATGTGATAATCTAGGTATCTAAACGCGATGTTAGCCCCAGAAGGACACAAGGCACTCCTTGCGTCATTTGATCCAGTGCCCCTCCTCCAATGGTATTCAGAGAAAGAGCCAACGAGCTGAAAACGCATGGGCTTGTCTTCGCTGCAGCTGCGAGGGTGAGATGCAACCTGCCGTATCAATAAGGATGACATCCTCTATCTCCATTCAGGGCGGGGCGTTATAGATGTCTTTACCAGCTTAGGCGCGCAAAAGGCTATGAGATCCGGTGCGGTGTTGCCTCCATTTGCGTTTATCCCAAGGTCTACATCGACGTACAGAAATCAACTGTTTGTGATCCTAGTAAGGCTTCCCGTCCGGCTAGTGAGCTGAAGCGATTGGGGCTAGCGTCTGACCCCTGGAGGCTGGTACACCACGCTCCCCATGACGGAAACACCCAACCCACATGCCACCAGCCTCGCCGTCCTGGCCACGCAGTGCCGGGAAGCGTTGGAAAATCTTCTCTCAGCATGCCCGGAAACAGACTCAAAGCGTCAAGAGTCTCAGCTTGTTTCTCGTCAATTGGCAGAGTTCAACATATGGTGCTCCAAGATCGGCGTTAGCAAAGCAGGGCAGCAGTCCCTAGACTATCGCCTCAAAGACCTTCCTAGTACGAGTAAGCTGATAGAAAGACTTCTCGAAGTGCTGAAACAAGATTTACAGAGTGAGTCGAGTCAAGGGATCGTTTTACCTGCAGAGTCCCCAAAATATTGGAAGATACAAGGGACAGCTACTGACAGTCGGTATGATCAGGACTCCGGGAACCTGAGATTCGTCATCAGCACGCCACGGTTGAGAGCGATGGCCCAGATGTTCACAATGACGAAGACTCCGATGGCAGTTCATGGTCCCCAGATACTCTTTCATCCTCGGATGAATCTGGCACGGAAACCTCGCCGAACGGACACACATGGACGCGTGTGGAAGATACGATTGATAGACTCCATGGGCACGCACGGCGGATTGAATTGGCTGGATTCAAGCACAGACAAGCCAGAATTGAACGGTTCAAGAACAAGCCGGCTCAGAAACAAGTCTACGAGTTGTTTAGACGGATTGCTGAAGAAAAAGTCGAGCACCAGTTCACGCGGGCAAGCGCCTGGATGAAGGAAAGAATGGCCGAGTCTTTCGCTAGGCGGAGAATCCGGTTTGAATACTTGAAGGAACATCAGAAGAAGCTGGCTATTGGTATGAATGTCAAATCTTGGGATCAGGAAGCATTGTCCTCTCCAACCAAGATGAGGGATGAGCACAGCGGGAGACCTGCAAACCCCTTCACTGAAGCCAATACCCAGGCGGATCATCCCAAATTCCAAAATACAACCAGGGACTTCCAGGAGCAGAGTGCCATACTGACGGCCACTGAGCACACTAAACTCGACATGGCCTCCCAACCTTTGCTTCAGGTAGCGGAGAGTGTTGCTTCAGTCACGTTAAGGCACGGCGGCTTTCCCCTGCGACCGAGACTGCATGGATCCGACAGTTTTCAGTGTCCCTACTGTCGCCTCGAGTTCCCTGCAAGGGAAGCGGAAGGAAAATCTTGGAGGTAAGCACTCATCAACCCACAGTCATAACCAGATATCACAGGAATCAGTGCGTTCAATCAGACTCGGGTGCTGACGCGACTACAGCCAGCACGTCATGAGGGATTTTGAGCCTTACTTTTGCATTTGTGAAGACTGCTCAGCACCCTTTGATGTGCCCAACAACTTTGAAGGACTCCTCAGTCACTTGCAGCTGTCACACGTTCCCGAGCGCTGGCATTTCGAGATGCCAGACGGATCCCCCCGAGAGTTCAACAATGAGCAACAGTTCGAAGATTTCCTCTGGGAGGAGTTGCAAATATCCGAGTCGCAATGGCCCGCTCTGACAGAGCTGAGCCGTAAAAGAATGCCCTTCCTCTTCAAGAGCTGTCCCTTCTGTGGGGGGTATCCGGATGTGGTCGAGGAGCGCTTTCCCGACGCAGGAACCCCGGGCGCCCAGGCTGAGATGCGGAAACATATAAAGCAACACATGCAAGAGATTGCTCTCTTTCTGCCTCCCAACAGGGAAGATCTGGCTGAAGACGCAACCGAGCTGCATGACATCAGTGACAACGCAGTCGGCTCACATAGCCAGGACTTGGGCGACCCGAGTACACTTACTTGGCCGTCGTCCTCGCGGCGAGAGAATACCGATTTTGAAGACAGAACAGAGTTGGATGAACAAGCACAGCCGTACCAGACTATTGCGGAATCGGAGTTCTTCAAAGACGACCTCGGATCCCAGAACGCTTCCGAGGAACTGACCCAAGGCGCCACAGACCAGAAGCCAAAGGTATACAGTCAAGATCGACTCCCTTCCTTCCTCAACATCGAGCCGTTATCAGATGTATCCCTCGTCGCGCAGATTGGGGGAAACAGGATCTCCCTCCCAGTCGGGAAACTTCACGGAGTTCACCGAGGGTCCAGGTTCAGTTTCCGCGCGGCTGTCATGGCCTCATGTGCCATCGAACAGGCCAGCGCCTTCACTTGCAGCGCCCCAGTCTCGCCCGATTTATTGCAGACACTACAACAGACACTGAAAGGACGTCCCTGCGAGGTAATCCCAATCCGGTGGAGTTTCGGGGACAAAGCATTCCGAATCGTTGCAGACCCGGCGCTAGGGACTGTGTTCCAGGGGGTACTGCTCGAAGCAATGCAAGCCCGGATCGCCAGTCCGATCGAAGTCCTCGAGGGCGACGAGGCGGACGCACGCGACTTGGACGTGTTGCGAGTAGCAAAGCAAGAGGACAGCATCAAGATCTTCGGGCCTGAGTGGCTGATCGGCCACGTGGGCTCGGTGCGTGGCTTGAGTCTCGAAGCGGAGGACGGACAGCTTGCGACTAGGACGGCAGTCGCCCTCGCTCACCTGGGCCGATTCAGGCAGATCCTGGGCCTTCGCAACGAAGCGTTCGGGAGCAAAGGGGCGTTCGAATTGACTTTGTCAGAGAACGACGAAGGAAGCAGATACCTAGACGGCCACGAGTTGAGGCTCGCTTTCACCAACAAGAGCGAGGACAAGCTCTACGTCACTGTCATGATTCTTGGTCCTGGATTCCACATTCAAGAACTCTTTCCCGTACAAGACTCGGCATATGAGGTGTCTAGGGGCAAAAGGATATCGTTCGCCTTCCGTGTCGATCTTCCCGACAAGCTCAAGAGAACCAACACGACTGGTGAAGAGACCGCTCACCGCAACATCATCCGCACATTGGTTACGATGGGCAAGGGGCTCTCCTGGGAGATGCTGGAACTGCCTAACATCTGGAATGCGGGTCGGGATGGGCTTCAGCGACGGCGTTCGGCTGGAAGACACGCGGAGGCTGCATCCAACTTTAGATGGTGGGTGGAAGACCGTGAGATCTTCACGCGTTCGACCCCCGACGACCATCCCGGCCATAAAGAGGTCACAGGCGCCGAAGCCGAATTCAACCAGGTCCTAGTCGCCGCCAGCGCCCTATCCAACGACTCATCCAAAGAGAAGCTCGCCGACTTCCTGACTCCACCGATAAAGTCAGTCCAGGACCTGATCGGCCAGGTCGACAAGGAGAATGCCCAGTTCTCCAACTTCCGCAAGCGCAGGCAGACCATCTTCAGCGCCCTTGCCGCGACCCTCACGCCTATCGAGGTCGTTGACGGTATCATCGCCGGCGCCGCGCAGGAGATGTTCTCGCCCGCTGAGGGCATCTACGGCGCCGCGGCGTACCTGATCAATGCGGCGCGCAACGTTTCATCGGCGTACGATAGCATCGTGGAGCTATTTGAGCAACTCGAGGTGAGTTGTCTGACCCCGTTCCTGTTTGAGGCTTTACTAACCCCAGGCTGCAAGAACTTTACTTCGCGATTGGACGTCTATGTGCGGCGCCATATTTCTGACGCCTTGCGGAACAAGGTCGTGGCCATCCTTGCTACCATATTTGAGACCTTTGTGCTGGCTTCAAGGGAGGTTCGCCGTAATCGCATTAAGAGCTACTTTAGAAGGCTCTTTGGGCAAGGCTCCCCCGCGCAAGAATCGCTGGACAAGCTCAAGGCTCTCACCATAGGCGATCTTGAGCCACCCTTTCAGAGCACTCCAGCTCATTCCTTCCCGGCCGGAGTTAAAGTTCTGCACGACTGCCGCGACGCCACGATCGACATCTGTTTTGTCCACGGTCTGACTGGCAATCGGGACAGCACCTGGACCGCGAATGGACAGTCCAAACCTTGGCCCGAGACGCTCCTGCCGCCCAAGCTCAGCAGAGCTCGCATACTCACGTACGGCTACGAAGCGTACATCGTGCAGAAATCGGTCGCATCGACAAATAGGCTGTTCGATCATGCCGCGAACCTCTTGAGCCATCTGTCGCTCGACAGAGAGTTGTCGAATGCGTCCTCTCGACCGCTAGTCTTTGTTGCCCATAGCCTCGGCGGCCTTGTCTGCAAGGAAGCCATTCTTCTCTCCCGAAGGAGCCCCGAACTATATTTAAGGGGCATATTCGACTACACAAAGGGCATCATATTCCTAGGCACGCCTCATAGGGGATCCTGGATGGCCGATTGGGCTAAGGCACCGGCTTCAGCCCTTAGGATCCTCAAGTCCACCAATACGTCGTTGTTAGAGATCTTAAAGACAGACGAGCAGTACCTCCAGTCCATTCAAGATCAGTTCTTATCTATGGTACGCGAACAGCAGGAGGCCGGTCGGGATTTTCAGGTCACGTGCTTCTTTGAAGAACTTCCCTTGCCTGTGGTCGGAAAGGTCGTCTCTCAGGACGCGGCTACCCTTGAGGGTTATAAAGCGATCAGCATCCACGCCAACCATAGCAACATGGTCAAGTTTAGCTCCACGGACGATGATGGCTTTAGAAGGCTGCTTGGCGAGCTGATTAGATGGGAATCGCAAATCAGGGACTCAGCTTCCAGGCAACCAGGACGGCCGATAGAAGAAGCCCCGATTAAAAAGTCGGCCAACTCGTCTTTCAACGCTCCTGACGGTACCGTGAACAAGAGCAAAGGCAGTGGCAAACATTTTGCTGGGGCTACTTTCTCTGGGCCAGTGTATTTCGACAAGGGGGGCTCTCAAGTGCATGCGCCTGACGGTACCGTGAACAAGAGCAAAGGCAGTGGCAAACATTTTTCTGGGGCTACTTTCTCTGGGCCAGTGTATTTCGACAATGGGGGCTCTCAAGAGCATGTACCTGAAGACACCTAGGCAGAGCCGATCAAGTTGGCTGCAAATCAAATCCGACACTGTAGATCTCCTCTGTGTTGCTCAAGATGGCGAGACGAGTGGCGTCCTTCAGACGGTTGAGCGTCTTGTCCATGCGTTGCCGCGCCTCTTGAAGATCGTTGTCTTCTCCCTTTGGCAGGCTGGCAAACCATTTCCCCGGAATTATGAGCATTCTTTCACGTTATAGGAAAGAAGAGAGGGAGTTGTCTTACTAAATCTGCCAAGCTCGATATACTTAGTTGCGACGCCGCTCATAGACAAAAAGGCAGTAAACACATCCATTAGACAGTTGTGGTAAGACTTTGAGTTCGGTATCCTCTCCTCTATGATGACGATACGGCTAAGAAAGCTGTTCATATCTTCAAAGAAGACGACGATCACATCAAAGTCACTCGAGACGTTACGGCATGCCTACTACGTTCTCGCATCGCGATCCGTGAGACTCCGTGGCCAGGAAGGGAAGATCGATATACTAAAGAACATATACTCACGGTGGTCATACAGGTCAACGCTGCACCAAGAGCTGCAGCCCTGTCTAAACCACTTACTGAAGTATTCACACTGGAAACGGGACCGTTTCTGCTCCTCGACTAATCGTATCTAGCAGTGCTGCACTCTTGAAAACTGGCCATGTTTCTAGGATCTCACGAAGATGTTACTGCCTAAGCTATCAGTCTTGACGCTCCATTGTTATCCCAACTCATTGCTCGGAGCAGAAGCCGTCTCGTTGGTATCATAATACCGGACTTATTAGTTCCCAGTATATATCTGGCGTAGAGCAAGTCTAATCAGGCACTAGAACATTATTATTAATAAACTAAAATCTATAAATCAGTTACGAGTAAAATCGTGTTATTGAAGATGGTGACTATTCCGGGCTCAACCGACAACACATAGGCTAAATTAACACTAACTAACACAGAATGTTCTTAGTGCCCACTCACTTGAAAAACTTCAAGTCTATAGGTCCCCAAGCCCGAAAGGTTTCAGTCTTCATGAGCAAATCAGTGACAGTTAACTAAGATAAAAGAACATACAACGTTTCTATCATGGTGGTCTGGATGACTTGTCTAAGAGGAGGTACGTACCGATGGACGGAGGCAAGATCCGATCGATCCCGATAACCGATTTCTCCGATGTATTACCGCCGGGTCCGAACTCGTCCCCTTTGGGGCCTGCAATTCCAGGCAAGCACGACGGAGGTCCGAATTCTCGAAGCGCAGCTCGGCAAAGCCTCCATCTCAACGAGCGACACCTTAAACATCCACCCATTGCCCTCCGTCCACCAACCAATTCGCCCATCCCGGTCTCATTCCCTCATTCACAATGGCTGGCGTCGCTTACTACACCATTGCCGGCAAGCAGGTCGGCGGTCACTACGTTGGTCCTCCCTCAATTGGAATCCCCCCCGCCGCCGCCAGAAGAAACTGACCTAGAATCTCTCCCGCAGCTGGCCATGGCCTGGTTGGGCACCATGTTCGCTGGTGTCAAGTATGCCATGTCTGGCAGCTCCAGCAAGCCTAGCGCCACCGCTGCTCCCCCGATCAACGCTTCCAGCTCCGACGAGGCCGACTTCATCAAGTGCGCGAATTCAGCTTTCAGCTACGTTTCCCTCGGCTAACCGGAGTTGCAGGAACTTCCTCGACCAGCAGGACAAGAAGAACTAAGCGGCGGCCGGAGAAAGGACCAAGGTCTTGCGGTCTTGCGGACGCGGTGTATATTTATCAGTCATGGAGACATGAGCTGTTCATCGAGCCGGACAGCCGATTTCAGATACCAACAAAAGCCGAGTCAGCCATTGGCGGCATAACGATGTCAGAATTTCCATCAGCTTTATTGCGTGACTTTCGATAATGTGTCTACCCGATTATCTCCTACCGCCAATATCAGACAGTTCGCGTTGTGTTGCACAGATTGTTCTCGGTTCAAGGGCGGATTTGGCGACCAGTGGACCTAGAAGCTCAGAGAACACAGCACAACGCCCAAAGACCTCTTCCCATTTTCCAAAGGCACTCCAAAAAGCCAAGAGGAGCCTCCGAAACATGACAGGATTGAATCATTTGGTCAAGTGTGACGATTGAATCAGCACAACGCCCGGATATGAATGGACGGATTCCAACAGAATGGCAAGCCTGCAGCCTACACTATCAAGTGATAGCTTGGCCTGCTCCCAGTGACCTGACTCTTGAATCTCGCATCAAAGTATAAGTGTTTCCGAGGCCAATGACCTCCCAAGTTTCATCAGCCTTTCATCCGACACCGGCATCGGCCTCAAGAACAGCTTAGCCAACTTACTCTATCAGGAGGATCAGATCCACAGCCCGTAATATCTAGAATGCCTTGACCATATCGACAGTGTATTTCCGCCACGGGTTAATTAGTCACCTCAGTCTAAATCAAGCAGTGTAACAACAGTCCCAAAATCGTAAGGGCGAAGATGTCGGACAACCCTTGGTCAGTGTGTGATGAGGCTACGGCATCGTGTGGGCAGCAACTGGTAAAGAGGGAGCACCATTACCACTCAAGATGTCTTTCGTCTGTCCATGTAAATGTTTCCTTTCCCAGATAAGCATGATTACATGCCAGCATATAACAAGACAAACAGCTAGCTATACCCGTCCCATATGAGCAACGACCGTTCAGAGCAGAGATCGTTTTCCACAAGCTCGACAGTTTGCGGATCTACCCTCTTTAACCTTCAAGATACAAAAAGGAAGAAGAAGAAAACTCCATGTTCGATGTTCCTGTAAAGCTCAGCTGTTGGTATTTAACGGAGAGTTCTTAAAGTATCTGCAAAAACACACGGTCAAGCTAGAAACTGGGGACTGCGAGTCAAATACCCTAGCGATATTAAACTGGTTATCGCCCAAGGAAGAGGGTTAATATTAGACTTGCCATAGTTACCAGTTACTTCTTGGTGAATCTGACATGTGTCTCTTAGTTGCTGCCAGGGTAGTTGTTAAAGCATGTGAGCGACCAAGTCCAGAGAGCTTAAACAGTTTTCACATAGCTCTTATTCATTGAGCACATATTCGCACGCTCTTCGAGGACTTCTGAGTGAAAAACACGCACGGTTTCCTTTCCTCTGTTCTCACTTGTCAGTTATGAATCTGTTGTACCATGAGCTCGTCTTCCGGGTTCATGGCCACCCTATACGTCGTGTCACTTATAGCCTCGCGAGCCAATTATAATATCTCAAGGAGGATGGGAGCATCCCCTCGGTTGCTGATTTTCACGGCGATCAATAGAGATCGCATTGCCAGTAGGAAAGTCTATCAATATCTGCCATCACTATCCATGTTACTTTGGTTAGTAAACTCCTCTGGTCGGGGGGCTTAAGAACGAACATCACCCACTATGCGCCAACCAAGCGCAGAGACAAGAATCGTGGCAAGTGGAAATAGGCCCAGAGGAGGAAGAGCTTACATGCAAATCTCACAACATCTTTCATTCTGCAGAGACGTGAGGGATGTTTGTTCTTCAGCCTCAACGGCTACCCCATAGCTCGATATCGCTCTATAAGATGGCCGTATTAACATTCCTAAGCAAGGAAGGTTGTGGAGAGACGATCCAAGCTATGGTCTAGAACCTGGTTAATAAAGCCACTACTAATAGTGTCATCCGTCTCATGCGGGTCTAGTTTCTCCTTGCTGACGATCCCCTCAAGGACCACATACACCAGTCATTCAACAGATCTAATAATACAAGGCCTTTTATTACTCCGATGCCTTGAACTCCTGATACAATGCTTATTCTTTGGTAAAATGAAAACAGTCAGCCACATACTCCAGAGATGCTTGTCCTGTCCGACCAAGTTGCCAGATCCTCAGCGCCGTCATGACGACCATGGTTCCCCATCGCTCTCCCAGGTTCTCGTAGCCGCCTTCGAATTCGATCCTACACGTCTTCCATGCTGCTTCCTTCCACGAAGCTGTCGCCAGATACCCTTCTTGGCCCGGTAACGAGTCCCCAACGCGATATAATCGGAATTGGTGGGGATATTTGGGGTCGGTTATCACATCCGCTGAAACCATTCGCCATTCAAACTCCTCGCGCAAATACGACGTTCCTTGAACCGTTTCTCGCTTTGTCTCGATCTCCCATCTGAAATGAACCACCTCTTCGCTTTCCGCTAGCCCAGTGTACATAATCTCTGTCACGACCTTGGCTTCATCTTCCATCCAAGGCGGTGCAGAGACATTGACAACGCTCTCCAAGTTGCTGGGTGGATCGCAGGGATCCCGCAAGGCATCTCCAGCGGCCGCCAGTATAGGGTCCTTTCCAGTGGCTCCGTTATGTATCATCAGGCACGGCCCGGCGCCGGGCCCACGGCCAGACAGGCCAGAGTACTCTGAGACAGCAAACATCTTTGGGGTAGCTTCATCACCGATAAAGAAGATCCGCCACTTGTTCCACTGCCAGGATACCTTGAGCATGCGTGGTATAGGACGGTAGGGCGTCTTGACACACTCGCTCACCAAGGTCTGGCTTGAGGACATTTGAGAGCCGGTGTCGGCTCTGGAGGCGCTTGGGGCCAGTGATGAGACGGCCGTGGAAGAGCCAGAGGCTATCCCTCCATGGTAGGGTGGTGGGGGATCATCCTGACTGCCAGCATAAGTGGACGCGTCCAGGCTTGCCAGCTCGGCGTTGTTCATGATGAGGGGGGTCTCTAATGAGATTCAGGGAGGCTATAAGGTGAAAAGAACAGGCGTTTCGTCGCGGCTGCTCCCAAAACACTGGCTTATTTGACGTCCATCATGCTGAAGGGAGGTGAGAAATGACGGAGGAATGGATATGTAAGGGGCAAGATGCTGACGGGACGGACTGGACGAACTGGAGCAAAAGCATGCTTTCCCGTGCGTCCTGTAGGTGCTAAAGATTAGGTGCTTAGACCACCCGCATTTAGGGGCGTCGGCCACTCGGAATAGCGTGTTCAGCGCGGGGAACAGTCTGCCCGGCGATCCGGGCTACAGTGGAATCCTTCCCCTAGAGTCCGCGGGGTCGCCGGTGGCCGTTGGGCTCCCCCTAGAGGCAATGGATCGACATGATCCCGGGTCTCTGGTCTGTCCAGGGATAAGCTCATCTCGTGTAGAGCGATAAGCTCTCCACTACACGCTCCTTCGCGTGGTAACGTTACTGGCGAATCCCGAGCCCCTGGGACGGCTGCGGTGTCTCAAATGAGCTTCTTTCGTTAGGCTATCGCCTATCTTTCATGGATCTAGTAATATGTTGACCAAATTTGTGAAAAGGTCAAACCTTACTTTCTTCATGTTAGACCGTGTGGGACGAATTGGTCGAGATAAGCTAATGGCTGTTATAGACGTAGAGTGACTGGTGAGAATTGCTGACCCGACTAAGCGATCTTGACCATGGCATAACCACGCCGGGTCTTTTTTTTGCATTGCATGCACCCAGCTACTATAGAGTTTTGATGGAATCAGACTGGCCATCAAGTTCGAGAATATCATGTCCCAGATTGCTGCATACTTGATATCGAGAGTAGGATGCTGTCACACAATTGAGTTGCCAACTAAGGACGGCTAACCTAGAGCTCCATAGCAACCTACAATTCGAACAACCCATGGCCACGACCGATGGCATTCAAAGCGCCTTCTATAAACATGATGTCATGATTTCATATTTATTTCCTGGACTACTATTGGAGATAGATGACATGCATGGAGAATAGTCAGAAAGACATGAATCAATGTGACCGACTCCGCCCTCATGCATTTACAAGACAAGCCGCTGCCAAATAGCAGACGATGTTACGCAACCTCACATCAATGTCATTCTTGGCACATATAATAGTGGAGGTAAATAATAGTGTTTCATGATACTAGTTAAGCTGTCAAGAAATCTCATAACGCCTTCATCGCAATGTCTTTTCTCGCTGTCGTGGACAAATTACAGCTAGTCAATCTTCCTCTGACTCTTGCTGCCGAAAATGGCCTTCTTAAGATTGGGAACTCCCATTGCCCACAAGACAAGATCCTAGCACTTGTCAGTAGCTTCCTCATCATAGTCACTAGGGATCCCACCGTTGCAGTGTTCCATAGAACCTTGGATGCCAACCAGGTGACGAATGTGCCGTAGCCAACCCATTGAGATGTGGTCGGGGATGTCTTGAGCACATTATTAATCACGCTTCGTGCATACTCCTCGGGAGGTGCTGTATGGCATTAGTGGGCGAAGACTCGCGATTAACGATAACTGACTCGGTTGTAGGGTCGTATTGGCCTCGCCCTTCATCCATGGACCCAGTGCTTCTCGGCCAGGATAGTAGGGCGAGGTTTCAGGGAGTTCTGTCTCCTCTGCATGTGCAAAGAAGCCAGTCTTGATTCCTCCAGTAACCACCTGTACATACTTAGCTTGGTTCGACACCTTCTCAAGTAAAGAAACTTACATGCACCACCTTCACGTCAAAAGGGGCAAACTCGACGCGCATCTGCCTTGAAAGATGCTCCAGTGCCGCCTTGCTAATATTGTAGATGCCCTCGAATGGGATTGGGAGTCTTCCAGCCACTGAGCCAATGTTGACGATAGTTCCTTTGGAAGCAATCAGCAAAGGGCTGAATGCCTGGGTCACTTCCAAGACGGCCCAGACGTTGACATCGAACATGGCTTTGGCTGGAGACATATCTGCATCCAGCAAAGACGCCATATAGCCTGAAGACGATTAACATTCATTTTTGAGTGTGGTATCAGTTGATAAAACGAACCAACACCCGAATTGTTAACGAGGATATCCAGTTTTCCTCCCGTGGCCTCAGTCACTTTCTCGACGGCCTTCTTGATCGAGTCCGAGTCTGTCACTTCAAGTAACACAATGTCCAGGCCCATCTCCTTGAGATGTTCAACCTTTGCAGGACTTCGAGCTGTCGCAAAGACTCGAAATCCCCTGCTGTGGAGTTCTCGGGCGAGGTAATCTCCAATGCCACCCTTGCTAGTGCCCGTTACGAGGGCTGTCTTTTGGGAAGACATTGTCGCAGATTGCTGCAAATCAATGCAAGAGCTGGTTGAAGGAGTAAACTATCGGCCCTGTGAGAGACTGCAGGCCAAGAATATCCTTCAGAGAATGAGAGACGAGTCTCCATCGCTCGAGGGCAGAGGAATGCAGTTTATCTACCCACACATTCCATATCCACTGGCCAGGGATTTAGGGGTTGCGACGACATACGAGCAGGGAACCCCGCTGGAAACGACTTGCCATTCTTTCCGAACGGTTGCATTTCTCTTGGGGAGCTCAGAAATACAGGGTTTTAACTGTGCCTCGGGGCCTAGAACATTTGCGGTCACGGCTACCATCTCAAACGCGGGTTGGCCGGATTGGTTGCGACGCTCGACGACATGGTTCGAGTACGTGAGAAATCTGATCCTACTGGGAAAATATTTTGCGAGCAATGGCTTGACGCTCATGCAGTGAGTGATTGGAAGGAGAATGAACAATTCATCTTCTGACTGAGTGTCTATATCCAAGGGGTGGGCAAGACGGCTTCATATGTATCCTTGCAGAAGCCCGTCACGCAGTCATAAAAAAACCATAAGACATGAGTCAATAGCTCTGCTTTTTAACGTAAGAAAGGCCCTTAATATAATAAGTAAGATATTCAAAGATTTATGATCTTGCTTCTTATTATCATCTCTTATTTAGCTTATATTTAGGCTATAAGGTGAAGACTCTTTATTGACTTGACCGGGCGCAGTCGTCCGTCCTGGTGTCTCCGGTTTTTGTACGTCCGCGTGCCCCGTCACCATAGGTAATCTAGTGTGGCCGAGGAGCGCGGTCAATGCTGCTATGCTAAATGGGTTGATCTTACCCCTGCGGCGCTAACCACCCCGTTTAAGGCTTCTATCTTGACATGCTTTGTCCAGAAAGACTAGGGCAACATAGTACACTGTCGAGCTCGCATGTGCAAATGGATCGTTTGATCGCATCAATTGGAAAAAGAAACGGCTTTTCTTGACTGGCTTTAAAGCCGATGATAATTCTTTTTGTTTTCGTAGACTCGACTATCCCCTGCCATGCCGCCTTGCATCGGCAGCCACGATCTCAGCGCTCCTGCCGAATTGCATTCGGCTGGACGCCAGGTCACGTGGCTGCTCATCCCCCGCATCAACGGGGCATTCTTCTCTCATCTGCTCCGTACCTATCTCCCCTTAATCGAATAAACCCTTCATACGCCCATAGGCATGTCGGACCCGGCTATGGACCCCGGGCTTGCCGCTCCCGCCTCCGCCCTCTCGCCCGTCTCCCAGGTTGCCCAGGTCGGTACCGTCGATCACCTCGAGGCCGTTGCCCGGGCCGCGACGACGCCCAAGGAGAGGCATTCCCTCACCCTTGACCAGCGTCGGGCTCTGCGCCGCTGGGCTAACGGTCAGACTATCCGTCCTTCTCACAAAGCCTGCATAGAGTGGTTCTACTCGCAGTACGGCCAGCAGATCAGCCAGTCCACCGTCTCCCATTCGCTGTCGCCAAAGTACTCGCGTCTGGATAGCGACAATCCCCAGTTGTCTGGCTCGCGGCTGCGATACGGAAATTGGCCCGACGTCGAGAAGCTCGTCCTCATCTGGTACCAGCAAGTCCAAGCATCCGGTCGGCAGCCTACCAACGAAGAGCTGGGCGAGAAGGCCAAGTCCATCTTCAACCAGCTTCCGCGATACAAGGATGAGAACCCGCCCGAGTTTTCTCCCGGCTGGATTCACCGATTCAAGAAACGTTACGGTCTTTTGATCCGAAGGCAGCGCCGCCACGGCGACGGAGGTATGAACCCGGCTGAGGATATCGCGTACCTGGCGGACTGCATTCCCCGCTTCATGAACATTGCATCCGAGACCAGCCCAGCCGCCATTCGAGAGGAAGTTCTTCGCGTTGTCGGCATCGAGCCAAGCCTCAACACGTGTGCGCTTGCTCGCGACGAAATCGTTCGAAGAATCACGAGCCCTCAACCACCACCACCGCCCCCTCCAATGGTCGCTCCCGACCCGCCCTCTATCCCTCCACCACAGCCGGACCAGCCCATCTACGCAGACGATGACCCCGAGGTGGTGTTGCAGAATGCCTTGCGCCAGCTTCAACAGGAAGAACAAGCTGCCGAGGAGCAGGCCGCGGCAGTACGCGAGGAACGCGAACGAGCAGAGAGAGCCGGACTCCCACCACCCGGCATCATCACCACTCCTGGTGGGCGTGCTTCATCTGTCCACCGCTACACGTCGACACCGGCCCACGACCTGAGTACGGACCTTACTCTGACCCCAATCAACTCGGAAGGACCCATTGCGCGTGATGATCGACCAGTGCGATGTCCTTTCTGCGTCAACCAACGGATGCTGCGATCCATCAAGGAGGCCGTCGAGCATCTGTCCACGCACGTTGTTGTTTGATGAATGCTTCATGTCGGGCACATGCCCAGCGGATTTGTTACATGTGGGAGGGCTTGAGTCGATGTTCAAGGCCCAGGAGTTGAAACGGATGGTACAGGGGGAGTTTGCGGTAATACTCACGATTGTACGGATATACCTTTGCTTTTCATGACGGATAACTGTTTTAATACCAATACTTCGTTCAACGCGATCTTCTGCATCGTCCTCCCTCTCCATTGTGGAATATGTGGTTAATATAGTCTACGGTTCCTAATCACACCGCGCCTGATCTAGTCATAACAACCCGCTCGCTTTCAACGCCTTCATAACTGCATCGTTTTCCTTCTCTGCTTTGGTCCTGTGTTTCTTATGGTCACCCGGATTGATATAGTTGACCCAGAACTTGAGGCCCTCTAGTCCCTCCTCACGACACAGCTCCCCTCGTTCCTCTGCCATGAGCAGCTCTTCCTCAGCAACACCAAGACTCCAGCCGAATCGCTCGGCAGCTTCTTGAGCAGTCACACCTCGACCAAACACCTGCCAGTCCCAGGGTACCTCGCGATCTGGAGGAAACTCGTGTAGGTCTTGTAGCCATGCAAGGATGGCCCTGACGGTGGTCCCGTCCGTGCGGTCACGGCTCTGGACCACCATGACACCACTGCGAAAGGTGCGCAGGCGGACGGGGAGCTTAAGCTTGCTCCAAAGCCTAGCAGCTTTCTCAAAGTCCGCCGGACTGACAAGTTCAACACCGCCGCGGGCTCTGTTGAACATGGCCCACAAATCGACGAGCGTGATGATGCCGCCTGCTTTTTTGAGGACGCCTCTCGAGTCATCGGTAAGAAACTCTGCCAAGTTTCTTGACAGTTCTGACAGATAAAGTGACTCGGAGCTGCCGCCACCAACGATGTCCTTTGTTGTGATGAGGCCCAGCTGACTTGCCGACTCTGCTAAGATGGCGTTTTCCTCCGCCGATGCGTTTCCCTGGCCATTGTTTGTCTGCCTTGCGAAGCGCTCGGCGAGGGCAATCACCTCCTTGGCGGATGACATGAGGGCCTCCAAATCCTCAAAGGCGCTGCCGATCAGCAGTTCGTTGTTCTTTCGCATATTCAGACCCAGTTGTTCCAGTCCGGCAATGCCCACCCCCTTGGTTCTCCCCGCTGATGCTCCAGTACCCGAGTCAGAACTGTTCGCTTCATCTGCCATCTGATTGCTCTTTGGGGCGGGAGGCGCATCTTGGAGCAGCCACTTGCGCTGCGTCATGGACCCCTTCAATCGTTCATAGAAGATCTTTTCGCCTCCCCTTCGAAAAGAAAGCTTAACACATTCATATGCGTCAGTCCCGCCCTTGCCACCCTTGCTTTGATCAAGGGTAGGGCCGGGAGAATCAATCCTCGTTGCATCGGATGTTGAACTTTGCTGAATAGCTGATGGGATATCCTGAGATATAAGGGGGGCACCGCACATCTCGCAGGACATCAATGAAGGGTGGTTCGAGAAGGTGCATCGTGGGCATGGGAACGAAGCAGACGAATCCGAGCCATTTGAGGTATCCAGTAAACTGGGTGTTGGTATTTGATCCAAATTCTCAGACAAAGGTCGAGAATCAGATGGCCCTGGCCGTAAAGGGAGAGGGGAGGCGAGAGCCGGAGATGGCGCTGTACGGTTATTTGCACCAGAGATGGCCGCCTTTAAAACGTGAGTCAAAGTTGGTTTGATTCCACACGCAAGGCATGGCGGAAGAGGAGTATGGGCGTTGGCGGTTGTCGGATCAAAGTTGGATGGGACGGGGTTAGAGAAACTGCATATTGTACAGACCCATGTCGAACTCTTGGCAGCCGGTGGCTCCGGGGGTGGCCGATAACCGCTTTCTGAATGTCCCGGAGAGCCAGAGACATTCCTCACCGAGCTGGAGGCGTTTGAGATGGCGCGGCTGTGGTAGGATGCTCGCTTGGGGGGCTTCGGGAACAATGTCACCTTGGCTGATGACTTGAGAAAGCCGGCGTAGAACTCGTAACGGTCCACATCCTTCAGGTCCAACGCAACCGAGTTTGTACGAGGTTCCTTCTGATCGACGTAGCAAACCCGATGTGAGGTTAAGTAAACCTGTCCATTTTGCTGATTGGGAAGCTTGTACTTGCTGCGACCATGTCAACGAGATTCACTCACCGCGCTAACGAGCAACTTACCCCTCATACAAGCCAACGTTATCCTGAACAAACAGAAGCACCTCGTCTGTAAGATACGAGGGCCTTAAAGCAGTAGTAAGATCGATGTGCTTTAAAAACATCCGTCATATGGAAACAAAGTTGAGTGGTAGAGTGAAGTTGGTTGGATATTGGGATGAGCGATGATGCAAGTGGGGGTCGTCTTGTATCAAAGGGAACTAGTTGATAGATATTCGAGATATGGAAATGTCAAGTCAAGCCTCAAATTATGAGAAATACCTCGTCTTCGTATGTATCAAGTTAAGGTGTGATCGAGAGTTCAAGTATTCGTGATGTTGAGTGGTATCTGCTGTCAAGGACGTAGGCATCGGCCGGCCCCTCGAAGTCACCGGCCCCACATACAGCCATGAATCGTGGAGCGCGCACGAGGTCTGACGCCGCAGTTTTTCCGACAGATCACGGGACTTTACCGCCACCGTCACGGGCAGTTGCACCACGAAAATGCCTCCGCTTTCTTCCCAACGACCATCACCGCCCAAGCAGCTGTTCTGCCATCTACAACTGCAACTCTAGCATCGTCTCTCTCCCCAGCCCATCTTGTAAAACTAACCCCTTCCTCCGCTAGCCTTTCGACATCATGATGCCAAGTTGGCCAGCGGCGCAGCCAGCGCCGAGCGTCACGCAGCAAACCGCCCCAGGCAACTATGCGTATCCAACAAGTGAGTCCACCCTTCGGCCGTTCGCCAAACACACTCCTATCACGACGATGCTGACTCCTGTCACAGATCCTGCCTTCATCCCCGTTCCCGTACGCCAGGGATTTGGTCAATACGGAGCACCAGCAGCTCCCTACGCCGGATACGTGCCTCCACCGCCCCCCGTGCAACCCCAAATGTCTACTGCCTCGCCCGTGAATGGTGCAACCCCAGCACCCGAGCAGGCCAAGTCAAAAGTTGACTGGCCCGAATCTGTTCGGAGCTACGTCCAGCGATCCTTCCTCCCCCAGAATGACGACCCTTCCGTATCTCGAGCGGACATCGAAGCCAAGCTTAAGAGCACCATCGGTTCCGCTAAAGAGAACGACACACTCTACACCATCGACTGGGACAGCATGCCCCTTCCTCAGGCCTTAGTCAGAGCCGAACGTGACGCCGAAATGAAGCGCAGCATGCATTCCTCCCCATCCCATATCCGCGAGCCCCTGAATCCTAAGAAGAGGAAATCTGCCGATTTTGCAAATGATGACAACTCTCAGCCCCCGTGGCGCTCTACTAACTCGCGATCTTCTCTTCAAGATCGCATCACCTACCCTTCACCCGAAAAGCGCGCCTCCTTGGACGAGTCACCCCCAAGATCAAGTAAGTTCCAGAAGGAAGCCAACAAGCGCAAGCGCCGGTTCGAGACCGAATACAAGGCGTTCAGATCGCCCAGCCCGCCTCCGCCATCATCTGGACCCATCACCGGCACATGCGAAGTACTGGAGAAGAAGTATCTTCGTCTCACAGCCCCTCCAGTTCCGTCCAAGGTCAGACCCGAACGTGTTCTGCGCCAGACCCTGGATCTTCTCAAGAAGAAATGGAAGAGGGAGAGCAACTATTCGTACATTTGTGATCAGTTCAAGTCGATGCGTCAAGACCTGACTGTGCAACATCTCAAGAACGACTTTACTGTTTCCGTCTATGAAATCCATGCCCGAATTGCCTTGGAGAAGGGGGATATCGGTGAGTATAATCAATGTCAGACCCAGCTGCGATCACTGTATGCTCTGGGCCTGAAGGGCAACCCCATTGAATTCAAGGCGTATCGTATCCTTTACTTTATCCACACTGCCAACCGAACCGGCCTGAACGACACCATGGCAGATCTAACCGCAGCAGAGAAGGAGGAGAAGCCGATCAAGCATGCTTTGGAAGTGCGATCGTCTCTGGCGCTGGGGAACTATCACAAGTTCTTCCAGCTGTACCTGGACACGCCCAACATGGGCGCATACCTGATGGATATGTTTGTTGTCCGGGAGCGGCTTGCTGCTTTGTGCAACATTTGCAGATCGTAAGTGACCCTCTGTTATGTGATCCAACTGAACCGTACTAACTGTGACACAGATACAAGCCGGATGTCAAGCTCCGCTTCATCACTGAGGAACTCGGATTCGAGTCTGATGCTGATGCAGCTCAGTTTATCATCGACCAACAAGGTCAACATTTGCTGGAAGATCGAACAGATTACATCGCTTTCCTGACTGGCAAGGCCGGGCCCCTCTTTGAGGGTGCACGATCGGCCGCGTTCCGAAAGGTTGATATCAAAGGCCAGATCTGAGCGTTTTCCTGTGCATTTCGTCTCGATTTCTTTTCCTCTTTTTCTCTTGCGACTTTCTCAGGCGTCCTGGGGGCAGAATTTTGCTATCGACATCAGCTCGACAAGATATGATGATGCCGTCACTTGGATGACATCTCATTCATGTAGACACGACCACGGCATTTATACCCCGTTGCTCGCTTAAGCGGCATCGAAACTTTTTTTTCGCTACTTCACGCCAGGCCAGAGAAGTATGCAGTTGACTGTTGACCTTGGTCTTGTCTCCTGCTGTCTACTCTGGGCTCGATCAATTAACCATAGCCTCCATACTAGCCCACAATGCTGATGACACCTGGAGGCAAAGCAATGTTTTGATGGATTACAAAAGTTGGATGGGTGCACTTTAGACACGACGGGATTTCATGGCGCGCAACGGAACAAAACTGAAGGCCAATCCCGGCATGGTTGGGACTGGTGGACAACGAAAGACTGAGGTTGACGGCGTTCACATCTTGATGCCATAGCAGCTTGTTGTATTCTAGTCCCAATCATACGCAGGCGGAATTGGTTGCAGAGGCTTTGGCGTTTCATGGGGCCACGGTTCAGTTATTCCAGGTTCATAGCAATTGATTCTTTATTGACTTGAGTATCTGATCATCAATTGGTGGTATATGCTGTGACTGATGAATGAGATCTTAGGCTGCCTACAAGGAGGGATGAGTGGGTCTTTATAAGACGAAATTTTGCTTTCTCTTCGCAGAGAATGTCCACCTAGCTCGCTGCCTCAGCTGGTAAGGGTTGGGATTGGTCTGGGGCTGATAACGCACCCGGACATCTACCTGCAGCTTGACTGCGCCGGTTCGAATCCAGGTAAAACTACTGATGCATTGCATGCAACTACTGTTGATCGCCCTCACGGGCACCCCCGGGAACGACTGCGTCCGACCCAAAACGACATCTGGCACCTGACATCGATGGTCAGCGCCGCGACAACAACTTGTCTAGTGCTAGCCACTTGACTCTCAGTTGTGAGCTCACGCTCGTCAACGTCAACCAAACATTTATTGTTGAACTTACTGTGTATGGGGTCTTGGTAGTGCCCCACAATGCCTGATTCATGACCCGCGACCCTGAGCAGAGGTAGCTGATGCAGGAGGACATTCTCTTTTTGCATTTTTTGACACTTGACATTTACCATCATCGCCCTTCTACAGTTCGATCTCTTTTTTTTTATTTTTTATTTTATATTTTTTCAATATCCCCTGACGCTATTGATATACTTGACACAAGCTGTGTACGCCTGGCTCGCCCAAGCATTAATGGTCTTGTCACACTGCGGCTCATCATGTCCACGGGAAGAGAACGGATGCTTACGCATATTAAAGCAACATGACGGACCCGGTTTCAAGTATACGGCAAAGCAAGTGCCCGGACATAGAGTGCTGTACGCACGAGGGTACACACAATAGCGCATAAGGGCGCATGAATGAGGGCTACCCACGATGCTCTTTGTAACAACAACGTGGTGGTTAAATTGCCATCGGGGAAAACCCCCCTTCCAGATTGGGATACCGTGCTCCGAAGACCAGGGGGGCAACGAACACCCCCCCCTGCCAAAGAAACTTGTCTTCCACGAGGCAGAATACCCAGAGTGGGAAGGCCTCTACAACAGGGAGTGCCGCAGCGTCGGGATAGAGTAGGGAGCGGGATTAGCGGATTCTTTTGCGCAAAAAATGTCTCGGTAAAGGGGGCCTGCGATGGTGAACATGGGGAGTTGATGGCGCCAACGTTGGGCTCTGGTAGCTTGAACATGGGGTTTCTGGGAGTCAATGGCAAAGTCGGGCTTTTTGCAACATGCACATTGGGTCTCGGGAGCTGCTGGGCGTCTACGCGGGTGCATGAAAGAAAGAGGTCGCATGTGGGAGGCCAGTGTTTTAGAGTCCCCAATGGGAGGCAACCAAGAGAGTTTTACGGACGGACAATTCATGATGGACGGACGGAGGGCCCGTCAAAAAGACACGAGACGGGAGATTGACACTCGTAGATTAAATCCCAGGACAGCGGTGATCCGCAGAGGAGACGGCGTCCTTTCATGGGTTTAGCGGGGGACGCTTCCGGGTGGCCATAGACTGGACCAGGGGATGGATCGACCTGATCGATGGAATGGGCCAGGATGCGAGATGAAGGCATTGAAGCCATGTCGTAACAGAGTTGATTCCCAGCGTGAGCGAGCAACAAGTTGTGAAGATCACCATGTCGCCTGGAAGGGGGTCATTATGTAGAACAACACGCGACATCCGCATGTAGGTGAGAGGCCGGCATTTGTCGGCATGAAAAGGCCCATCGACTTCCAGAACGTAGCACAGATGGCTACCTCTCTCACTCTGCTCATCATGGTGCCATTGAGTCAATGTCTCGGCGAGGGCTTTTCTTTACCTTTTGGGCTTGGGGGGGCCTGGGCTGAGTTGGCTCTTTAACCGCGTGCAGCAGCGCATTAGACACCACAGCAAGCGTCAGGTGGCTGTGTCTTGATGCGAGGTGTGTTGTGTTGTCTTTGACGGGCAGATTTCGAGACTGGAATTTGAGCGACGTCATCTGTCTTTAAAGGACGGGTTGCTATGCAGGCTCTTTGTCGATGATGCACATGAGAGGGAAGACTAGAGATATCATGTGCAGTCTTTTTTTTGAGGAGGCTTTCGTTTGTGAGAAACAAACCTCTGACAAGACATACTTTCTCTTGACAGACAGACCTCCATGCAAATGCCATGCATGGTGGCCCCCCCTTGCTCCTGTAGATCCCTGCGCGTCGTGGGTTCGTCTGTTCTTCTAGGCCGGAAATTTCTCGATGAGCACAAGTGTTTTTCTTGATTTTTTAGCGGCTGGGTTGGGCTGCAAGACAGACAAGAGAGAGTCTGTGTGTCTCTCCCGGAATCATGGATGCCAAAAGGTCAAAATCCACCAACCCTCCCTGGCTAATTTGGCCGCACACCCATGACCCGGGATGGGCGACCCAAGAATGGGACGAGGGAGGGGGCCCGGCTGGCCCGAGACGATTGGGCAAAGGTCGCTGGATGTCATCCCATGTTTTGCTGCATCGCTGTGAGGGGCACTTTGATTTGATAGGTTGTTAACTCGGGTTCTGTATGTAGGAACAGGACAGACAGACAGCGAATGCCCTCAAGGTTGAGAGCACCTCATGATTCCTGCGTAGAGTTTGTCTTTTGTGGCTACGCGCGAGCTTGCCTAGGCTTTTTCAATGGTGTAATCAAATCAAAATCATAGATCAAGCCCGGACCCAGTCGACGCCGCCGACGACAAGAGGTCCTAGCCAAGACGGGCTGAGGTTGAGCTCTCCAGCTGCAAGTCTAATGGCTTCCAACGGTCGACAAGCTGCTGCTGATAGACGCCATAGTCTGCTGGTGTCCAGCCCAAGATGGACAAATGCTGCAGCGCCCTTTGCTTTGCTGAGACCCTTGCTCATTGTTAGCTGTTGGGCTCGCCAAATGCTTGGGGCCGCTGATTGGAACCGCCGACCAGAGCCACGGGCCACTGACCACCATCCATTCATTCCCCGTCTAGACTCCTCATCTTATTGTCCTGTCCTTTCCCTTCACCTCCACATTCATCTCATCCTTTTTCCCTCTCCTTCGCTTTCACCCCCCCTCTCCGTCTTCGTTCTTTCTTCTGTTTTTGTCATACTCTTCAAAAAGGGTCGACAGCGACAACTTTGTCAATCCCGCTGCCGCCATCATTCTAGACGCCGCTGGGCGAGCGCAAACAAACACGATCTACGGAAAAAGCCCCTCCATCCCCTCCATCATCACCCCACCGCCGGCTCTCGACTCTTCTCTGGCGTTGGCCCCTGGGGGAAGATTTGCGCTTCGGCCGCCTACCTAATTATTAACACAATCCATTGAAACTTTGCCTCTCTTTTTTCACCATCTACTCTTTTTTGTCTCCTACGCCTCATGGTGTTTGTCGACAAGGCGCTGGAACATTGTTGATTCGATAAAGCGGCAAGGCGTGAACTGCGAGCGTTCTAGCCACGGATTCGACTACGGTTTTGTTTCCAAGGACGACCAAGAATCGACTTACAAAACGCCAAACGACATAGCGGAAACAGTTGTGGACTTGTTTGTCATTTGTTGATTGCGGCGAGGAAACGAAGCGAATAACCAACATCGGCATTTCACGATCCCTCAAAATCGTCCCTCATTTTCCAACCATCACTAACTTCTCCAACTGTCGACAACTTTTTTTTTATCGCCCGTCCCCACCCCCTCCAACTTCTTCCACGGTCGCTTCCATCTCCCGCCGTTGCGCGCCCGGGTGCTCCATCGCTCCACTTGGACTTGGGACTCCCTGGTCTCTTTCTGGGCACCAGCTTCTCTTTTTCGCCCCCCCTCTCCCCCTGGCGTTGTGTGCCTCACAGCGGCGTGTGTTGTGTGTGCGTGTGTGTGTGCGACCCCAGTCACTCACTGTAAGGTACCTTGCCTTGCCTGCCTCCTGCCTGTACCCAACCTTGCGCCAGCCGCCAACGGTGCCGCTGCGCTCAGCTGGGCCTAGTGGTAAGGTATTTTGCAGCCCCTCCCCGGCTGGCAGTGCGTGCGTCCCTCTTACAAGTCCCCAGTGGTAGCACCAGCTTAAGGTAGCCCGCCTGCTCTGCCCAACTGCCTGCAGGTGGTCTCGCGATTCTGGTCCTTTTTTCCAACCTCTGCCTCCGATCGACGACTCACAACTTCCCAACTCGCAACTGCCCGGGAGGCACCCCGTTACACAAACATGAAGGTTCGTCATCGCCCCTTCCCTTTGGTCTTTGGTCGCTCCTGCCCAAATGGCAAAGGTCATCCCTTGCTCTTTACTGCCCTGGATACCTTCCATTTCCATCCATGCCGTCGCTGTTTCCTCCCATCTCCCCTCTGCCTTGCAAGGCACTTTCCTCACTGACTCTGTCTTTCTGCCTCCGTCCCCTCCCCCGCAAACCACCTTAAGCTACCTCTTCTTTTGCCGTCATCGTTTGCGCCAGTCTCTCTTTGGCGACTCAGTAATAGCCAAGGCTTAACGCTAACCGCCATGCGCTTGGTACAGGCTCTTCGAAGATCGATCAAAGGCGACAAGGAAAAGGGAGCCATCGCTCCCAAATCGGCCGTCGCTATTGTTCCTCCCAAGAAGGTTGGTCCCTCCAGCCCCCTCGCATCTCACATCTGTGCCCGACCATCTATGCGAATATCGAATGTCTCGCCCGTTTCCCCATGACGCTTAGCCACATCCAGCCCCGCCATGATCCCCCACGGCAACCGCAAACCCATTGAGTTCAGGCGCTGATGCCCAACCGAATCGCAGGTAATCCGAGCGCTCTACGACTACGAGGCACGATCAAGCCAGGAACTTAGCTTCTCTAGAGGAGACTTTTTCCACGTTATCGGACGCGAGAACGATCAGGACTGGTACGAGGCCTGCAACCCAGCCCTTCCCGACGCGCGCGGCCTTGTCCCTGTCACCTTCTTCCAGGCTCTCGGCCGCACCGAGCGTGATAGTGCGCAATCCGACGGTGGCCAGCCTCCTATGCCGACAAAGAACCCCGACCACGATTCCGGATATAGCGAAGCCCCCCCGATGCAGCCTGCAGCACAGCCAGCCGCGCAGCCGCCGGCGGCCTCCATGCCTCCAAATCACCGCGCTTCCAAGTCGGTTGGAAAGACCGGAGCTATGGTCTACGGAATTGTCATGTACGACTTTGCTGCGGAGAGGGCGGATGAGCTGGAGGCCAAGGCTGGTGAGGCTATTATCGTCATTGCGCAGTCGAACCCCGAGTGGTTTGTGGCCAAGCCGATCGGTCGGTTGGGTGGCCCTGGACTGATCCCGGTTTCCTTCGTCGAGATTCGAGACATGGCAAGCGACAAGGCGATTGCGAACCCATCAGATGCCATTAAGCGTGCTGGTGTTCCTAAGGTAGAAGAGTGGAAGAAGATGGCGGCCGAATACAAGAACAGCAGCATCACTCTGGGCAAGTTCGAGGGCGGCGGCCCCGGACAACCTGGGCAGCCGATTGAGCAGGGCATGGAGCGCATGAGCCTCCAACAGCACGGTCGACAGAGCTCCCAGAATGGATCGGTAAGTGCCTTGATGCGTAAACCTCGATCGACTGACTAACCCTTTAACAGCCAGGATTTGCGAATCAGGCTCGAACTTCACAGCAAGCACAAAACCATTACATTCCGAAACCCGCCGCTCCACTTCAGGCACCACTCCAAGCACGGATACCTCGATACTGTTTTGCCGAAGATAAGTACTGGTTCGTGATCGAGGCTATGCTGGAGGATGGTCGACAATGGGAGCTGTCGCGCTACTACGAAGACTTTTACGATTTCCAGATCGCTCTCCTCACCGAGTTCCCAGCCGAGGCCGGTAACACAGGAACACAAAAGCGCACCCTGCCATACATGCCCGGACCCGTTAACTACGTGACGGATGCAATCACAGAAGGCCGCCTCCATAACCTGGATGCGTACGTCAAGAATCTGCTTAGCCAGCCTCACTACATCTCGAGATGTAACCTGGTGAAGCAATTCTTTGCGCCCCGAGAAGGAGATTACGAGATCGAGGCCGGAGCCAATGGAGAGGAGTACCGTCTTTCACAAGCGTCTCAACCATCATCAACCGAGTCTCCAGCTGTCAACTCGAGGCAAGCATCTCAAAGCAATCTCGCTGGTGGCGGATATGGAGGACTGTCAGCGGCACCCGCGCACCAGATGGGCAACGGCCCCCCTGGAATGCAACGGCAAACGTCATCACTGTCACAGCCCTCGCAAACATCTCTGACCCCGAGCATGCACGCACCCCAACAGCCCGCGTCGGCGATGAAGATCAAGATGTATTACAAGGGAGATCTCATTGCGATCCGAGTGCCGACGGATATTTCGTTCCAACAACTGTGCGACAAGGTCTGCGACCGACTTAAGGTGCCGGCCGGCGACCCAATCCAGCTTTTCTATAAGGACGAGGCGACTGGCGATAAGCCAAGCATGATGGACGATAACGATCTCGACTTTGCTCTTCAGCGAAACGAGAAGCTGCTGCTGTATGTGGAGGTGGGAGATGACTAGTCGGGGATGACGCCAACGGCGTTTCAGCTTGGTTGCATTCCTGCATGGCGGATTCATGTTGAGAGCCAGACTCAACGTGGAGGTGGAAGATGAACCGCCTGGTATATTCCCGTTTCTCGAAGCCTCGCCCGACAGCGCAGTTCCCCGCCTCGATAACCAGGGTTTCCCCTTGGTGGACGGATCCGCAGTTCTTGATGAGTCCCTGACCCAAACGAGGGACGACGCCCCTTTTTGATTTGGCCTTTTGCGGCTTTATGACGACACGTCGGCGAGGAAGTTAATGCTTCTTTGATACCTTTTTAGTAGCTGGACGATGCAATGAGTCATGGCTCGGCGTACCAGACGATCGTTGTCACTTGGACGGAGATGTCAATCTTCCATTTTCTTTTTCTTTTCTCGTCTTTTCTTGAAAACACCCTACTTCTTTGAGACCTTGCCAGTTGGCAGGTCTGGGTCTTTGGAACCTTTTTGATATCACATGACTGAGCTCAGTGTTTTCCTTTCTCTTTTTTTACTTCGATTCTATTCTAAGCTTCCTCCCGGGGGTAGCTGAGGCCTGGAGAGGGGCGTTTGCGGAGGGAACAAGGCTGGCCGTGGCTGGTGCAGGCGGTTCGAGATGGAGCTGGTTCTATAAAAACCGAGGCAATATTCGATGAGTTGTGGGGAGGAAAGGTATTAAGGGGATGATTGAGGGTGAGGACAGGAATATGAGCGTAAAGACGACGCATGTAGTGTAGAAGGATGAGGCAGGGACATATGGGGGAGGATGAGCGCGCTGATGCGTGATGAATGAAAGCGACCTTGCGTGATGATAAAAACAGTTTCGTCAAGTTTAGCTCGATATCATTTGTGAGTGATGCATGTTGTAAGATGTGACTCGTCTGGCAGATGATATCTTATTGTATGATATATATGGCCAGAGCGATGTATTGTTTCTGCTCTTGGTAGTTCTTACGCTTGCCTGTGAGTCTATGCCTTCTAGGATCTAATTAGGAGTCGCCGGTCTTGGTGTACTCTTCCACCGACATCCATTCCACGGTCATTGTCTTGATCATTACCATCATTCCAGTGGGCGCGTATAAGCAACGCAGCCATGACAACAAAAAAACAAAAACACAAACGCCAAAAACGCAACCAAATCAGCAAGGACTTTGTACTCTAGGTCCTCGCAAGATGTACTTCTTCTTTCTTTCTCTTCCATGCATTCCTTCATTTTCCCCTTTAAAGTGTGGTTTATTCTAGCTTTGTCATCAAATTCTTGCGAACCTTCATGTTGACGACACCGCCAACACCAAAAGCTGGAACAATTCGACATATCCGCGCCACAGAGCTGATGAGCCAGTTTCGACGGATCATGTCCCAGCGATCGCGCATGCTGACAACGGCACCGGCTGGGCCAGAGGCTGGACGGTTGTATAGGTCGAGGCCGAGGAGGTGCATCGGGGTCGAGATGAATTGCACCATTGCTGGGGCCATGAACTGTGCTGCGTACAGACCTGACACGCGCTTCTTGACTTGGTCGGTGAAGCGTTGGTCTAGGTAGGGACCTAACAATGGCGGTACGTTGAAGGATGCAAAGATGGTGAGGCAATCTCGAAGAGCGAACAAGCCGTATGAAGCCATAGGTACAGGACGAGGAGTAACACCAGGAGGACCAAAGAGTCGAACAAAAACTTGGTCCTTGTAGATGCAAACACCAATGTTTGCGGCGCTCGAGGCGGCAAACTTTGTGGTGCCAGCCGTGACGCTCGACGCAGGACGGTTGGACACGGTCGATGAGGCAGTGTCGACGGCGTTGGCTGTGAGGTAGGTTCCGCCGTAGAGGCAGAAGATGAGGGCCGTGGGTTTGGAAAGGAGGAGTGTGTGCGGGCGGAGGAGGAGGGTGCGGAGGGAGGATTTGATTGAGGCGGCGAGGGTATTACGACCAGAAGCGTTTTCCATGATGGAGCTGGACTCATTAGCTATGCTGCATATATGTTGTATTAATGAGTGTGGACATACCGGTCAATGATTGCAATTAGAGGTGCGACGAGCGACGCCGCGCTCGCAGCAGAGGCAGCATCGGCAAGGACTCTAAAGCCTAGATTCTTTGTATTCCATGTTGGTGATGTCGATGTCGTGGCTTTGGTGTTGACCTGTTCGGATGTAGCTGTCCCGGACAAAGCAAGCGCGGCAGCTGTAGCTGCATGATGATGGCCACCTTGCTGGGATGCTGCTCCAGCCTGCGGGCCCGAATCCTTGACGGCTGTAGAGTCTGCCATGTTCCTCCTATTCTATCTTTCTTTCGGAAACAAAAAGAAGGTAGAGAGAGGATGAAGGGGATAAGCTTGGCTTTGAAAGTTCAAGACTAAAAAAACAGGTACCGCTCCGGACAAGTCTCCCGACGTCAGAGCACGCACCGTCGGTGTGCTCGCTACCTCCCGCGATACCAGATCTACCCCCAGTGGGTAATATGACGGTCCTGGTTGGGCTGCAAGTTGTGACGAACGAACCAACGGGGGCGCCGAGATCGGCGGGGGCTTTTTCAGGTACAACACGCCGTCGGTGAGATGAGCTGCTTTCCCCGTGAGGTGTGTCGGTTCGGAGCGGGATACCGAAAGGTGTAAGGCGGCTTGTCTCGGGGAGAGTAAGTCTCGGAAGGATTGAAAGAGACGAGAAGATAAGAGTCCTTGATAATGAGGAGGATAATAGAAAGTCTGGACTTTAATTTGGAATGAGCTTTCTTGTTGTGGCTGAACGACGTAGAGGTAGTGATGTAATCGTGTATTTGATGGCTGTATTTCAACCAAGTTTTGAAAACGACAACACTTGTATCACAGTCACACGACGAAAGACACAACCTCATCCAAGTCCCGATATATATATTCTCCCCTACACAAAATACCCTCATCTCAACCGCCGCAACCTGAATCCATCACCTAATCTCACTTACACCCACGGCTCCCCCACGCCGATGATTGCCGCGCCAGCAAAACCACCACTTACAACATCCCCCGTCTCGCCCAATGCCTTTGACATCGGCCTCGATTAGGGTCCCAGTGGCTTATCCCGACTGGAGATCCAGCTCATCATGCAGGGCCCTTGCTTCTCCCCAGTTCGTCTCCTTGTCCTGAGACCCTCGGCGGCATACACCGGCTTTATCGAGAGGTCCATCCTCCACCAAGCTCCCTGACGACACGCGATATCCCAAACAACAACCCAGCAATGCACAAGTATGCATGTTAGTACCAATCACACTGTTCCAATCCACCATTCAAACTATTCTTCGGCACAAGCCCCCGATCCCGAGTCAACAGGCCTTCCAATCTCAATTATGTGCAATTTAACCTATCAATCTAGTACGCTAACTCCTAACTGTTCAATGACCATCTCTAATCAAAGAGGCCAACGGTAGCAATGCAAGAAAAGAAGCAAATGTATCATGTCTAGGGTCGTTAGCTTAGCATCCCACGTCGTCGTAACTCATTCTTAATCGATGAGGTCCACAAGCACAACACTGGCCGACTGACTGACTGACACCAGAGCCGTCGCTCTCCGTCTCCCCACCAGAGCTCCCCACACTGGGTGGGATCCATCTAGCAATCGAATAAGGCCTTGTCCACACATCAAGACTTCTGGAACCCTTCCTGCCTTCACTTCTCTCCACCCTCACTTCTACCGACACGACCCGGCCAGGAAGACTCAACATTGATCCTCATGCGGACCGGCCCGATCTTCAAAGCCCGCGTTTAGGCGGCGGTGCCCTCACTTGTGCTTCCACTCTCCTTGCCGCTTGCGCTAGCCGACTGCTTCTCTTGCAATGCCAAAACCAACGCCGTCAGCTGGTCGACCTTGCGGTTCAGCTCGCTAAGTTGTGACTCGGCCGCCGTCGGCGCCTCCACATCGTCCTCTGGTCTTTCCAAGTCGCGGGCGTTGAGTCGTCCTCTAGGCGACAGCAGCGATCGGCGTCCGACGTTAGAGGTAGACCGCTTCGCCGCCAGGTTCTTCCTACCGTTGCGCCGTGTCGAATGTTGAGGTCCCTTGAACCCAGCAAACTCATCAACACCTGGCTTACGGTACATCTCGTACAGCTTGATTATCCCGACAATCGGCCAGTGAGTCGCCTTGAGGAGAATGATGCGTCCAGCCCGGAACTTTTCGTCAGCAGAAAAGATGAGACGCCAAGGCCTGAAGATGGCAAAGGCCAGCAGGTTGAAAGGTGGGAAGAAGTGAGTGAGTCTGTTGCTGGTTGACGCTTCCAGGACGTAGACGCTGTACACGTACAGATACTCCTCCTTAGCGTGGGTGATAACCCGCGAGAAGCTGTTGGACAGCATACCAGTCAAGGAGCCCATCAGCAGGAAACTCGATAGCGTGATGAAGATGATCATCAGGGGAGGTCCAAAGAAGGGATCGATCTGGTTCATCACCTCGAATCCAATAGGGGCTGATCCATAGAATATCTTGGTGAGGATCCAAGCCATCGACTTGAAGGCAAAGACATCGCGGCCAACGAGCGAAAACGTCGTCAAAAAGCCACAATACACGACTACAACGAGCACCATGTATTTAAAGAAGTCCTTGCCCATTTCTTTCAAGCAAGGGATCAGAGTACCCCAGTAGGGACTCAGACTGAGGATGGAGAAGATGCGAGGAATCATGAAGAGAGCCTCAAGAGACAAGATGTCAAAAGCGAGGTCACTCAGATCCACTCTGTCTTGGGTGATGCCAATAATTCCTATACCATGTTAGTTTCTCTCATACAAAAAAAGGACATTTCCTTACGCAGAATAGCAAACGTGAAACCGATCGTGATCATTATCATGTCAAACAAGTTCCAGATGTCAGTGGCGTAAAAGATGGAGCCTGCATCGAGCCACTCGCTAAGCTCATCGTAGAAGAAGGCTGCTATCCAGAAAAAGAGGATGACTTCGGGAATGGTGAGGCGAGATTCGTCTCGAACAATGAGCACAGAGTAGTACAGGGCCAAGAAGATACAGAAGAAGAGCACTTCCCAGCTCTTTAGGTACTTGGGCACCCGCAGACGGGAAAAGGGGTCGGCGGTGCGAGGGTTGTAGAATCGAGGCTTCTTGGTGGAGTGAACCGACAGACTGTCCCAGAAGATGATATCACCGCTCCATATGGCAGTGATGATCTTCTGAACAATGTGCTGGCTGAGGAAGCGCTTGGCATTAGCAATGGCAGCGATTTCAAGAGCATTCAGGTTCTTGAATGGTGCGGTAGGGTCGTTTTCTTCCTCGTCATCATTCTCGTCCGATGTCATAGTCAGTCGAGAAAGGGAACTCAGAAGCTGGTTGCGCTTCATGCTGCTGCCAGCTGGACCAGGTCCACGGCGACGATTGTCAATAGATCGGAGGTGAGAGAGCAGGGGAGATGCCTCGCCAGCCTCCTCGTCGCGAGTATGACCGTTGCCTGTTTCTTCAGTCTCGTCGTCGTCGTCGTCCAGATCAGGAATCTCGTAGAGGCAGTAATCAACTGCCTCACGCTCAGAGAGACGTGTCAGGAAACGCCATGCAACAATTTCACAGGCATCTGCTCGAGATTCTCCCAGAGTGCGGTGATCTGATGAGGAAGCATAATGCCATTTTAGTGCTCTGCATGTCCAGTCAGTCGTGAGTTTTCTACGTTAGCATTGAGGTGTGCCAGAAGGTTGACGCAACCACAATGTTGGAGCAGCTGAAGCTGGGGTGAAGAAGGTTGTGATTGGCGTAACGATAGTCAGGAGGCCGAAAGCATTGGCGAAGGTCTGTTTCCCCTGCAGCGTATGCACGCCACAACATGGGAGAACAGTTTAAAGCAACCACATTGTAAAACGGCGGAATCACGAAAGTGATACGTACAGAAGAGCATTGACAATGCCAGGGTTGGTGCAGGTGGCCGTGAGATGATCCACCAGAATGCGAAGAGGAGCCCCCGCAGGCGTGGTCCTCAGCTGCTCAAACGTGCTGGGCAGCTCGATAGCATCGACAAAGTAGCTAGTCACGACGCGTTAGCACGCCTCCAGCGGTTCAATCGAGGGGTCCACTCACAGGGAGAGCTTCTTGACCACGTCGCGGAAGCTGTCGTCAAGGGCAATGTTGGGCAGGTCGTACTCGTAGTCGGGGCGGATGGACACGGGGCTTCCCTCGCGAGGGGCAGCGAGCTTCTTGGATTTGACCTTGATAGGCATGATGACGTCGTAATAATAGATGCTGCTGGATCCAAGATGAAGAATGAATCCTCCGTAGAGGGGCAAGCTCTAGGAAATAGCGCGATAAGGGAGCTCCCTTTGAAGAAGGAAGAAAGAATAAAAAGGGAAGAAGATTGATTCACGGTCCCTTACGCGGGAGAGGTAGGTAGTCCACGAGGGATGGACCAGATGGTTGGGATGCGGAGATGAGGGGGAGGAAGGCAGCTCCGAGGTGGTTTCCTCAAGATTTGCTGGCCTGTGCACGCGCCGGTCAAGTCAATGGCCCGTCGATCGGATGCCCAGAGCGTTTGTCTTGAGACCCAAGCAAACAAGAAGAGAGAAAAGGACGAGAAAGAAAGAGGCTCGTTGACCGAGCTTAGCGCTCCAGGCGTGAGAAGACAAGCCGTGTGCCAGGCTTTGGTCCTTGCCCAGGAAAAACAGCCCCCAACCAGAGGCTGGAGATGGACCACCCACGGAGCAAGGGTCCCTTCCCAAGGGTCCGTTCGTCTCGCGAGTGGTGGAGAACAAGGGTCCTCGAGCCGCCAGTGGGAGAGCTTGTCAGGGTCGCTAGGCCTGCGGATATTGGATCATCTAGCCTCGTGAATCAAAGATTGGCGGGTGGGGGGAGGCAATTGTCTGTGATGATCGAACGAGAAGGAGGTCATTCAGAACAATACAAAGAAAGTCTACGAGAGGGGGAAAGAAGCTCAATTGGTTCACTCACTCACAGTCACCGCTTTTGCAATATTGCAAACACAAAAGGTCCTCAGTCAACTTCGTCATAGCGACAACCACAATGCTTGTACCACGGCGATACCCCTCAAAGTCAAATTGCTCCATGTTCAGTTTCAGGTTGAGCCACAACCTAAGTTAACCGCTGCAAAGCCTCCCCGTTGAATAACGTGATGCAGATCTTTTCAAAACTCCAGGAACGATGATGGAGGACCTTTTTTAAAGCTTCAATTCTCAGCCCTACATGTTGATCTGGGACCTTCTCGTACTGCTCGTATGGCCTACGCGTCTTGGCAACGTGTCGCGCCACACCGACTTTGAGATTCTGCGCTTTGAAACACATAGAAGAGTAAATATAGACTTGATCTCATCTCCAGGAATTAGGCAGAAACCAAACAAGCCTTGACAATGGCTTAGAAAGCAGCCTCTTGACGATGGCGTCGTAAACCCGTGTCATGGCATACGCAAGCATCGAATTTTTGTTGCTGTAAGCGACAATGCTTCAAGCCAATCGAAATCGACTCTGCAAAGGACTCGGGAGTACGGAGTAATGTTGAAGAGAGGCAATAGTAACACCGCCAAGTGTGAGAACAATTGAAGCTCATCACGGCGCAGTTCGAAATCACTCGGCACCTCACCCGTCTAAGCGACGACAACCTCACAGCCAAGCCTCGAAAGATTTAAGAGCCTCCAAAGGCCCAGCTCGCCAAAAAGGCAGATTTCCTCAGCCATTTCACGAGCTTCAGCCTTCGAGAAGCAAGCCTCTGTCAGCCCTACATGACATCGGGTCCGTCCGCTTACTCCATGTCCCATCCACGTCGCATTCTCGACGCTCTTGTTGGCTGAGCCTGCCTTAGCTTTGGCGAGCATTGGCGAGCACGCGCGTCTCAGCCAAGCAACCCCGGTCACCCTTCTCCAGCAACTTGTGCCGGGGCTTGATCTGAGCCTCAGAGAAGTGCCAAAAATGTTCAAACCTCGCCAAACGCAGCATTCATCGTATAGATTGAGACCTGAGGAAATACATAAAGACTTGGAAGAGGATGTTCAAAATGTTTCGCCATCAGACAGACAGACAGCAGCTACAGCTTAGCATCCAGGCTAAAGACGACTTCACTTAGACGCTGCGTTCGACGACTTACACCATGGTCACCACCACCACACATGTACCTACCTCTACGGTATCATCTTCAGCAACAGCCAGTTGCACCACTGCGGTGCCTGGCAAGTATGGCCGTGTTCCTGTCGACGCCTGCAACGCCAACTATTTCTTCGACCCGAGCTTCGCTGCCAACCTTGCCTTTTGCGTGCTCTATGGCATGACGACGTTGGCCCATATCACACAGGCCATCATTTTCAAAAAGGTCAGTTTCTCGAGTCGCTCAAGATTGGGCACCGCTAACTTGCCTTAGCGATTCTGCTGGGTCGTCATCATGGGTGCAGTTTGGGAAACGATTGGCTTCACCTTCAAGACTCTGGGGAGTCGGAATCAGCAGAACTTTCAGTATTTGCTTTGGGGACAGCTATTCTTCCTGCTTGCCCCATTGTGTAAGTACCAAGCCCTTCTTCAAGCCTCAGCAAAGTTGCTAACAGTGTTAGGGCTCAATGCTTTCGTGTACATGGCAGTCGCGCGCATGGTATACTTCCGAATGCCCGACCGCAAGCTCCTGGGCATCAAGGCCATCCGAATGACAGTGCTTTTCGTCTGGATCGACATCATCCTGTTTATCGTCCAGGGCGGCGGCGGAAGTCTTCTCTCCAACGATGAGGACCAGAACCTAGTTCGGATCGGACAAAAGATCTACATGGCAGGTGTCGGTGTTCAGCTTGGCATAATCGTCATCTTCAGCGGCCTGACTGCTTTCTTCTACTATAAGCTCAGGGAGATTGAAGGTCGCGACATTGGTCGGATGAAGTGGCTCATCTGGACTATGCTGCTTGTCCTGATTCTCATCATCGTAAGTACCTCTTGTTGTTTAAACGAATCACGAGCTAACAAACTCAAGGTTCGAATCGTTTATCGTCTCGTCGAGTTTGGCCCTGGTGTCAATGAGCACAACAACCTCCTCACCCACGAGGGCTATCCCCTTGGTCTCGATGCATTCCCGATCCTCTTTGCACTCGTGCTCCTCAACGTGATGCACCCTGGCTTCGTCCTCCGTGGGCCTGACAGCGAATTCCCCCACCTCAGCCGCAAGGAAAAGAAGGCTCTCAAGGAGCAAAAGAAGCGGGAGAAGGAACAGAAGAAGGCAGCCAAGAAGGCCCGCAAGCAGGGTTCGTACGAGCTCGAGAATGGATTCATCGACGAGGATCGATCGGGCAGCGGACGAGAGTTGCTATAGGGGGCGTCTGAGAGAGGTATTGGGACCCGAGTCATGTTGGGTTGTTTCTGGTATGCATTTTGGTGTGTTTTGGGAGAGGCGCGGCGTTCAGCCAGGAATGGATCTGAGTGTTTGTGGGTAAATGTGAAGTGGATGGAATCGGCTTTTGCGCATGAGAAATCATTATGGATAATCAACTATAGAGAGGAGGAAGAATTGTTTCAGTGAATGTATCGTATTTTCTACAACAATTGTATCATGATGCAGGCGAGGACAACTCAGGTGTCGTATGTTGATCTGTGCATCCCGATTTAGAAGCACAGGATACACTGCCACCAAGAGGATCCGGGATGGAGCGATATGTGTGTCAGCTGATGCATGGATAAACCATGACGTTATAGTTCGAGTATCGACAGGTGCAAGGTAGTGAAAGAATGCAACAGTTCGCAACAGATCTACACCGACGTACAGGCCAAATCTCTGTACAACCTGAGCAAGAGTGAAAAGGGTTGGACCTCGAAAGGGATGGATACACGGGATGAGATGCACAAGATGCAACCATCTCGATGCTAGTGCAATGCACAAGATCGACCCAAACAACAAGGGGTGTGGGACCAAGTGAGACAAGCATGCCAACGTGGCCAGCGAGTCAAGGGGAGCCCAAAGAGGGCCTGAAGGAGGCTCAAGATCCAGGGACAACCACCAGGCTCTCTTAGACATTTGATGCAAGTAATTTGACCGGTTGCTGTGTTATTCCATGTCCATACCAGTCGTATTTACTTGGCATTGTCTACTCCGTACTGGGTATCTAACTCCGTCTATGACAAAAAGTCATCTCTTCAATCTCTTCCTCTCTCAATCCCCCGGCTTCCTCCCCCCCCAACCACCCCCGCCGGGCCTCCGTGACCCCGGCCCAGCCTCCCCTCCAACGGCACGATTGGATCCAAGTCGCCCCGGGAGACGCCGTCACAGCGTCGGATGCCGGTGCAACGAGACCCCTCCAAGCTGCCAGCACTTTAAACGGCCCCCGGCCTTTGACCCTGGCGTTACTTGGCAGAGAGAGAAGGCAAAAAAAGAGAGAGGCAGGGAGATCCCCAGCAAAAAAACAGATAGAAGGATCCCCCCCTGCGCTGCATTTAGTTCCCTGGCCTAGCAACCAAACTACTCACCCTTTGCGAAACAAACCAGTATCAGCAGCCCACATTGCAGAGACAAGTTTACAGGTGTGGCCCTGCTTTGATACCTCGTAAACGTGCGTGCGTTGTGTTACAGCCCCCTTCGTTCAAGGGCCTTTTTTTTCCCCTTCCTTCTTTCTTTCTTCTCTTCTTCCCTTTTTCAATCAATCGCCCCCTTGTTACATCATTGCATTGCTCACCGGTTATTGATTTTGCATCCTCTTTTTTTGGTCGTCACACATTTTTCTCTCGACGTGGCTTCCTCTTTCTTTCTTCTTTTTTCTGAGGATCGACCGACAATCGTCAACACCAAAACCCACCCACTACCTACGCTACGAGAGTACCCTGCCTTTTCCAAGCGAAATCGATAACATCAAGCGCGCGACCGCCCGCCAGACCATGTTTGGATGAGATCACGGGACTTCAGATCATGACCCCCGCCGATCTCATGGCACGTTTACCGCCGCTGCTCGTCTTCTCCAGCATCGTCAACCTCGCCGCCGGTTATGCGCTGCCGTACCCGACAAAGACGGTCGAGTACCACGAGCTGAACGTTCTGCCGTATCCCCTCGCGACGGCCGCCCCCGACGATGGGTTTCTGCTGCGACGACAGCTCAACACCGTTTGCGGTTATGTAGGAGGAGACCCCGCTCTGCCAGCTACTTGTTCAGCGGGCTCGCATTGCGTGGTGGACGTTGAGCATGGTGCTGTTGGATGTTGTCCTGATGGAGGATCTTGCACGCAAGGAGTGTTTACAGGATGTGTTGATGGCAACAGCGATCCTCAGACTGAGGTGAATCCGTATGTCTATACTTGCGGAGGAGGCGACTCTTGCTACAAGAACAGTTACGAGGGTGGATTCTTCCAGTATGGATGTGGCTCGACTTCAGGCTTGGCTACGAAAGTGGTAGCAACCGCTTCGGGCAAGTCTGCTATTCAACTCACGACCATCAAGGCTCCTCTTACAGCCACCGCGATATCGCTGTCTGAACCGACTACGCTTGGAACTAAGCAGAGGACCTCAACTGGATCTACCACAAGCAAGGCTTCAACAACAAAGAGTTCGACCACCAAAAGTTCAACTGCAACAAAGACGTCAACGACGGAGACTGAGAGTTCCACGGAATCAACTTCAACTACAAAAACCACAAAGACTTCATCAACTGCTTCAACAACAGAAACTGAGTCGGAAACCGAGACTGCAAGCAGGACGTCGGACGAGGATGCCGCAACCTCAACTGCTGCGGCTGCAGCTCCGGATACAGATGGCAAAGACAACGGCACCAAAAACACGGGTGCAATTGTCGGTGGTACCATCAGCGGCGTAGCCGCCGTCGTCGCCCTAGTCGTGGCCGTCATTTGGCTCTATCGGCGACGACAGGCCAACCAGCGCCAGGGGCCGGGCCTGAAACACAAAGTGCAGCACGTCGGGTAAGCGCCCATATCCCATCACCACTCGAACGGTGACGAAAAAGGAGTTTTGTTTTGTGCTAACAGAGATTTTTTTTACCAGTCCCGGTCCTCATGATAGACACAACTTTCAGCCGCTACCGTCGATGCAGGAGGTTGATGAAACGCATCCTCCACCTCGCCCACCCCCGCCCCCACCGAATCCGGTGGCTCGCCGAAACATCACGCCTATTCGCGAAGGCGACGAGTATCACACACCGGAGCCATGGGATCCTCCGGCCACGTATGGGTACTCGGCTACTGCAGTTGGTGGAGGCGCCCACATGGAGCACGATGAGATACCCCTGACCCGCGAGAGTGTCGACTATCCCCACGGCTACAATGCGGGCCTGGGGCGGATCAGCGAAGAAGACCCGAGGCCAGGCACCGCCATCAGCACACCCGGAGCCATGAGCAGTCCCATGGCTGCGTATCCAGGCCCACGAGGCGGTGGAGGAGGTCCTTTGTGGCAACAAAACCGAGACCCGGGATGGGTATAAACCAGGAGACGCTGTATATGATTTGACGAAGAGGAAAAGACGGTTAAAGCACGACAATGCGCAATGGGGGCTATAATCAGGTTTGTTTCCGGCGTTTTACGGCGAGGCACTGGGAGTTGATATCCGGTGGAGGCTGCGTGCATTGAAAGACATCTTATTTCCCCCGGGGTTTGAAATAAAGAGAAGGGAAGAAATCGAAAACAAAGACAGCGACGTCAAGAAATCGGGAATGAATTGGATACAGTAGATGACGGACTTGGTCAATCAGGGGTAATCATGAGATATGATGGCCACACGGTCACGAGCTGGAGGATTCATGGTAGATAGTTAATGATAAAGTAAATGATCAAGATTAAATCAGCGTTTCCCAATTCATGGGCATAAAGTTTTAGTGCTGAATTACCACTTGCAGATGTTGGCATCGGTACCTTAGTAGAAAGTCGATCAAGGAGAATATCATGATCCAGCAGCAAAACACTTACATTGACTGGCCTAGGCGTGCCTCTGCATACACCTCGACTGAGAACACCAAGCATAGATAGCCGTGTCCAGTTTTTACTTTTCCCGTCTCTCAAAGGCGTCACAAGTTAGCTTGCTATAATGCCATAGTACCACTTACTCATGAGGCCTTTCAACATGGAGGTTCTGCTGCATTTTCAACCCCCTATCGACCAGACCTTTACACTCGACTCTTCGAATACGGTCTGCGCGCCTGCCGACTCCCCAAAGCCCCATCCTCCAGAGCACGTCGCAACTACGGAACCACTCGAGTGGAGGGCAGTGCTCCCTACAGGCGCATCATGCGCTTTCCAGTCCCAGGATGGCTCTACGGCTCCGGCCTGACTGCCCACGCCCTCCCAAACTACAACCCCGCCATCATGAGTCCCTGTCCAGACTTCGAATGATGGTGTTTGTGCATAAGGGTCGCCCGAGAACACATCAAGTGTCATCTTCTGTTGCGTTGGCGCGTTTCGGCCTTTTAATGTGCAAAGAAGCTGGCCTACGCCGCGAATGTCATAGACGACAATGCCGGAGGCGTGGCGCTCGTTAATGACAAGATATCTTCCACAAGGACTCCAGCGTACCTGGATAACACCTTGTCCCCCGGAAGCCCCGTCTAGATCATCAGGGCGTGGGAGTGCCCAGTTGGAGATGACCTTGTCCGTGCGATGTACGTCGTATAGCCCTATCCAACGAGACCACGTCCCAGCAGCAATAATTCTGCCACCATTGGCGTCGACAGGGGAAGCTGCTAGGGCCGCAACGGTGCCCTTCATGCCGACACCGCCTCCCTTTGCAGTGAACCGTTTCGAGGGTATTGTGGGGATGGTGAGAAGAGGACCATCGGAGCCTGGGCGTGTCGTGTCAAAGTAGTCGAGACGGTTTGCCGAGCCGCACAGGAAATGGGTCCCGGGAGTCTCCCACAGCATGGACGAGGGTGTGATGTACTCTTCCGTTTCCTGACGGATGAGCTTATACGAGGCGAGCGGGGCGGCACGCGATACGACCCCATCTTGCTCGGGAGGGAAGAGGTGGTAGAGCTGAATTGGATGATCTCGACAACCGACGAGGACGGTCTGTGAGGCTGGGTCGGCAAGGGAGTAGAAGGGCGCGGCGACGACTGTTTGCGATGGTTCAGGGAGGGCTATTGAAGATTGGGGCTTCAGATGGCGTGGGTGGGACGAGGCTGGGTCGAGGAGGTCGTCAGGGAGGACAAAGGTGGAGATGGAGTAGAGGGAGGAGGAGACGAGGAGAGATGTTCCGTCGGCGGTCCATTGGGCTGAAGTGTAGAAGCTGTTTTGACTCGATTGTGAAAGCTCTCGACTGATCGAGTTTTCGGCGACGAGATTGATGGATGGTGAATTTTGGGGTGGTCGATCGTTATCGGTATCCAAGGGAGAAGACTCTGATACGGGATGTGGATTGCTCGCGGAGTCGGGAGCTGGTTCTGCTGTAGGTTCGGGATCATCCATGGTGTAAGTTGAGGTGAAGGTTGCGAGATGGGGAAGGGCAGGAAAATGAGGAATTGGAGTGGATACCTCTTGAATCAGCATCAGCTGGAGTGGGTTTGTGTTACCCACAGGTACTTGCACTAGATGCTGCGTTTGCAAGGACAGAGGCAGTAAATACAGCGCTCAATTAATCTCGAAATCTATAAATCACTATTAGAGATGGCATTGCGACTCATTCTCCAATTATAGTATGTATGAATGCCTCCTCTTCTCTCGTTACCCTTGTCCCCAGGGCGAGGCTATCGCCGGAAGATCCACACAACCATCTGCCCTGCACTATCAAAGCGACGTCATCAGCATTGGCGCCAAGACCTCTCCGCTGTGCCTGTGTTGCCGACAGGACCAAGAACCGAGAGAGAGAGAACGAGGAGCAGCTCAGCGGCCTCCAAAGGGGTTTATTTTTCCTGCAGGGTCCAACAGGCAAGAGACACTCTAGCTCGGGTTCGCTCTCGTGATGGGGGGGAGCCTTTCTCCGGCTTGGCGGGGGATATGGGATGATGGGAGTGAGATTCAAGATTCTGATGAAAGGCAAGCATCCATTTTGTCGGCGACCTCGCTTGGCTTTTCGCTTGAATCCCAGGTACAGCACATACGTTGTATCGACTCAGCTGACCAAACAACGTTTTTTCTCCAATCCATGGATCACACTTCAACAGGCACCCTTTCCATAGAGTTGCCGTTTCGAGCCGCCCGCTTCTCAAGGTTTCATCCGTGGACTACATGATTTGCTGGTACCTTTGTAGATTGCAGTTACTTGTTCGCCTTGCCCGCCTTGTCCAATGTCACTGGGTCTTGTTCTTAAATTCTCCGAAGCTTTCCAACCACCCACTTCCTTACTTTCTTTCTTCCTTCCTTCATCCATCAAACCCCAACAGCAACAGTCAACATACCAACATCTCGTATCTCGTGTCTGTCTCAAAACGGATTACACATTCTTCACCAATCATGGTCTCGTAGCTCTCAGACCCCGTTGCTTCGCTTAAAAGCTGCACTGCTTCGTTTTCGATCCTCGTATCGTATACCTGCCTATCACCCAAATACCTTAACCCCCGTCTAAGCTCGGCCGGTTTCCCCTCACAGCCTCGCCTGGGCAGACAGACAAAAAAAAAACACCAACTAAAGAAAGGCGAGCGCCCATCATACGTCACCTCCCAGCAACGCCCAAGCTCGCCCATCCACCCCCAGTCGAGTCGCGCCGTTTCGCCTTTCCTTTCCAAAAACCCCCCTCGCGAAACAAGACGCTTCTCTCGTCTCTCCACCCTTTTTTACTCAGGCTTGTATTAAGCCTCTTTTTTAATTCGGGGAGAACCCCTGAATCTCATTGACGATCATTTCTCTTCCCTTTCCCTTTTGTTATCCGTCGTCGCCCTCGTGGGAATATCGAGGGTCGCGGCATTGTCTATCCACCATGTCTATGTCAGCCATGGAAATCTTCGCCCCCGGCGAAGACCGATGCGCGAAGCTCAAGGCGCCCTCGTACCTTGAGCTCATCGTCTCCATGTACGGATCCATTGCGATTCTCTCCAAGGGACTTTGGCGTGTGCTGACTGTGACTGTAGCGTCATCCTGCTCGGTATCCTCGTGTCCTACCTCCCCCAGCACTACCGCATCATCTCACGAGGCACTTCGGAGGGCATCTCGCCGTACTTTGTCCTGCTGGGAACCACTTCCGCCACTGCCGGCTTCGCCAATATTCTGACTGTCGCGCCGTCCCGAGCTGCCATCGGTTGCTGCTACGAGGTTGGCAGGTTTGAATGCGCTGCTGGACTGTTGGGTGTTGCTCAACTCGGCGCCCAATGGGTCTGCTTTAGTCTCATGTAAGCTCTCCATGCGTCTGCTTGCCCCCTCAGCTAACACATTGTATAGCCTCGTCCTTTTCCTCATCTTCTTCCGTTATAGACAGGCCAATGTTCCTCCAGAGGAGCTCCGCGGAGATGCTCCTCGATGGCAGACGGCTGTCATGGTCGGTCTCCTCTGCGTTCTCCATGGCCTCATCGTGATCATCCTGACGGGCGTCTTCTTCATCGCCCTCCCCGATCACCTCGTCTTCTGGGCTAATCTGCTCGGCATCATGGCTACCGTCCTGGCTGCCATCCAGTACGTGCCGCAGATTTGGATGACCTACCACCTTAAGCACGTGGGAAGTCTCAGCATCCCCATGATGTGCATCCAGACACCCGGTGGTTTCCTGTTTGCGGCCAGTCTGTTTGCTCGTCTGGGCTGGGAAGGCTGGAGCACCTGGGTCATCTACCTGATCACAGCGTCTATGCAGGGGTCTGTGCTCATCATGGGTGTCTACTACGAATACACGGCTCGGCGCCGCGAGGGCTATGCCAACGGCTATGTCGACAGCGCGCCGCAGTCGCCTGTTCAGTACTCGAGCACCCCCCGGAGACCCGCTGCCCCCCGAACCTACTCGGAGGGCTGGGAGCGAGGCCTGCCGGGGCCGTTTACGGGTCATCCGGAACGGTACGCCGAGACGGAGGAAGACCTCGACGATATCCAAGAGCGCGAGGAACGCGCCATTGAGCGGGAGAGCCAGCCGCTGCTGAGGCCTGGCGGAATAGGCAACCCTCACAAGAGCTACGACACTACCGAGCACTGATGGGTTGAGCCGCGAGAGGCGCAGTGCAGCGCAGCGTGGCATAACGCAACACAGGGGGTTTACAGCGAGCATTGATATCCCATAATTTATTCGTGTTGATCGATTCTTGGTTCAAGTTAGGATGGCATACTCTTGTCTAGAATTGCATAACGTTTCTCTTCCTTCAGCCCGGATCCAATCTCTCTCCGCTTGACTCATTCATTACCATGCTAGGGATCTAGTGGGGGTTGATGACTCCTACATTGGATGCTTATCCTGGGGCATGCATTCTCCAACTCAACTCAAAGCCGGGGTACGTATTTCTATTCTGCCTGCCAAGGTCATGATGTGATGGCCATGGCTTAGGAATTGGGAGAGCATCACCTGGAACAATCACAAGATAAAAAGTATGCGCCTGTAGCCGCTTTCAACAGCCTCATCCGCCAAAGGAACTTGATGCTCGCACTCACGCCCTCGCATCCAAGGCTTCGACTGGAAGGAGGCGGGCGACGGGTGACTCGCATCCGCACGGAGACTGGATCCCCTGCTCCCCCGTGTGGGAATGCGCCAGCATCTGATTGGCTAATCTCGAGGATGAATCACCTCGTCCTTGTCGATACGTATCGGCCTTTCAAGATGGCATCCATCCATCAAGTAACCACCTCCTCCTCACCTCGGCAAGAGGCTTTTCTCTTATTCTCTCATCACCTACAGTCCTAGGGAATCTCTCTTCCTCCTCTCAGATTGCCATTGCTATCCGGAGCATCCATCTCCAGCATCATTCCTCTCCTCCAAACCTAGATATAGCCTTATCTCTCAATTCCCCGCAATCTACTCATCATGGCCATCTACAGTGCCGTCCCACCTCCCGACCAGCAGCCCTCGTCGCCGATTGCTGCGTCGGCTCTCCCGGTCCAATCGCCTCCCACGCCCGTGAGAAAGTCGGCCATCGACATCGATGCTTGGACCATCTCGGCTCTTCAATCTCTCAGCGTGTCCCCCGTCGCTCGCGGCACCGGTAGCCCACTCTCCATTCCCATCGACCAAGCTCCCAAGGTTAAGACCGAACGCAAAGTCGTCATTGACCAGGAGGGTATTGAGCCGACTGAGACTCCCAGGCGGCCGCCGTCTAGGAGGGACAGCCAGCGCAGGCGTGATTTGATCCTCAAGGGCAAGGAGGGGAGTCGCCAGCGTCGACGATGGGAGAACGGTATGACATGATTTGCGCCTCGCTTCTTGCGGTGTCGAAACCAAAAAATGCCCAGCTGATCGTGGAAATCCTCAGACCGCTTGATGCACGTCCCGAACGTCCAGCCCCCCCTGCCCTCCGACTACGAGGTCCATCCTACGCACCCCATCCACCGTGTACCCTACCAGCTCGCTCAGTTCTGGGACCACGGCATCCGTCAACGTGTCGAGGACAAGACTATCCGTCTTCAGGTTACGCGCAAGAAGCAGCAGCTCAAGACTGGTAATGCTACGGGACTAGGTGTTGGTGAGGTGCCCCGCGATTTGCGCGAGGCGACCAAGCGGAGTGCCGTCGTGCGAACCTGGGTCCGCGCATTGGAGGAGCCCGTGAGGCAGTATATCTGCGCTCAGCAGGTTGAAGATGTGGATATTGACAGTGCTGCCGAGGAGATGGACTCGGAGGATGAGGAGATTGTGTTTGTGGGCAGAAACGGTGCCATGAGGGAGTTGAGGGAGAAGAAGGCCACATGGAAACATGCCCATCGAGAGGTCTCGCAAGAGACAGTCGATTCGGGAATGGTGTTTGACTCGTTTGGCACCGACGAGAGCGCCGCCTTCAAGTCAGTATCCCTTTTTGTGTTGTCCCCAGGACGAGGTTACTAACAATCCCCAAGGCGCTGGCTCACACACTCCATCTCCGACTACTATGGCCTGGCATCACGATCTGTCACATTGACGAATCCTTCACGCCGCGTCGTCTATGTCGGCCTCAAGTCAACGCATGGCACACTTCCAACGCGGACGCTACCCCGCCCCATGTGGGAGGTGTGTTAAATCGTCCCTGTGCCATGGTCGGCTTCTCAATCAGGGTACCAGCCCCATCTGCAGAATCGGTTACTTGCATGATTAGACGCATAAACGTAGACGGTAAGGGGATAAGGCAATAGAACCACCTCACCAGCCCTGGTGGGCATTGTTTCCTGTGCTGTATGTGGCATAGATTGGGAGGCTCTCCTATCCATTGGCGTCGCAGATTGGCGACAATCAGGTTCACAAAGAGTTGACATCTAGAAGAGATCTTGAACGACCAGTCGTCTGTAGTCATATCCCGGCAGGGACCCCGTATGTTACAGCACACGTAAACCACTCTGAGATTGAGAGCCAGCGTACTCAGCCAGGGACCAAAGTAAGTCTTCGTCCATTGATCAGTTATCTCGTGATTTCGGGATACTACCAAACTCTTACAACCATCGCTGGTGCAAACCTCGGGACACATCCCTCAGCACTCTTTCACCTCCCATAATCGGACCAAATTTTGAGATTAGCTCTTCTGAAGTCATGATCAAAAACTTGGCGAGCCCCAGGTTGCCATACTCTGAGACTAGAGCTTCTGAGATGACTTGTGCTGCGTTAATGTTCAGGCCTGCCCGACGGAGGAACAGTTCCCAAGTTGTGTCGTGGAAGTCGAGAGCTTTTCCAAGTTGCATCGCTTGCAAAGAATATCGACACATCAGCGACAAGATCCACTTTGAAAGGGTGCATTCTGCACCCGAGACCAGGTACGTTGTGATGCCTCTCTGGAGACTTGCTGTGAAACGCACAAAGTCGGTATAAGCCGCCATGTCAGACGTGCTTGGTGAACCAACGTATTCCCCCACTGGGTTTGACTCTGAGACGAGGATGAAGAGATATTCGTACTTGGTGCTCACAGCCTGCACTCGTTCGCGAAGCGGCGAAAGAGCAGTTGAACCGGGGAGAGGGTTTTGCCTGACTTTCAGCATCGTTGTGACGATTATGCCGGCTGATGGGCAAAGAGAAACATCGGCTTCGAAGGATAGTTGGGAAATGACCTCCTTCCGCTGGGCGGAGCCAGAGGACCAGACAACTGTGTTGTACTGAGAGAAATCCCTATCCACGAGCTCGAGTTGCGGCCATGACTTGTCCAGTTGTGAAAGGACATTCCGACTCAAACTCGAGGAGACAATAAAGCGGCAAGCATCATTAGGAACATGGAACTCTGGGGCCGGTGCATCCCTCATTCCATGGTTTCCAGACTCTGGGGCTTGCTCTTCGACAGTGGTTTCGTTTGCTGTGGGCTGAGACGGCGATGGGGCCGGAAGCGGCCATTGCGTTGATAGCTGTACAGGCTGCCGAGAAGGGTTCTGGGTAGTAATGTGTGTTGTTTTTGGCTTCTTCGCCTGACGAAGCTCCATGAAGCTGGATAACAAGTTGCTCGTCGCACTAGGGTCACTGGAACCTAAGAGGAGGCCAGTTGACTCTTCTCCAGCTTTCCTCCTCAAAGTCTGGCGGCTTTGTTGGTATCTTGATTTCAACAAATCATTCAGTGAGGGCGCACAACTCGGCGTACCGGGCAAGCTGGGGCGCGGACCATGGGTAGCAGTTGCTTGAGATAGAGGAACAGTTGGTGCTTCAGGAGGCGGGGCTTCAGGAGGCGGGGCTTCAGCTTCCATTTCCTCATCCTCCAAGGTTTGGAGAATCTTCAAGCCAGGTGGTTTGTTGATGTAGTCGCGGCTACTCAGACGAGGCACTTCCATCGTTAACAATTGTCGACTGGCCGGTCCAAGCTGCTCCATCTCCTCGCTCAGTGAAATGTGGCCCCTTCCATGGGGGGCCGGCGCCCATGAAAGCGAAGCACTTAAGGCAGCGGGTTGGGTTGAAGGATCCAGTTGAAAGGCAAATATGAGGTTCTCCCGTAGCCACTCGAAGTGATCTTCGGGGGTTGACAACTGCGCACTCCAGTCCGGGTCAGGTATGTGAAAGTCAAGGGCTGGAACGGGCATCCTCAGAAGCGACTCCGCTGCATTTAGACGTTCGTTCTCCAGCATCCGAGTTGTCTGAGCGTGGTGACTCGCAAGAATAGTTGTCATTTCCTCGTCGAAGAACCCTTGAGGCTCCTCCAGACGCTGAACTGTTTCCCCAACATCTATCCCCTGAAGCGCAAAGATCTCGCCGTGATGCTGCAGCTCTTGACCAATTCTGGGGCTGGATGGCATTAGAGGCACGTCAAGTTTGTAATTCGATGCTTTGTCTTCTGTATCGCCGAGAAAGACCGCTCGAGGTGCCGGGGGAGAACTGGGCATGGTTGATGGAGCTGCCGGCTCCGAGTCCAAACAGCCACCATGTAAGTCCTGTTGTAGTTTCTCGACGGCCGGATCAACGGGACTTCTCGGTTCCGAAGTAAGATCGATGACCAAAACGTCCGAACTTGGCTCAAAGGGCTCGTCCAGGTCAGAGGCTGGGGAGAGTGGAACGGACAGTGGCTCAGGGTAGGCTTTCGGTTGCTGTTGATATGTTAGACCGGCACCATCATCCACACAAGACTATTTTACTTGCCTTGCGCAGCGCAAACAAACCGTCGTAACATTTCGCCTGGTTTAAGACTTCTTCCTCGCGTAGGATCCTCTGCGTTTCTTCGAAGCCTGAAATAGCTTCAAGCTCGAGTTCACGATCCGCCAACAGCTTCCATCGTATCGTAGTAGATGGGAAGTCAAGTGCTTCATCGTTATCAATATTGACAGGGCTCAATGGGAGCCACTCGCTCAATATATCGCAGAAACTCTTGTTATATATGTCAGTCAAGTATTGTTCGAGATCCTTCTCTGGATTGTGTCCTGTGTCTAGAGTCTCAGATGGTAGTCGTAGCTGTTTCGTTTGTCCCAGAAATGGGAACAATGCCGTACTTGGTACGGATGGATCAACCGGCAACAAGTATGTCTCGTCCTCGGAAGGCGGTTGTAGTTGAATGTTGGGACAAGGAAGAGGGATATCAATGAGGCCTGGCTGGTGAACTAGTCCGTCGGATTCTACTGGGTGAAGAGTTGTTCGAAGTTGGGGAAGCTGATCCTGGAACCGGTACGGGGCGTCCCTGTGACGAAGAAAACATCCGTGCTTGAGGGCGTAGTCGATCACAGTTGAGCCTTCGTGAGCCCCGTCATCCATGTCGGGATCTTGCGAGAGGTCGCCTAGAATGATGCTCGAGTAAAGAGAAACATGAATATGAAGTTGGCGTATGGAGGGCAAGAGATTGAAATCAGGTTATTGATCTTGTAAGATGGGTCGGCATGTTTTATTTTGCTCGAAATTTCCATCCTGGGTATTGTGGTCCATGAGGGAAGGCACTCCCATGAGGCTCCTTCCCGTCAAACATCTTGGTGTCATAGAGGACTTCCATGTCAAGAATTCTAGCAATGTACCTTGGTACATGATAACAGTAGGCTTAGAATTTGTTTCTACCAATGAGTGAGATGAGAACTTGATAATTTCATAGCGGCTACTAAACAGGACACTCAAGAGAACTGGATCTGCTGCGGTGGCTCCATTCAGCTCAGCTGGAAGCATTTGAGACCGATTCCAGGTCGTGGTTGCCCAGTCGTCCATGGTTGTTTAGCGCCCCGCTAGATAACATGAGTAATCCCTGAAGGAAATTCCGATAGCGAACAGTCCCCCACTTCATCCGCTGTAATCCGTCCTAACTCCGGCGACAGTGACGCAGCTGAACTGGAGACTGGACGGCACCTCACATGGAGCTCTCGGGATAGCTCTCATCGAGAGCAAAACATCACCACTTCCTCACCCCGCCATTTCCTGCCCAACCGAGAATAAGGCATCATGGCGTACGTTGCGCCCATCCATAGGGCTACTAGCATCCGCCATGCGATCCGCGCAAACGTGCTCGACCCTGAGATTGACGACCTGGTTGTAGCGTAAGAGCTCTCTTGTTCCGCAGAGATGCCTTGCTAGATGCTGATTGAGATGCTATAGCAAGGCGAACCGGCTGGAGATATGGCGTCTATCGGAAGAAGGCATGGAATGCCTGCAGACCAAACTCATTCACGGCACAATATCGATGCTGCAACGATTGCGACCCAAAGGATCCGAGACCGACCTACTGTTTATTGGCACCGATCGACTGCAGTACTTCAACCTTGCATGGAACCCCGAGATGAAGCAACTTGATACCATCGAGCGAGTTATCGAAGATCTATCGGAACCGTACATGCGCCATTCGCAAAGCCAGAACAAATGTCTAGTGGATCCAACGGCACGGTTTCTCGCCATGCACCTCTGGGAGGGCGTGCTCAACGTCTTTCGGCTGCCGACGCGCAAGGGCTCTACCAACAAACTGGAGATCCTCGATCAAGTCAGACTTACGGAGCTTTTCATGAAAGCCAGCACCTTCATCCACAGCCGTACCGGCCATCCTACCATCGCCTTTTTATACAAGTCTCAGATGGAGCAAGAGGAAGCTCGGTTAGCCATTTATAGGTTAACCCATGACGACAAGGGCGGCGTGGTGTCCAAGTTTGACCCTCACAAAGATAGAGAACTCGACGTTGTTATTCCCGACCCTTATGCCTCCATGCTTATCCCTGTCCCGCTGGACGAGGAGAAGCGCTATCATGTGCGAAATACCGAAGGCGCAAAGGCTCATCTAGGCGGGCTGCTCATTGTTGGCGAGACCCTCCTCACTTACTATGATGGTCTAACCCACAGAAGCGTATCTTCGAGTCTGAAAGACCCAAGAATCTTTGTGGCTTGGGCCGAGTATGACGGCACACATTATTTCTTGGCTGACGACTACGGACGGCTCGACATGTTGACGATTGAGACAAACGTGGAAGCTACTGGTGTGGTGGTGACTGGCATGACACTTGTGCCTATGAAGCTTGGGGAATCGCCCGCTCTCACTTCAAGAGCCTCCAGCCTGGTCTATATGGGCAACAACACCCTTTTTGTTGCCTCGCATCACGGAGATTCTCAGCTCTACCAAATCGATCCCGAGACTAATGCGATGCTGTTGATCAAGTCATTGTCTAACAACGCACCAATCCTCGACTTTTCGATTATGGACATGGGTAACAGAGAGGGTGACGCCCAGGCTGGCAATGCATTTTCTTCCGGGCAGTCCAGGATAGTGGCAGGCTGCGGCGCATACCAAGATGGAAGCCTTCGAAGTATCCGAAGCGGCGTCGGGCTTGAAGAAAGGGGTATCCTCGATGAACTGGATGGAACCAGGGGTCTGTTTACTCTTCGCTCCTACAACTCCGACTTGGTGGATACATTGGTGGTATCATCGATCACCGAGACGAGGATCCTGAGTTTCGATACTGACGGTGGGATTGAAGAGATATACTCTTTTCAAGGCATGGAGCAAGACACAGAGACTCTCCTTGCGTCAAACCTTCCAAATGGTCAGCTGCTCCAGATTACCCCAAAATCTGTTGTCCTGTTGGACCCAGAGAGTGGTGTTGCCGTCAGTAGATGGGACGTCCCAACCGGGAAGAGCATAACGAGGGCTTCAGCAAACACCAAGTGGGCTTTGCTGTCGGTTGATGGAACTTCCCTTGTATCTTTGAATCTGTTGCAAAATTTGGCGGTTAATGTCCAACAAACTCAGGCGGAGCCTGGGTCACAACAACCGGATCAGATATCGTGTATCCACGCAGCTCGAGATCCGCCTGATATCGGCGTAGTTGGCTGGTGGTCCTCGGGTCGCATATCCTTGATCGATATGGCAACATTTCAACCACTTCATGGAGAATCCATGAGACAGACCGATGATAGTGCCACCGTCCCGCGAGACATTGCACTTGTTCAGCTTCACCCACCAGAGATATCCGGACCTACACTACTGGTTGCAATGGAGGATGGAACTGTGGTCACATTCAACGTGTCTATCAAGGGTTTCGCCGTCTCTGGTCGCAAAAGCGTCACCTTGGGCAGCAATCCAGCGCGGTTGCACGTTTTGCCCCAAGACGACGGTACATCCAGTGTCTTTGTGACGACTGAGCACGCGAGTCTTATCTACAGCTCCGAAGGTCGCATTATCTTCTCCGCCACAACAGCCGACGACGCTACCTTCGTTGCCCCCTTTGATTCGCATGCCTTCCCAGACTCGATCGTTTTGTCGACGGATAGCCATATTCGGATCTGCCATGTTGACAAAGAGCGTTTAACTCATGTTAAGGCCTTGCCAGTCCATGAGACGGTCAGGCGGGTGGCGTACTCTCCAGGCTTGAAGGCCTTTGGCTTGGGTTCGATTAAAAAGGAACTGGTTCTCAATGAGGAAGTTGTTACCAGTTCTTTCAGACTTGTCGATGAGATTGTCTTCAAGGAGCTAGGGGAACCTTTCTTATTAAATGCTTCAAGCACACTGGAAATCGTCGAGTGCGTGATCCGTGCCGAACTTCCCGATGCCGGCGGAAACCTCACGGAACGATTCATCGTGGGGACGAGCTTCATTAACGACGGCCAGGTTCAGGAGGCCAACGGGACTCTTGGTCGCATCCTTGTTCTCGGCGTTGACGAGCATCGTCAGGTGTACCAGATTGTTTCCCACAACCTGAAGGGACCCTGTCGATGCTTGGGGATGATGGATGACTACATTGTGGCTGGATTGTCTAAGACGGTGGTTGTGTACAACTACTCACAAGACACAAGTAGCTCTGGATCTCTTGAGAAGCTTGCCGCTTACAGACCCGCTGCACTTCCCGTAGATCTGGACATCTCGGGCAACATGATCGGCGTGGGCGACCTGATGCAGTCTCTCTCCCTGGTTGAGTTTATCCCGGCACAAGATGGTCGCAAGGCCAAGCTGGAAGAACGAGCACGACACTATGAGCCTATCTGGACAACATCTCTCTGCCATCTAGACGAAGAAAGATGGCTGGAGGCTGACTCTCAGGGAAATCTCATCGTTCTACAGCGGAACGCCGATGCTCCAACTGAGCAAGACCGCAGCAGACTCGAAGTGACAAGTGAGATTGGCATTGGTGAGCAGATCAATCGCATTCGGAAGCTCCACGTTCCAGCGGGAGACAATTCTATTGTACACCCGAGAGCGTTTCTTGCATCTGTAAGTATCTCTACCTCGTCATCAAAACAGACCTAACAGTATCATCAGGCTGAGGGCTCGCTCTATCTTTATGGAGACATCGCCCCGCAGTATCAGGACCTTCTCATGACGTTTCAGTCAAAGATGGAAGAGTACATCCATGCACCAGGCAACATTGAGTTCAAGTTGTGGCGTTCATTCCGAAATGAAAACCGGGAGAGTGATGGACCATATCGCTTCATAGACGGAGAAATGGTAGAGAGGTTTTTGGATATGGACGAAGGGAAACAGGAGTTGGTGTGCGAGGGGCTTGGACCGAGTGTTGAAGACATGCGGAACTTGATTGAGGAGTTGAGGAGGATGCATTGAAATGATAATGAAGACAGACTTATTAGAGTGGGAGATGGATATCATGGATGTTGTTGTATCATGTTGGGCTTTACAAGGGTATGGCCAGGCCTTGTTAGAGTGACGGACGAAAGGGTCGTTTGCTGATTGGTCATTGAATGAACCTCGCATCAACAGCAAGTCAGATCCATTGAGCCGTGGAAAGTGTGAATGACGGTATTGATAGTGTGTAGAGGCCAATTACTCATATTCCAGCACTTCAATATGTGGTTTTGCGTGGCAATGACTGTCTCTATTGGGTCAATCCTCGTGATGGTGAAAGCTCCTAGAGAACCCAGATGCCCGGAAGAGTCCGGAAGCCCCACCCGAAAGTGACCGGACCAATGACGAGTCGCCAATTTCCGAGCTCGAAGCTGATTTGCAGCCTCAGGCCGCACTTTTCACCCAAAACTTTCGGCAAAGCATCATCAGCCGATACCACACCAAGGAAAAGACCTCAACCTTCCCTCGGAGACGACCCGTTCATCCACGCCACACCCCACGACCTCGTCCTCCTTCACGATGGCGTCCCTCGCGACCGCTTCCCGCCTCTGCCTGCGCGCGGCTGCCAGGCCCGCCGTCCCTGCTGTGCGCGCCCTCAGCACCACCGCCGTCCGCCCCGACAGCGCTGCCGCCTCGGCCGCCTACTCGAGCCCCTTCAAGGGCGAGACCAAGGGTTCCAAGATCCCCAACTTTGGTGCCTACGTCTCCTCCGGCAGCGAGGGCAAGAACAAGCTCTACTCGTACTTCATGGTTGGAGCCCTCGGTGCCGTCAGCGCCGCTGGTGCCAAGAGCACCGTCCAGGGTGGGTTGAATCCGGATTCACGCCGGCGTGCCGTGCCATTGGGATGCAATTGGCGTTGCTGGTTGATGGCACGGTATCCGGCATGGCCAATTGATGATTTGCTGACGCTGAGGTGATAGAGTTCCTCGTCAACATGTCTGCTTCCGCCGACGTTCTGGCCATGGCCAAGGTTGAGGTTGATCTGAGCACCATCCCCGAGGGCAAGAACGTGAGTTGGAAAGGGTTCCGGATCATCATGGCAGCATCACTAAATGGGCGTAGGTCATTATCAAGTGGCGAGGCAAGCCCGTCTTCATCCGACACCGAACCCAGGAGGAGATCGACTTGGCGAACAAGGTCAACATCTCCGCCCTGCGAGACCCCGAGGAGGACAGCGCGCGTGTCAAGGACCCCGAGTGGCTTGTCATGCTGGGTACGTGATGCTCAGGTTATCAATGCCTTAGTGATGGATGCTAACATGCTGGCAGGTGTCTGCACCCATCTGGGTTGTGTCCCCATCGGCGAGGCCGGTGACTATGGTGGCTGGTTCTGCCCTTGCCACGGTTCTCACTACGACATCTCCGGCCGAATAAGGAAGGGTCCTGCCCCTCTCAACCTCGAGATCCCCGAGTACGATTTCCCCGAGGATGGCAAGCTGGTCGTCGGTTAAGCGGGATCCCCGTGGGATGTAAGAGTATTCTTTTTTATAAGGAAGGGGAAGAGAGAAGAGTTGATGGATGGAGCATTAGACTGGCGGGCGGACACACACACACCAAGGCCCCGGTGGGCGCAAGTTGCTGATTTCTTAGACGTGGCCTTGAGTCCATTGTATAAAAATAAAACGTCCTAGGAAAATTCAGTCGACAGGCTCAAAGAGGATTCGAGGGGGGAGAGTGGGAACAAGTGCAAGATGCGATCTCCCGTGAGAGACGTTGTACTAATTGAATTTCATTGCGTATTATGTGTGCGTGCTGGTGTTTGCAATGTGTTCATTAATCATCGAGATGTTGACACTGGGTTTGTATTGCTTCACAACAGTCAACCACACAGCTTCAAGACAGAACCCATGAAGCCTGGAATGAAGTATACGAATATTTTATCATCATGAGCATATTTACATTCAGTATGTCCAACTTATAAAATCCAGTCTTGCATATCATCATGGCTCCCGTTCATACACCTCAGCCTCACGAAAGAACAGTTACAGATTACACATGAACAGACAATTGCCAGCTTTTGAATTCTATACCTGACCCTGTCCGAACTCATTATTCATCTAATGGCCATGTCCGTCATCCGCCGGCTGCTCAGGATCCAACTTGATCAGGGTATCAATGCGCATGATGCTGATGCAGGCCTCGACGGCACTCTTGAGCTGCCGGATCTTGCTCATGCTGGGCTCCAGCACGCCAATCTTGATCTCGTCCACGACCTTGCCGCGCGCGAGGTCCAGGCCGTAGTTCTTGTAGCCCTTCTTGCGCGCAATCGTCTTCTCGTCCTCGCTTCCGTCGCCCTCCTGGATGCGCTGAGACAGGGCGTGCCTTGATCGCAGCTGGGCCACGAGCTCGGCGGCGTCCTTGGCGGCGTTGACGGCCAAGGTCTTGGGGATGACGAGGAGGGACTGCGCAAACTCACCGATGGCGAGCTGTTCTCGAGAGCCGACGGTGCCGGCAAACTCCTCAAGGTAGATGTGGAGGGCAGTCTCAACAGCACCACCGCCAGGAACGATGCTTCCACTCTCAAGAGTTCGCTTCACAGCGCACAGAGAGTCGTGGACAGAGCGCTCCATCTCATCGAGGGTGAAGTCGTTGGGGCCACGGAGAATGCAAGAGGCAGAAGAGTGAGCCTTGGTACCCTTGATCAGGATGCACTCGTCGTCCGAGATGCGCTCCTGGACAACCTCCTCAGCGTAACCCAGATATGAAGGATCAAACTTCTCGTCACCATTCAGGTCAGAGAGTGTGCTGAGAAGAGTGGCGCCAGTCGCTCGTGCAATTCGTCGGAGATCCTCCTTCTTGCATCTTCGCACACCCATAGCACCCTTCTCAACAAATGTCTTCAGCACGAGGTCGTCAATACCCTTGGTGGTCAAGATAACGTTGGCGCCCGCCTTCAGGATCATCTCTACCCTCTCGAGAATCATGCCCGACTCACGAGCTCGGATCTGCTCCAGCTGTTGGGGGTCGTCCACGGTGATCTGGACACCAAGCTTCATGCGCTCCTTTTGCAGGTTCATATCCAAAACAGCAATCTTGGCATCCTGGATCCGTGTAGGCATCGCTTGTGAAGCAACAGTGCAGTTCAGGGCGTAACCCTTGACCAGGACCGACTCGAGAGTGCTCTTGCCGTGGGCCTTGAGGATGTTGACGGCCTTGACGGGATATTTGGTCTCATTTCGGTTGTTGGTAGACTTGACAGCCTGCATAGCATCGACAACCATGTCGGCAAAGAAGTCGGAGTCGGCACCAATAATCTTACTGGACATGGAGGTCTTGGCAATGTTGATGAGCGATTCCCGACCGAGTTCATCGACCTTGGTGCTGATGTTCTCGTTGAGGTACTTGACAGCTTCTCGCAGGGCAAGTCGGTAACCGGTAATAATGGTGGTAGGGTGTATTCGGTTCTTCATGAGCTCGTTTCCTCGTCGCAGAAGCTCGGCGGCGATCAGGACAACAGAGGTGGTGCCGTCACCGACCTCCTTGTCTTGTTGGTGCGCAAGGTCGACGAGGATCTTGCCGGCGGGGTGCTCGACGTCGAGAAGGCTAAGAATCGTGGCACCATCGTTGGTGACAGTAACATCCTAGTGCAGTGTGAGAAGGATGCTCGAGGGCGACAGGAGATCGGAGTTGCCTACGCCAATATCGTCCACCATCATCTTGTCGAGGCCGCTAGGACCGAAGGAACTCTTGACAACATTTGCGATCGCCTGGGTAGCCATAACTGCGCCGTGTCAGTATGTGTCGACTCGATATTACCAATATCAAACATCGGTCTCGATGCTTCCCCCACTTCCCCCCTAACACCTAGCAGAAAGGCGGGACAAGACACATACCGTTTTGGTCCCTAATATCAGAACCAGAGATCTTCTGGCCACCCAAGAAAAGGGTGCCGTTTCGGGGCTGCTCAAACATGGAAGCCATGACTGCAGCTATCGGTATCGTTGACGGGGAATGGCGGCTTCGTCAACGTGGGGAGGGAGAGAGAGAGGGCTTGCGAAGCGTCAGGAAATTCTGCCCAGGCTACCAGAAGCTGTGAAGCTCCCTACGCTGGCTGCCCCTCCGACTTTTTTCCCCGGAGGTCCGGTTGTTCCGGCGCCGGGAACAGCGCTGTGCGTTGGACGTTGGCATCGAGCAAGGGCAGTTGACAGAAGATAGCACGGACCACCTAAACCCCTGGCTCTTGCCCTGCTGTCGGTGCAGCTCAGCGGTTGTTAGTGCTATTGGCTGGGCGCGTGTCAGGCCTGAATTTTTGGCTAGCGGTGCCGTGCCCCTCCTTCCTTCCCGCACGACTCTCCCTTGACTGCGAGTGCGGGGCACAGAGTCATGTCCGACCTCGACTTCGACTCACACTCCGAAGCATTTCTTCTTTCTTCTCCCCCCAAGATTCGCTCCGGTCGAGTTATTCCCGTATTTTCACGGACCTTCAAGGCTGCTCTCGGCTGACTATAAAGCCTGCATCTTCTATTCTATCTTTTTTCTTCCTCTTCACTTCAACACCGGTTTTCGCATCACAATGGACGGCGCCGCACCCGAGCAGTCCAAGAGCGCCTTGAAGAAGGCCGAGAAGCAGGCCCGCCTCGCTGCCGAGAAGGCTGCAAAGGCTGCCAAGCAGGCTAGCCTTCCTGTTGTTGGAGGCAAGAAGACGGACGACATCATCGGCATTACTGTTTCCAAGGCCGACAATTTCCCACAATGGTACCAGGAGGTTGTCCTCAAGGCCGAGATGGTCGAGTACTACACCGAGATCTCGGGTTTCTTCGTTCTCCGTCCTCTCGCCATGCACATCTGGAATGAGATCCGAAAATGGTTCCAGGCCCATATTGAGGAGATGGGTGTCGATGAGACCAACTTTCCCATGTTCCTTTCCTCCAAGTCGCTCGAGAAGGAGAAGGATCACGTCGAGGGTTTCGCCCCTGAGCTGGCTTGGGTTACCAAGGCGTAAGTGCTCCATCGGGAGCCCTTCCGATATACCCATGCTTACTTATGAACAGTGGCGACAAGGACCTCGAGGTCCCCGTTGCAGTCCGTCCTACCTCCGAAGCCGTCATGTACCCCTACTACTCCAAGTGGATTCGCAGCCACCGAGACCTTCCCCTCCGTCTCAACCAGTGGAACTCTGTCGTCCGCTGGGAGGCTAAGCAAACCACCCCTTTCCTTCGAACTCGAGAGTTCCTCTGGCAGGAGGGTCACACTGCTCATCTGACTGAGGAGCTTGCTGGCGTTGAGGTGCTGGAGATCCTTGAGCTCTACGCCGGCGTCTACGAGAAGCTGCTCGCCGTCCCTGTTGTTCGCGGCCGAAAGACCGAGAATGAGAAGTTCGCTGGTGGTTACTACACTACCACTGTGGAGGGTTATATTCCTTCCAACGGCCGTGGTATTCAGGGCGCTACCTCGCACGCCCTTGGCCAGAACTTCAGCAAGATGTTCGATATCACCGTTGAGGATCCCCAGAACAAGGGCTCTCACCTTCACGTCTGGCAGAACTCTTGGGGTCTGTCGACCCGTGTCATTGGTGTCATGGTCATGATTCACGGTGACGACAAGGGCCTCGTCCTCCCTCCCCGTGTCGCCAAGACCCAGGCTATTATCATCCCCGTCGGTATCAACAAGAACACCACCCCCGAAGCCCGCAAGCAGCACGAGGAGCAGGTTGATGAGATCCGAGCCACCCTCAAGAAGGCCGGTGTCCGTGTCGAGTCGGACTGGCGAGATGGTTACACTCCTGCTTGGAAGTTCAACGACTGGGAGCTGAAGGGTGTTCCCGTCCGACTGGAGTTTGGTCCCAAGGACGCTGCTAAGGAGGTTGTCAGCTATGCTCGACGTGATACTGGTGAGAAGGGCACCATCCCCATTGCCGATATCGCCACCAAGATCCCTGAGCTTCTCGACACCATCCACGACGACATGTACAACAAGGCTGAGACTGCTTTCCGGGAGCACCGTCTCAAGATCACCAACTGGGACGATGTCCTCCCTGCCCTCGACAGCAAGAACGTTGTTCTCATTCCTTTCTGCGGTGAGCCCAAGTGCGAGGACCGCATCAAGGAGCTTACCACCCGTGCCGACGACCAGCCTGATGTCCCCGACGGCCAGAAGGCTGCCACTATGGGCATGAAGAGTCTTTGCGTTCCTTTCGAGCAGCCCGAGGGTATTGTCCCTGGCGAGACCAAGTGTCTCAACCCCGAGTGTGAGGGCAAGGCGGATAAGTGGACCATGTTTGGACGAAGCTACTAGAGGAGATGAATGGGAATTTCTAGTCAGGGAGCGGGAAGGCGTTGGCCTGGCATGTTTATGATACACCAGTGATTACGGTTTGATGTGATGTGATTATGAAAAGGTAGCGGGTGGGAGTGGAAAATGGGAACAACACGTAGAACAGAAGATAGATCGTAGAGATGACGATGCTTATGAATCTCGTTGATCTACCTAACACCGCTTTTCTATTCTTTCAAGTCTATAATGACCAATTCCCGGTGATTAGCTGCCGGGTTTAGCACCAGGCAAACTTCTCATTGGCAACCCACTCAATCTCTTCGATTGAGTTCTCTCCGAACCAATGCATGCTGGCAAGGTTCTCACTCTCTCTAACGATAAACTTGGCTCCAAGCTCCTGAATCCCTTCAGTCACCCGACGGATTCGATCCTCAGGATTCCAGATCTCCACCTTGGAGCACAACCACTCGGCAGCCTCCTTTTGGGCAGCGTTCCCAATGGCTCGAAGACCAGTGGCAAGCACTTCGTCTGAAATGGTCTCGTCCTCAATCACCAAGCGGATGACATGAATAGTATTCTTCTCTGGCTTCTCCAGGCCTCCGTAAAAGCTTCGAGTCCAGATAGCCCAAATTCTCGAGTTGGTAGCGTCAGGGGGCGTGTAGATTGCGCCGTGGGTGGAAGGAATACGAGAGAAAATGTGCTTGCACATGAAGTTCTCGCGGTGAAGGTGCCACCTGAGGGTTGTAAGATCGGGCAGTACAGCAGCGCGGATCTGAGAGGATGAGGAGGCAATCTTGTTTCGGATAAGCTTATCATCTCGATCTGCCAGCTCAGGGAGGTCGTCCACGGTGATGAGCTTCAGGGCCGAGTTGGAAGTTGGCTCGGATTTGGTGGCTGGGAGCTCAAGGTATGTGCTCTCAAAGGGCTTCCATCCGACGGCGTTGTAGAACTTCTTTCCCACGTCTGACCAAAGGACTGAGAAGTCGGCATCTCCTTGGTTCTTTTGCTGTCTGCCTCGGAGTTCCTCTGCGAGCAAGGACATCATCTTGCTGGCGTATCCCTTTCCTCGGCACTCGACAAAAGTAAAGACGCTGGCCACTCCATAGGCAGTGCCCTCTCTAACAGCGCCCTCCTTGCTAGACACAAGCGCTCTCTTCTTGTATGTCTCGCAGGAAGACAGGATTGGGCGGTCATCAGCAGGGAGGTTGCCGTCAGTCAAGATCCAGCTGGTGACACCACCGTCTCTAGCAAGAGGAGCTTCCAAGTTGTCATCCTCACGACGGATATAGTCTTCAATCGTGAGAGCAGGGCCCCAATGGGGGTGGGTGGCCTTCCAGACACGGAGGCGCTCCTCGGAGGTGGGGTTCGCGAGTATGAGAGATGAGGAGGAAACGGGTGGGAGGTCCTTGTGGGAGGCCATGATTGGATTGTTACGAAGTGACTGGAGCTTCAGGAGAGTAGTGACTAGTGAAATTGGTGTTAGTGAAAAGTAAGCATCTCGCTCAATGATTTACTTATACTCGGGTCTCGATGTTGCCCGCGCCCTTTACACGGCGGCCCCACATCGGAGGTGGGGGACCGACGCTACCCTGCACTCGCCGATGACGCACTCGGTCAAGCAGAAAAGGGCCATCAGGTGTTTTATCATGGATGTATAGATGACATGCGTAGTTGAAAATTCATAGGTGAATATCCACGTGCTGCTTGGGAGAGGAGAGGCTTGAATGGTCCTCGGCTGATCTGCTGCATGTAATTGGAGTCCAGAATGACATGTTTCACAAGACAATGTCAAGTTAGTTGCATTTGACATCTGAAGGGCGCGTTTATGACGGTTCTAGAATGCTCGCGCTTGATGAGGAACAATAATAAATCGTCAAGCGTATGAAATAAAACCGCAATATCTATGTCATTCTTTGGCGAACATCTAAGTTCGTACTTCAACTGTAAGGGGAGAGCTTTGCACTTGACCACAAGTAGTTATAGAAGTACAGGAAATTCAGAGCAGTTGACAATCGTCAAGTCTAGGATATACACATTAAGGTCTCTAAAGATAAATTCAGCGAAATGAGAAATGATTGCTCAAGTCATAGATCGAGTCCAATCGACAATAGAAGGCATGGCTGCAGTCGTGGTGGGGTTGACTCGGTCAATGCAACCTCCAACGCGAAGAGGGGCATCTTTTTCTAGGTTGTGAAATTCCTCCATCAACTCAACTTGACCAACTTCATACCTCGAACTCGTCGACCAAAATGGCATTGCCTCTACCTCCGGGGTTGATCCCCTCCGAGGTCGCCTTCTTGTGCGAAATGGAGCTCGTCACTGTAGTTCCTCGTCAGCGCCTCGAGAGCATTGATCTTCTTGCTGTGAGCGCGCCCTCGTCGCGTTGATGATGCTTAGCTTCTGACCTCGTACACAGGGCTCAACACCGACTCTTCGCCCGCCGCATCGAAGTAATTTGCCGCTATGGCTTGCGATCCTACTCAAGAAGCAGAGACGAGCGAATATTGTACCGCCACCTTGGCTCCATCCCGACTCGCTACGCGACATCGTCAACCACGAGATTAATATCGACCCCAAGGGATGGGCACCGCCCCCACCACCACCCGTGCGAGCAGACGGCCAAGGAAATGCGCGAAGATTAAACCCATTTGGAATGGATGATACTGTTTTGTCACCACCGTTTTTACCGTCTTGCACCTCAGAAGCACCTCCAGGAGCTTTGCCCTACCACTGGTTTGAGGTCGCAGAGATGCTCCTCGCGCACGCCCAAGATGACATCACATCCTCATCCGAGGTGCGGTCTCTTCTCCGTGACTTGCAGGAGGTGAGAGCTGCCAAGATGCGGTCCAGTACGGCTCAGCTGGAGGGCGGCGTGGATGGCGTCATGAGTTTGCGAGGAGTGGGCGCTATGGAGCTTGCGGAGAGCAGAGGCTTTGTCATTGGTGTTGTTGAAGGAGTGAGAAAGATTGGTGCCAGTGTGGAAGTGTCGCGAAGAGAGGAAGATGAAGAACGTGGTGGTCGGGAGTCTGATGAGGCGAGCGACGAGGATATGGGACTGTGAGCCCAGACTCGGCGTGGTTATTCTCGATTCACGAGTGAAACTCACAAGCATGGGGATATTGGGAAAGCGAAAGTGTAAGTCAAAACCAGTTATTATCCTGTCTATGAACTCCCAGTTCAATGATATAACGAACACCAAGTCTAATTATTCAAAGCAACCACGAGCAACCCATAAACTCCAATCCGATGCACACACAGATCCTTCACCCTTTTCAACCAGATTCTGCCATCTTCTTCATCAAAGCCAGCTTCTCCTTGGCGATCCGAGCAGGATGAGTTCGGATCTTGCCTCCACGGGGAGGGATTGGTTCAATCACCGGCTTTGGTGCATGTTCGAATCCTAATGCTGTCCCTAAATACCCCTTGCGGATGTCATAGTTGGCCGTCGCAGCCACCTCGGCGTCAACCTCGTCTTGTCTCTTGAAGAAATGAGACCAGGCCTTGTGCCAGTCGGCGTGGCACTCGTGGCAGAATTGGCCGTGTTTACAGCCGTGGACCTTTTGGCAGTCGGGGCCAAACCGATGGTACTGTTCATACCAGTCATAGTGCAGGCGCGGTCTCTTACCAGACCCATAGAGCCCCGGAATCTCGCTATCGAAATCAGCCGGGGGCTCAATAGGTGTTAGAACCTTGGGGCTCGCATTGTCAGTGGTGATGCTTACATTCTGGGTCTCCAGGAAGGCAAGTCCGGGGATCTTGGTAGTGGTGAGCACCGGTGAAGGGATCGGGTTGATATCCGTCTGCTCGGTGACAGGGATAGACTCGGGGGAGTAGAAAACGTCGTTACTCTCTTCATCAACGCGGTCGAGAATATCGGGCCCGATATCGCTCTCGCCGTCGTCGAAAGGGAGACTGAACGTACGAGAGAAGGAAATAGGCTCCTCCACTCGGCGCTTCTTGGCTGTCTGGGGAGCGCTGCCGTCGTCTTTAGATCGTCGTCGCTTACGGAGAGAGTCGGCAGCGCAGCCGCGCCGGGGGCGACGTGTGGCTCTCCGAGGTGGTTCGTCATCGTCATCGCCAGAAAGTGCTGGTGGGTTGGAATCGCCTACTGCGGCAACGACCCTACCTCTCTTGTTGACGGTAGTCAACTTGACGTCTTCCGGACTGGGCTCCATTGTGGGTGATTCACCAAGTCGGCTCGCAAACCAATCCCGAAACTCGTAACCTTGGACAGCCTTGCTAGGACGAAGGGGAAGGCTCTTCATCGGTTCGATGCCGTCCTCCATGGGAGTGTCCTCGCCGGCATCTGGGTCAGGGGTAGGGTGAGGGGCCCGGGGTGGAAGTCTTTCACCGGGCTCAGGCTGGTTTGGTGTACCTCGAATGGAAGGACTAGATCGAGGCTGGCTGGCCTCACCTGGGTTATCATCTTCCAAAGGCGCACTGGCACCGGCACCGGAGGGATCCGAGCCGGAGCCGGAGTGATGCGAGTGGTGAGAAGCACCGGAACGGCGGGAGGCGCCTGAGGACCAAGGGGAGCCCCGAGAGAGAGGGGAGTCTGTGTCGCCGTATGTGGCACGACCACTCTCAAAGCTAGAAGAAGAAGACTGGCTTGGAGAATTGAGGGGCACGCCGCCATCTGAATCTGGGTCCGAAGAGCTCTCGGGCGGGGATCGAGAAGTCAGGGGGACACCACCATCCGAGTCTGAGGAGGAGGACCGAGTGTAAAGGGGCACTCCGCCGTCTGAATCCGGATCAGAGGACGAGAATCGAGAATGAGAAGAAGAAGCGACTGACGCGGCAGCCTTCTTTTTCAGCTGGGCACGCTTCGCAGCCTTGACATTATCAGTCGGAGACTCGGGAGTCTCGCACCTATGCCGAAAGATGATCTTCTTCTTGCGACGAAGCTTCCTAACCACATCATCAAAGATGATGTTTTCGGGGTCTGTCGCAAGGGGGTCCTTGGCTCGTCCGCGATGATCGAGACCAGTCATGAGTTGAGGGGCATTGTTGAGCTTTGAGCGAGCCCGGGTCTGTCGCAGGGGCGTATCGGTCGGAGTGACCATTCCAGGCTGGCCAGCAGCCGTGTTTCTTCTGGAAGGCATTGTGATGGTTGATGGGGGAAGGGAAGCAGTGTGTTTGGTATAGATTGTAGGGAAATGTGAGTTGCCAGAACTCGACTGCTGCTTTATGTTTTTGATGGTGAGCTGTGTGATGATGTTCTGAGATTGGGAGATGAACGACATCTTTTATTACTGATTTGAAGTAAACGAATTGCCCGTAAGGCCTGCTCATTGTTAGGACCGTTTGGGATTTCTTTCTCCCAAACAAAGATCAAGGGTCCTGGATTCATGATGAAAGGCGCTGGTAAACCACGGACACCAAGGAGTCATTGAACAGAACTGTCTTTCGTTGGTGAGCATGGGTCTCTGAGCAACAAAGGCACTCTCTTAGATACCCGTTTGGGCTTCTTTCGTCCATGGCTGTTCTCATGGTGCTGCTTTGGGAATGGAAAAGGTGAACAAAGACAGTTTTGGAAGGAGACTGAAGGGAAGATGAAAAGACTACGCCACATGGGCCATTTTTTCTCGACAACGGGGAAGAAAGACATGAATGTGAAACGGTGACTATGAATCGATGTCAACGACACGAAATGGTCAAGGCATCTCGTCATGATCTTTGTTAATATGTAAGCAGAAGATGTACATTTTGTGCTTGTAGCTGTGAGAAAGTGGTTATGATGGTAGAGTTTATTGTTAAACAACTTCTCTGTCGAATGGTAATCTGTAAAGCACTCTAGTGCCAGTGCCAGTCAGTATTGGACTTGGTGAGATATCCTTTGAGGATGAAAGAATGTGGCTCTTGGGCTTTGGAGTCGTGCTCGACAAGGCCATTGTCAGACATGGGATAAAGAAATTCATCACGATTGGCCATGAAATGCATTGTATCCTCCCACCAATAGGCATATTGATCCATGACCATCAACATGAGTGCTCCCTCGACAGTTTCCATGATGCCGCACATGGCGCATTGGTCCTGGCGATCTGATTGGTTCATGGATGCTCCACCGTTATCGGCGGCCTCGGAATGTCTCATGGGAATCTCGGTGTAAGATGCCGATAGAAGACTTGACAACTTGACATGTTTAAAAAGAAAACAAGAGAGAGGAGGATTATCTTTATCAGAGTATCTGATATCTACTATCCATTCGCCCGTGATTTCTACAGAAACCGTAGGCAGCTTAGACGCCGGAGATGGATCTCCCCCGCATAGCAACCGGGTCTCCACATCGTAGCTTCCGGGTGCGTCACACGACCAAGCCATGCCGATGCATGAACCTAAAACGGCAGGCACCTTACGTGATTGTCATGGTACCTGCTTAAGCTGCCTCCGATCCCAGGCATCTCCGACAGCTCCTCCATCAACCTCTCTCAACCATCTTTCCTCCTCCATTTCTCTTCCCTAGCATCATCTTCCCTACAACCTATCATCCTAATCAATATGAAGTTCTCTCAAGCCTCTCTCCTGGCAGCTTGTCTGCCCGCCATCTCCGCTCGGTTCATCGAAACCGCCGAGGCCGATAACGTCATTCTCAAGCCTGACGAGCTCTACCTCATCGAGACCGCGCCCGGCAAGACCCAATGGGTTACTGAGGATCAGAAGTGGGAGCTGCGTCGCGTACGTATACCGTCCTAGGTCATGATAGTTGCACGCCGACAAGTCCGCTAATACCTCGATAGAATGGCCAGCGCTTCATGGACATCACCGATACCCCATCGCTCGGTTCCACGCGCCTCAACGCCCAGACCGTCTCCTTCCCCAAGAAGTGTGTCAAGCAGGATGAGGTTGCCGACCTTTCCAAGAACCTCGAGAAGAAGAACATGAAGGCCAATCTCGAAAAGTTGACCAGCTTCCACACCCGATACTACAAGTCCAATTACGGTCTCGAGTCCTCTGATTGGGTTCTTGAGAAGGTGAACCAGATCATCAAGGACGCTGGCGCTCAGGATACCGTCTATGCCGAAAGCTTCCCCCACACCTGGCAGCAGCACTCGGTTATCGCCACCATCCCCGGCCAGTCTAACAGCACCGTTGTTATCGGTGCCCACCAGGATTCCATCAACCTGTTCCTGCCATCCATCCTAGCCGCTCCTGGCGCCGATGACGATGGTAGCGGTACTGTCACCATCATGGAGGTGTTCCGTGCTCTCCTCAACTCCAAGGATGTTGTTGACGGCAAGGCCCCCAACACCATCGAGTTCCACTGGTACTCTGCCGAGGAGGGTGGATTGCTCGGTAGCCAGGCCATCTTCCAGTCATACGAGCAGAGCGGCCGCGATATCAAGGCTATGCTGCAGCAGGACATGACTGGTTATGTCCAGAAGACCCTTGACGCTGGTCAGCCCGAGAGCGTTGGTGTTATCACCGACTTTGTCGACCCTGGCCTGACTACCTTTATCAAGACCGTCGTTGAGGAGGTTCGTATACCCTTGAAGTATTACCACGACCTCTCACTAACTTCTATCTAGTACTGCAACATTCCCTGGGTTGAGACCAAGTGTGGCTATGCTTGCTCTGACCATGCTTCTGCCTCCAAGGCCGGTTATCCCTCCGCTTTCGTCATCGAGTCCGCCTTTGAGTACTCCGACCCTCATATCCACACCACCGACGACAACATCAAGTACCTTTCTTTCGACCATATGCTTGAGCATGCTCGCATGACTCTTGGTCTGGTCTATGAGCTTGGCTTCTACGATTTCTCTGACAGCTCCGAGGATCGGGGTGATCTCTAGAGGAGTTGATAGCTTCTTTGGCGTGTTTTTTGGGTTTGCTAGAGGACGAATGCATCCTACGGATCATGTGTCTAGATTATTGGTTATGAGCGACGGATTTGCATACGAGACTACGTAGATTCAGTTTTAGATGAGCATTATTATCAATTTGAAACCATTTCTATAAACAAGTGTGGGCATGCAGCGATGGGTTGGGTATTATATCTTTGACATTTGATTTGAAATTGTGGTTGCTTTTATCTATCCCTAAAACCAACACCTCGTAACGAGAACTCCAGCGCCTTGAATGCTTCTTTGGCTTAATTTTTGGTAGGCCCTTGTAATTACTGACCCTGACCTCCATTCCCGTTGTTCGGGGGGTGCTGCTGCTGTCCCCATGGCGATTGACCATTTTGCTGAGCCTGCATAGTAGACATCAAGGCAGCAAAGAAAGCAGGGTTGACAAAAGCTCCGCCGTTGGCTCCCTGCTGGCCCTGAGCATTTGGCCATCCAGGAGGCGGAGGAGGAACAGCTGAAGCGCCAGCGGCGCCGGTGTTTGCTGGGGCAGGAGGTTGAGGCCAGCCGGGGAACTGGAAGCCAAAGTTGGGCACGGCTGGTGCGGCAGCGCTTTGAGAGGGAGGCTGGTTGTTACCCCATTGAGCTGGGGGAGCAGGTTGCTGTTGTTGCTGCTGATGCCCTTGAGGGGGCATTGAGTAGCCATCTCGGGGCTGGTTGAAACCTCCTCGTCCGCCACGGCCGGAACCGCGGCCTCGTCCTCCCCTACCACCCCTGAATTCGCCTCGTCGGCCCCGTTGGAAGTTTCGGCCAGGTGGTGGCTCGTATGTCTCGGTGGTTGAAGGCCCGCTGCCGTAACCTGGCGGTCGAGCGAGGGGTTTATAGGGACCATCGTCATCGTCGTCGTAGTTGAGACCGCCATCCGGTCGCGTCTCCTGTCGTAGCGGGTGAGGCTCCCTGCCGGCCTTTGTGTCGTTCTTCTTCCACTTGTCCTTCTTCTTCTGCTTGAGTGCTCGCTTGTACTCGGCCTCCTTCTCGTCATCCGAAAACTCCATCTCGTCGTCGCCGACCTCCTCGTCGTGGAGGTTACTGGCGTCGGAACCCTTCATGTTCTTGAGGGGCTCGGTGAAGACGTATGAGGCGTGGTCGACGGGGTAAAAGAGCTTGGTGCCGACTTCGAGACCCAGTTCCTTGATCTCGTCTTCTGAGGTGAAGCGAACGGTGTACATGGGCTGGAGAACCTTTCCTATCGTCTCCGATACAACGCCAATGACGACTCGCTCAGCAGTGCAAAGAACTGAGCCTGAATCTAGCACCTGGTATTCTCCAGGTGTTATGGCCTTGACGAGCATGATGTTCTCCACGATATGCTCGATCGCTCCCAGCTCCTCGATCTTCATCTCCGGGGTGATGGTGACCTCAGGCTTGGGGATGACCTCCTCCGCTACCTCGTTCTTCGTACGGACCTGCGCAGAGCTGGAACCCTTTCCTCCTCTTTCGCCCTCATCGTCAGAACCTCCCTCGGCTTGCATCAGCAAGCGGGCCGTTTCCTCCACACCCAAAAGTTCATAACCTTCATTATCGGAGTCGTCCTCGGAGGAATCAGAGCTGCTCGACTCTGAAGATGAGTCGTAGGGAGAAGAATCGACCTCCCACTCGGGGTTCTCGCCTTGGTCGTTCTGGAGCGGGACGGTCTCGGTAGCTGCCGCAGGAGCTGGTTGCGCGGGTGTGTTGTCGAGGCCACCAAGGGCAGCTTCGAGGGCACCAGTGAGGGAAGGAGGGCTTTCGGGCTGATCGACTACCATGGCGTCTGGCTCTGCAGCTGCGGGTGTGGATTGGGCCTCGGAGGGTTTTGGTTGCTCGGCGGCGGGTGCTGGTGCTTGGTTGTTCGCCTCTGGGTTCGTGGTCTCGGTGCCTTGTACACTTGCGGCAGCAACAAGGACATCGGCGGGAAGAGGGGGTAGTGTCTCATTTGGCTTGGCCTGGCCCAGGCCTGGAATTTGGAAGCCTGACATGTTCTCGAGGCAGAGCGGTGTTCAGACTGTATGTTGTTGGCCTCGCAGTGTAGAGGGTTGCGACAAGATGAGTAGATGTTGATGAGATGATAGAGAAAGAAATGATAGAAGTGATTCTTTCTAAAGGGTTATAATAAGTGTTTTGAGTAAGAAAAAGCTTGTTTCAATTGAGCGCAAGCCGAGCGCAAAACTTGTCGAGGAAGAAACTGGGTTGCCCAGGAGCGCCGACTTCAAGGACCCTTTAGCGGCAGGAAAGAAAAAAATCAAGGTGAGCGATAAGGAGTGGGTCCCGCGATGGCGCTAGCTCATCACCCCACCACACTTCACCTCGGTGAGGGCCTCGGTAAACTCGTTAGCATGATTGCAAGGGTCTCCATCAATTCTCCCCAACAGTTGAAGCTCCAATCCACCATGACGACAGCATTCCTCACTCTGTAAACCGTCATCACTCGACAACAATGGCTCCAAACACGGCGCCGCAGAGGCGGCAGTTTGTGCACCCGTCGGCGAGCCACGCAAAGAAGAAGTAAGATATATAGTGCTTTTGCTTGAGTCTCAAGTTGCTAACTGGCTTCTTCATAGGGCTCCCAGCGCCTACTCGATGCAGCCCATCTCTGCCTTTTACTGGTTCCTCGCCGCCGCACTCGTTTCCGCCTGGTTTGCCCCGATTCAAGACTGCGATGAGACGTTCAACTACTGGGAGCCGACTCATTATCTTTCCCATGGGTATGGTCTTCAGACGTGGGAGTACTCTCCTGACTATGCGATCCGGAGTTGGTTGTATATCGCCCTACATGCCATTGTGGGTAATGTGCGACGACTGCTCCCACATTCGACAAAGGTACGGGCCTTTCTTTAAAAAAGTTAATATTGGAAGCCAATTGACGATAAATCGATTAGGTTGGCGAATTCTTCTTTATTCGCTTTGGATTGGCCTTTGTGTGCGCCCTCTGCCAGACCGTTCTCTTCCTGGTCACTAGCACAACGCTCAACAGCCGAATTGGCCTCTTCTACCTCATTGCCACTGTCATGAGCCCTGGAAACTTCCACGCGAGCACCGCTTTCCTCCCATCCAGCTTCGCCATGTACCTGGTGACTTTGGGAGCTGCAGCTTTCATGAACTGGCGGGGCGGGCTCAAGACCTCCCAGGGCATGTTCTGGTTTGCCGCGGCTGGAATCCTGGGATGGCCATTTGCCTCGGCTCTCTGCGCGCCTTTTATGCTTGAGGAGTTTGTCTTGGTTCTTTTCGGTACCAAGACTGCCTGGTGGGAAGCCTTTGTCCGGGTTGGTCGTGGTGTTGTTTCTGCGATTCTTCTCCTGGTAAGATGACCTCAATCTTTCACCGAAAATATGACTTACAATCTGTTTAGGCGAGCGATTTCATCGTGAACCTCTTCTTCTACAAGCAAAAAGTTGTCGTGACTTGGAATATTGTCAGTTACAACATCTTCTCATCCAGTAGCGGCCCTGAGCTGTATGGAACCGAGCCCTGGACCTTCTACTTCAAGAACCTGGCCTTGAACTTCAACATCTGGTTCATACTCGCTCTTGCGGCCTTGCCTCTATTTATCCTCCAGAAGATTATTTCCCCTTCCACTCAGGGATTTCAGTCTGGTCTGCGAACTATCGTGTTCCTCGCCCCCTTCTACATGTGGCTCGGTATCTTCACCTCGCAGCCGCACAAGGAAGAGAGATTCATGTATCCGGCGTATCCTTTCCTCGCGCTTAACTCTGCCATCTCTCTGCACATGATCCTCACCGCTCTGGGTAACTCTGACCCCAAGACACTGATTGGAAAGATCCCAGCGCGTCTGAAGCTCTTCTTCGTCACAATTGCCATGATCCTGTCAGTTGATGTCGCTCTCTTCCGAGTGTACGGTATTTGGTCGGCGTACTCTGCACCCATGAGCATCTACTCTCCTCTTTGGGAGGGTGCCGAGGGAGCAGCGCCGTTGGGCCGCGAAGAGGACACTGTTTGCCTTGGCAAGGAGTGGTATCGCTTCCCCTCGTCCTATTTCCTCCCTAGGGATATTCATGCCAAGTTTGTTCGCTCCGAGTTCCGGGGTCTCCTCCCCGGCGAGTTTTCCGAGGCTGAGACCGGCTTTGGCTTCTGGAGCGGCACCTGGCTGCCCACAACTGGCATGAACGACCACAATGAGGAAGATGTGGGCAAGTACACGGAGCTTCGTGCGTGCTCGTTCCTCGTCGACACGCAGTATCCGGAGCGGAGGGACCCTCTGCCGCCAAATGAGCCCGACTACATTGCAGACCGGGAGAACTGGGAGATCGTCAAGTGCGAGCCATTCCTCGATGCCGCGAATACACATTTGCTGGCGAGGACTCTATGGATCCCTGATCTCGAGGTCATTCCAGATCACTTGAAGAGAAAATGGGGTCGACACTGCTTGTTGCAACGGAAGAAGCCTTCTACAAAAGAAGTACCTGAGCAACCCGCGGACAACTAAGCGTTTCCGCATCTCAGCGCTGAAAATGCTATGTAACAAGGAATGTATTCATCATAGAGGCCAAAGGTGTCATTGAATAGAATTAGACGAATGTATGTATATCTTGTCAAGTTTACGGGTGAGTTGGATCTGCACCACCCGGTCAAAGACGATCTCGAGTCCACCATCTTTGCACCGTGAGAGTATCTTAGTGGATTACCTTCCATCAGGTACCAAGCGCCCTGTCAATTTCAACTCCCACTGCGCACGGCAACTGTGGGATGTGTATCCCTTCGTCATGCCAATACGGAGTGTATCATACTTGGATTGCCTAGGGTCCGTGATGCCTGGATGACATTTCCGAAAGATAGCATCCCACTCATCCTTTGTGCGGAGCTTGGCGTTGTGCATGGCCATGACGGTGACATCTCGTCTCCGGTACGCCTTGTCTATATGAGGCTCAAAGGTGCCTGGCGGAGGAGATAAGAGGTCATTCACCAGGATGATAGAATTCTTTGACCTTCTCGTAGCGACGAGTAGGTTGCTGAGGATGCAGATTACCTCCCTATCTGGCAGGTTCCAGAGTATTGATTTGAAGAGATAGACGTGAGGAGTCTCTGGCTCATCCTCGAGCGTGAATTGGCTGATGTCTTTTGGAAGCTGTTGAATCTCGAGCTCTAGCGAAGGAAACTTTTCTGTGAGGAATCGTGATGCTGCTTCTGGCGTGCGGACGAGGTCCACGATAGTTCTCGGGCAAGTTGCCTTTTCGAGGTTTTCGCTAAACCACGCCTCGAGGAGTTGGTTTCCAGGATCCAGAACTATCAGTGTTAATGGAAATATGGGGATCCTTGGGGTTGGGAAACTCACAGTCTGCGACGCTTTGCATCGCAGCGGCAAACCTGGCACCATTTTCAGGATGACTACTGTGCCAGTCATACATTGATTGTCCGAATCTGAACATGTTAATGCCTTTTTCTTGAGTTGACTTGTGGCACTCACGCATGCTTAAAGGCAGAGTGGCCTGTCCAGGTAGGGTTGGGCTTCTTGAGTGAGTTTGCAAGATGAGTACTTGCAACCCTCGTCTCAAAGAGTCTGCTTGTCATCAGTACAGTGGCTACTTAAAACTTTTCAGAATGCTCACTGGAATCCGATAAAGGCCTTCAGACCAGGATCTTGAACCAGCTCACGCGAGATCATGCCATGACGAAAGACCTGTTCTGAGGACTCGACGAGTATCTGGTCACATGCCGCAAGTCGTAGCATGGGGAGCAGCTTGTCCCTTGGTATCCCAGTCTTTTCAGAGAGCTCAGTAAGAGTCGCTTGCCCATCTAGGGGAATCTCGTCCAAGACACGACACTCGAGAAGGCAGTACAATGCACCCTTGTCCCAGTTGGATGCAACAAACTCATGCAAGAAATCTTGCGGGCCTCGAAGTGTTCTACTCAGCTTCTGGATGAGACCGAGCAGCTTGGACTGGCTCCTTTCAATATCGGAGCCACGAGGTGGATGATTCCATAGCAGCATCTCAGGACTCTCGTCTTTGCCGTCCTCGAATAGTAGCTTCTCTAGCTGGTCGGCCTCTTTGACAATCTCCCGGGAGAGGGGGGCAATGTCTTTCGGATCCATGGTGGCATACGCCGGCAGCTCGTGTTCAAGTTGTGAACCTGGTCTCGGTCAGGGTTAAGAATTCACTGCTGAAGCATTGCAGGCTGGTTTGCATCTTGTATAACCGGGAAACCAATAATTCAATTCTCGCCCTGCGCGTCGGAGCGGGAATGTCTGTCTTCTTTATTCAGCCAGATACTGAACCGGCTTCCGAGCTCCGAGCTCTCAACTGGCCATGTTTCAAGGCTCATCAAGTTGCGGTCAGAGATAAAGGTTGACGGGTCGTATCACTGCAGAGGCGTAATGCTTCACGACAATGTTGCAGCTGGGCTTATGCAGAGCCGCGAGAATGACATCCTGAGAGTGACTGGGAATAGGGGTGTCACTGCATAGAAAAGCATCAAAAACAGGCCTCGTCACCGGCCAGGTTTCTCACTCTGGTCATCCGCCTGTCATCATTCCTTTACAGTTCCCTGCATCATCATCCATTCAGCATGAGACCGCTCGTTACATTGTCACTCTTTGCCGGCCTCGGCCTTGCTACTGCTGACGTTGCCTCGACCAAAGGTCCTGGTCGAACTGTTCACAAGGATGTCGTCGTCATCGGGGGAGGATCTTCTGGAACGTTTGCAGCTGTCAAGCTGCGGAGGATGGGTAAAAAGGTTGCCCTCATCGAAAAGGGCGACCTTCTTGGAGGCCATACTGTGACCTATCAGGTGCCCGACTCCAACATCACCATCAACTATGGTGTTAGTGGCTACGGCGACGAGCAGGTCACTAGAGACCAGTTTGCCAGCTTCGATATACCCATCATCAACTTCCCAGTACCCGAGGGTGGCTTTGGGCCTACAAGCTACGTCGACTTCAACAATGGCCGCACTCTCAAGAACCTCCGCGTCTCGATGGATCTGTCAGGAATTCGAGAGCAGACAGACAAGTACCCATACCTATACTACTCGACTCGCCTCCCTGATCCGGCCCCAAAGGACCTTCTCCTCCCTTTTCGAGACTGGGCCAAGAAGTACAAGTTGGAAGAGACCACCTACAACGTGTTCTCTCACCTTCAGGGCCTGGGAGACCTGCCAAATCTGGCGACGCTGTACGTTCTCAAGTATCTCAACAGCGGGTACCTGGAGGTCATGAGCCCTGAATCCAAGGGGGCTCTGGTTCCTGTGCGCGGGAACAATTATGAGCTCTACGAGAAGTCGCACAAGTACCTTGGATCTAGTGTGTTTGTGAGCTCTACCGTCTCTGAAGCTCGCCGTGACTCCAAAGGAGTTCGACTTAAGGTCAAGACTCCTGACGGGTTCGTGAACATCAGAGCAAAGAAACTTCTCATCACAATCCCGCCAATGAAGCGAAACATGGAACCATTCGGCTTGAGCGATAGGGAGGAGGAGCTCTTCTGCAAGTTCACTGCGACGGGATGGTATGTCGCCATAATTCGAGCTGAAGGCCTTCCTGAGGGCTTTTCGTACCAGAACGCAGATCCAGATGCGCCTTGGAATCTTCCACAACTACCGGCGCTGTTTGAGATGTCACCCACTCAAGCCACAGACCTCTATACAGTTCGCTACAGTTCCAACGAAGAAACGCCAGACTCGGCCGTCAAAGAGGATATGCTACGCACCTTTGACAGAGTCAGGTTCTCCGTTATTGGAAACAAGACGGAGAAGCTTCAGCCTGCTGAACTACTGGCGTACTCGAGTCACGCTCCCTTTGATTTGCATGTCCCGGTCGATGAGATTGCAAACGGCTTTTATAACAAACTCGACGATCTCCAAGGATACAAGAGTACCTGGTACTCTGGAGCCACCTTTGTCTCCCACTCGACTGGTGCTTTGTGGAACTTTACAGATCATCTTGTAGAAAAGATGTATGAGTGAGGCGTTTAAATCGTTGCTTTGAACGTTGGTAACTGCCCTTAATTAGTCTCTATTGAGTGGGCTTTATTTCGATTCTTCTGTTGATTTCTTTGGTCTAACATTCTTGGCCTATCTCTTCGATATGGGAACCATGGTACAATTCACTTCTTGGCATAATTATTTGATGGGTTTACTGAACTTTATTTGTCTCTAATACTGGAAACTTGAATATCTTGCAGTCTAAAACTCTGTGTCTCTACCCTCTCTCTTTCATTGCCCAGCCAGATCCTCAGTATTGAGAGATATGTGCATCTAGCACAGCCATACCCAACTAACCCTCGGTAGAAATCACGAACTTCGTCTCTTCCGCTTCCTTCAGTTTCGCACCAAGATCCTCTTATTCCTTAGGTTTTGAATCATGTCCTTCCATCGGCTTGAACCCTCGAGTGAAAACTGGGCTGGCCTCGACCTTCTTCCAGTCGTGAAGCATGTAGCCATTCTCGACTGAACACTTGACCTCTTCTTGGCCTCGGGGGATCACGTCTGCTTCATAGATCTTGATGGCATCCTCGAGCTCCGTCTCCCCGCGGAAGACGCCCTCTAGCCCAGTTATGAGATAGGAAGTATCGCAGATGCAGTGATTAAGTCCCTGACCACGATCTAGAACCTGTTAGTGCTGCGCCTCTGTGGTATGTTACATATGTTGACTTACATGGTGGCATTGGGTGAGCAGCATCGCCAATCAGTGTCATTCTTCCACCGTGGTTGTTCCACGGCTTTGTGATCCAGTAGCTAATGTCAGCTTTGTGGACTTCGGTGTCCTCGGGCAACCAGAGAAAGGCAGATCGGGCAGGTTCACCCATCCCTGCAGCTCTCTCTTTCAGCAGGGCAAGTCTTTCGGGATAACTGAGCTTGTGGTTAGAATCTCCCATCCAAGCCATGGCCATGTGAAAGATCCACGACTCAGGGTGATCTTGGCCATCTGGCATATTGGAGACTTTAGAAAGTGGGACAGTTAGTGATGGCATGTAAAAAGGATCACAGGCTGTGACCTACTGGACTGGAAGGCGTGAAACGATTGGTTGCTCAGAGCTAGGAAACTCGTAGGGTAATCTCGCCGCACATACTTGGCCTTCTCTGCATCGTTGTAGCAGACGGTCATGTTTGTGTGGAAGATGGGAAATTTGCTGACAGCTGCCTCCTCAGCACTTCCCATAGCAAACTCTCGAACTTTGGAACGAGGGCCATCTGCTCCAACAATGATGGAACCAGAGACAACGGTCCCATCAGAAAAGGATGCAACGACTCCCTGGCCAGACTCGTTGAAGGCGACGTCGATGAGATTCTTGCCATATTGAACCTCAATCCCTTCTGCACAGAGAGCTCTCATTCTGCTCCGTGAGACGCGAAGCCCCTTTTCGTAAGGGACCCCAGTGAGGAGATTTCCCGTCTCGGCCTGGATGATGGGATAAAGCCCACCAGCCTCAACGGGCACGGCTGGGTTACACGAGATGAGTGGAATCTGGGAGAAGACTTCAGGAGGCACAATGTTCTCCAGACGGTCCAAAGCCCAGTGTATTGCCATTGTCCACTCATTGCTGCGATAGTTGAGGCACACCTCTTTTTCAAAGATTGAGTAGCGGATTCCCAGCTGCCTCTATCAGTCTGTATGCAAGTATTGGAAAGTAGAGACATACCCTCTTGAGTCCCTGTGCCACAATGAGGCCAGTGATTCCTAGATGCAGCTAAGTACTGTGTCACCATGAAACGGATTCTGGGGTTACTCACCAGCGCCGATGATAATGACGTGGAGGTCTTTGTCAGGCATGTTGATAACTTGTGAGAAAGACTGGAAGCTGTGCAGTAGAGATTGGTAGGTCAAGTCTGAGGCTGCAGCGAGGGCGCTTTTGACTACAACTGACTCTATTTCGGCACCGGTTTCACCATCATAGGCCGTAAGCAGGAACCCAACTCGGGAGCCGAAATCCATTCAAGTCCGTTTCGCGTTCCGCCCTCCATGCTGGTCGTGTCTGTTATGGCCAGCATGTGACGAGGGGAAGCAGAACAGAGCCCTTTTACTAGGGACTCGCTGAGAAAGAAGGCCCTTTGAATCACACTGAGCTCACTGAATGACCAAACATCATCAAGATGCTGGCCATAGGATTGTGGTTGTTGGCGGCGCTGCCTTTGCTTGTGAGTTGCGAATCATCAAGACATTGAACCCTTGCTAATCACCATCAGGCCTTGCTGAAGATCATCTACAATGTTCTCCTACACCCCCTGAGACACCATCCGGGCCCAAAACTCTGGGCATCGACGAGAATTCCTTGGTGCTGGAACCAATACCAAGGGAAGCTGAACCATCGACTGGTGGAACTTCATCATCAATATGGCCCAGCAGTTCGAGTGGCACCAGACGAGGTATCGTACACTTCTGACACGGCTTGGAAGACGATATATGGCCATCGAAGTGTTGAAATGACCAAAGACCCTATCTTCTCCCTTGTCACGCCGACTGGAGTACCCAGTGAGTCTGTTCCTTGACAACGGCAGTTCTGCGACTAACGACGAAGACATCGTGACGGCGGATCGTGTGAATCATTCTAGACATCGACGTCTCCTTTCCCACGCATTTTCTGAAAAAGCTCTCCGTGAGCAAGAAGACATTCTTGTCCAATATTGTACCAAGTTACTTGATCAGCTACAAGCACGTTGCTCGGATGGCCCCTTGGACTTGGCGAAATGGTTTCCCCTGACGAGTAAGCTTGATGAGCTCTTGGAGTTCCGTTAGATACTGACGTTTATATAGCATTTGATCTAATCGGATCTCTTGCCTTTGGCCAAGACTTTTCTTGCATCGACACTGGAGAACCTCATCCCTTTGTGGCATGCATCAAGGGCGTATCTAGAGAGTTGGTCATGAGCCAGATGGCCCAATACTATGGCTTCGGCTCTCTAAGATACTTCCTTTTCTTACGGGGCTCGGCAAACTCACGGTTCGCCAATGCAATGCGCGCAAAGGAGATGGTAGAAGCTCGAATCGCCAGAGGCCCAACCGACGACCGCAAAGACTTTTGGCACCATGTGCTGGCTGCCGAGGATCAAGGAAAAGGCTTGACACCTGATGAGATGGTGGTAGATGCTTTTAGCATCGCCATAGCTGGATCGGATGGCACTGCCACAGCCTTAGCAGGCACCACTTACCTCCTGTTGACACATCGAGATGTCTATCAACAGCTTCAGGGTTTCATCAGACAGGAGTTTGAAGCAGAGGAAGACATTACCACTTTGGCGCTTTCGAATGAAAGAGTACCACTCCTGGGTGCAGTCATTCAAGAGTCCATACGACTATTCCCACCAGTTGCGGCTACCCTACCGAGGGTCGTACCCCCTAGTGGAGAAACCATTGACGGCCTCTTCGTACCCGAAGGCACCATCGTCGGCGTCAACCAGCTCGCTGCCTACCACTCTGAAAAGAACTTTAACCAAGCTTCAGAGTTTCTACCAGAGCGATGGCTTAGCGAACAAGGAGACTGCAGAGCAGTTTTTCAGCCTTTCTCGTTTGGCCCAAGGAATTGTCTTGGCAAGAACTTGGCCAAGGCAGAGTTGAGGTTGATTCTTGCGAGGATGCTGTGGAGGTTTGATATGGAGCTCCTTCCAGAGTCTCAAGGGTGGATGGATGGGCAGAAGATTTACGGGTTCTGGATAAAACCCCCGTTGATGGTCAAGCTCTCGCCTAGGGCAAATTGAGTGTGAGAGACATGTGATCAATAAGAGGTGGTGTGCTTGACTTTTGCTGCAAAATATTTCATCATTTTAAGATTGAGTGATAGTTTGTAATTTCTTTCCATTCTTAACCTGTTGATACGATGGTCAAGAACGATGATCTGTTAGGAGAGGTCCACACCTCTTGTTAAAGCCCACTTGACTTACGAAACCTGTATATATTCTGAAAATAATTGATTTCAGGGTAGATGGACCTTTTAAGGACTTTATACTGACATTTCAAGTGAAATCTTTTGTCTTCGAACAACAATCTATTGTCTAGAACCTTCCGTTTCTGCTGGTCTATCGAAGCTCACTGCATGTCTCACGTCTGTTGCCTTTTCTACCCTACTGCCACCTCTTCTCTTATCCCACCACGACCTAGTCTACAATGCAGTATCTAGTCCTCACTCACTCCTTGGTTCCAATAAAGTGGTAGATGGTCCCAAATGGAGGGAGAACACGTGTCTCACCGTTGGTGAACCTCCAGCCTGTAGTGTCAATGCCTTCTGCTTGGATAAGCTTAAACATCTCCCCAGGAGTACGACCTCGCAAGCAGGAGACGTAACCGTTGATTACGAAGAATAGTGGGACGACGGGGATAATGTAAGTGAAGAAGAGATGCATGGGAGACCACCACCACCAGAGTAGAGTGGTGACAAAGGGGGATAGAATGACAAAGGTAGTGGTGATGAGCGATGAAGGTGTTCGGTGAGTAAGCTCAAAGATCCTGCACTTGTTAGTACTGGCAACATCAACAACAGAAATCTACTCACATGAACGCGTCGGATTCCTCAATGCAGCTTCGAAGCACCTTGCGAGCACCAGCATCGTCAAAGTGGTGGAAGCACATGTTGAAGATACGAAGCTCCTTCTTGTCACGCGCAGCGTATCTCGACGCCTTGGTGGCATCGACTGGCTTCTCCACATACGATATGTGATCGCTTTTAGCAGTGATGGCTTTCCAAGCGTCTAGATCCGGGAACAGATCCGTGAGCAGGAACTCAATGGGAGGCTTCCCCTCCGAGACCATTCTCTCGTTGAGGATCTCCTCAAAGATGGGAGTCGGACCTCCAGCCCCGGCACAGGCATCCACAAAGTGATACTCGCTCGGATGCTCGGGGAGGTTCTCAGTGATGACATCGCACACCTGTGCAGCCGTGGAGGTTGTCCTGTTGAACCCAACAGTACTCCAAACAGCGGCCAGCGAGCGATGGGCGTACTCGCGGAGCCAGATTGGGCACCACGAGTAATCCTCAATCTCAATGAGGTGAAAGCGGGGGAGGATAACAACCATGGTGGGCAATTGGGGGAGAACAAAGACGAGAATGGGAATGATTTTCCTGTGAAACTTGGGACTTTGTCAAATGATGGTGTACTGCTTCAACACCAAGGTATTATACGATTCATGACGTCTGCTGGTAGTGGGTTGCCTCAAGGAGGTGCGGGTTGCGGAACCCGAGTGAAATCGAAGAACGTCTTATCTGATGGTCTATGGGAGACGGAATACGAGATGTTCGGACCCGGGAGTCTGGTACGGGTGATGCAGCTAGGGAGTATCTGGATATGCATGTATGTCGGGAGCGTTAGAGGATTCCGCAACGGACGCCGAGTTGGAGTTCCGTCTCGGCAGCGTACTTTTGCATAGGGAAGCAAACATGCGATTCAGGGGTTGTAAGTCGTGACGTCTATGAGTTAACGAGCGTTCCTTGGGCATAGGCGGAGCCAGCACATGTCCAATTACTATTGTTTGTGAAAATCTGTGTCAATCTATACCTGAATGGCAAAATTGGCATTTGATGTGTTACTCTACGTCCAAGACATTGGTTTCGGCTTGTGCTATGGCTACGCAAATGTTCCAACGTCTTCCACCGTAAACACGGCCCTAGTTGATCCAGCAGAGGTTCTTAGATATCGTGATGAATCATTGAGAAGAGATGAAGCTTGATAAGATAATAAAACAATTACTCACAACCTAATATCAGGTAATAACAGGCCAAGATTTATGCATCGCTTAGTGTGTATCATGCCTAGAGCCCACCAACCCTAGGGACTGACATCGCACAGGTTGTGTCCTGATCGTTAATGGCTTACACTCCATCGGATTTTAACAAACCAGGTGGTAATCACCGCTTTCTCTATCTATTTGGCCACAAAACTACTGGACTTGAGAGAGGGGAAGCTGAATCCTCAACAAACACTGAGCGTAGTGCCTCACAGGCTCACAACGAGCTTCTCTCCACTGCCACGGGCTTCAAAGTCAAGTAACCCGGCACCAACTGCATCCCATCCCTTGCCAATGACCTTGGTGGGGACAGGGAGCTTGTAAGTTCCCTCCTCCAAAAGCTTGCCGAGACCTGCCATTGCCCCCTTTCCACCGGGAGCCTCAAAGACGTTGCGTCCGAAAACCACGGTCTGGTTGACGCCTTCCGGAGCGGAAACCTTGGCTCCCGTAAACACCTGTGAGTATTGACGAGGGCCATTGTTATCGAGTGCCTTAAAGAGGCCGGGGTCCTCTGCAGCGGCCGTGACACAGTCGAGGATTGCGTCCACACCCCCTGAAATCGCCCCCGTGACGTCAGAAACGAGCGAAGATGAACTTCGGTCAATGACTTCGGTGACGCCTAGAGACTTGAGGCGTTCCAAATGCTCGAGAGAGGCCGTGGTGAGAATGGTTGCGTGGGGGAGGGCGAACCGAAGCATCTGGATGGCAGCCCCTCCAACAGCCGAGCCGCCGCCAAGAACAATGACGCTTTCGGGCGGGGAGACGGGGTCGCCAGGTGCTTTCGATGAGATATGGGGAATTGGCACATGGAGGCCAACGAGAATGGCGGCCGCGGCGGTTAGATAACAGATGCTAGAGCACAGCATGAGTCAACGGTTCTGTAGTATTCTCAGGGGCAATGAGGGCGTAGACGTATACTCACGGGAGAGACACAACTTGCTCAAAAGTGAGAGATGCAGGTTTCTGAGATACGAAATGCTGAGGCACGGTTACAATCTCTTGGAAGCCAGCTGTCTTGCCGCCGATGCCGCAGAGGGCAAAGACCTCTTGGCCCGGCTTGAAGTCAGTGACCTCGTCACCAACTTCCTCGACGATGCCGGCGCCGTCGAGACCAAAGACTGCAGGCCAAGATCTGACCATCTCTCCGCGTGTCAACATCTTGTAGTCCAGGGGGTTGAGTGCCACGGCCTTGATACGAATGCAGACATCAGTCGGTTCGGGATTGGGTTTGGGAACCCTGACGAGAGCGAAGGGACCGCCTTGCTTGACGGCTTGGTACTGGAGCATCGTGTCGGACATGCTTGAGGATGGTTTGAGTAGAAGCTCTAGAGTTGGTCTTGAAAATGATGTAGGAGTTGAAGAGGTGAGATGGTTGTGTAGGAGTAAGTGCACAGAAGAGAGGAGATTCACTCGTCGCATCTCTTATTCACTGCTACTGGAGACTAGATCAAAAGGAAAGAAGTGTAAACTCCGAGACAGTCTGAGGCAGGAACAAGAGTACACAACATCATACAAAACACCCTTGCGCCTCGTGCTCCGTGGGCGGACTTAGTGCATGCCCAAAACGTCGCTGAAGAACCAAGCCCGTTTTATGTCTTGGAGTTGCGTCTGCATTAGATTGCGTTATCAAAACATTATTCAAAGTTGCACGGGAGCCGACCCGTGAGTTTCAAGAGGAATTTCATACTTGAAGACTGTGTCGGTCGTCGTCATGAGCTTACGCAGCCCATCTTTCGACTTTACCAGCAAACTCATTCGGGAGCCAGATGAAGGCATTTGTCGGAAGCCGGTTACAGAGTCTGTAGGTTTCCGTAGTGTATAGAATGAAAGGAGCGGAATTATCGGCGTTAAGAAATGTTATAAAATAATGAAGGATCCGCATAACTCTAGAGTCGAAGCCATCGCCAACTCGTCCCAAAGAGGAAATCCTTAACTTCTAACTCCGGCTTCACGCAACGCCCCCTGTTCCTTGCTGCACTAGAGCTCCGCTTCTGCATCCAACCAAGAGTTGAGCTTGAGACGACTTGCTGCTTCGTCATGGACTCGGCTACCGAGGCCTACGCGGAGACGCTTCGGATTAATCACTTCAAGCCGGAGGAGGTCCCTTGGCGTCGACTTGGGCAGTGTAAGTGTTTAAAGACTGTGATTTGTTAAATAATACTGGCGTTTTCTAAGTGAATGATAGATCTATGGCGCCCTATTGAAGATGGATCCAACACGCAGTATCGGCTAGCCGTCATCGAGAGCCTGCTCCCACCTAAGTCTGATGGTCCCGTCTTTCACTTTCACGAGATGCATGATGAGGGCTTCTACGTCAAGGCAAGCCACTTGAACCCCCACGCTCTTAATGGGATAAACTGACATGGGTTGCATTGCAGAAGGGCACAGTTCGCTTCCACTCTCCGGGCCGCCCCGACGTCGACTGCAAGGCTGGAGAGATGCTAACGATTCCCATTCGTTTACCGCACAAGTTTAGCAACCCCTTTGACGAAGAGGCTGTATTTATCAATACGGCCACACCCGGCTTCTTTATTCGCTACTTTGAGCACCTCGAGGCTCTGATTGGTAGTGGTAAGGAGCTCACCCCCGAGGCCAACATTGCTGCTCTACGTCGGTTTGCAACCATTCCGCTTAGTGAAGAAGACGTCAAGCGTCTGGAGGAGACAGCAGCTGCGAAGAGAGAGGACAAGGACAAAGAATGAGGGGTAGAGAGTTGCTATGTTTTATCTAACTCTGATTTTGCTCGTGTGTTGAAGCGGTTGTCACCAATGTACCTGGCAGATATATCTAGACTGAAGATAGAAAGGAGTCAAGACGCCCCAGCTCCTTAGCCCTTAAATTCCAACTCCAAAAAACAATATTAAGGAGAGAATGCCGTTATTCATCAACTTCAAAAACAGGAATGTCGTTTGCTGCTGCAAGAAAGTCAAAGGCGAAAAGAGGGTCCTCCTCAGCGCGAGTAACATGATGATCCGTAAACCCTGTCGTTATATCGAATAGCTCTGTCTGATTAGAAAGTCTTTTCCTTTTTCCTACGTGAACTGTCGCCTCGGGATGCTGCTTGTATGACGCCGGCCACGGTGAGAGAGACATTGTTCCGTGGCTTGCATTCCCAAGCCATGGCGAGCATCCGTTTGGAGACTCGAGTGGCTGCATAAACGGGAGGAGCATCGACGTGGTGGAAACTGCTTCGTTCACAGACGCAGACGTAGACTGCACCTCGGTATCTGGAGGAGTGTCTTTGAGTGAGCTACCGATACTCCCTCGTTGAGAAGACGAGGATGCTGTCGATTGGAGGCTGGATAGCTCATTGAAGGCCATTGATGGCGTGCTTGTGGCCTCGGGAAACACCTTTTGTCGTACGATGCGAAGAAGAGATTCGAGTGTTCGACTCAGCTTCAACGGAAGATTCTCGACGTGTTCTTGGTCGGCTGCCGAAGCGTATCTGTCACGCAGAACCTCCAAGAGCAGGGTTTCCTCCTCTGGTTGGCCCAAGGCGTCGTTGGAGGATGCTATTGGTTGCATAATGTTCCGGGCGATTATGAACACAGCTGCCAGGGGGAAGTTTGCTGCCAGCCTTGGCAGTACTGAAGCGAGGATTTCGCCCTCGTCCGGTGTGGAGGCTCTCTTCTGAGAATGAGGTTCTCTTGTGCGATCCGAGTTTGCCATAATTACCGGACTGCATGATCGAGTATGCCCTAGAAGTCGATCTAGAGCTTCCACCATGCGAGGATCTGGCTGTGCTGTTGTTGCCAGGAGGAAGAGGAGGCAACTGGCCTTTGCATCTCTCAGCGCCTGATGCGAATATTTGGTGTCCTCACTGGCTCTTAGAATGCAGAGCCGGGTCGCAAAGAACGATAGCATTAGTGTTGCCGACTCAATGGATGTTGGTGGCATTTTGGTGACTCGATGTGTAGAGTCGCATTGCTCCAGCTTATGCTCCAATTGCAAAAGAAGTTGACTCTGTTTCGAAGAAGGTAGATCTGGCGATTCAGCGGCATGAAGATTCCGGTAAACTTCGTCTTGAATCCTCGCGAGGTCAATCCTAGATGAATATCTGGCTTCGTCGCCCTCCGATGGTCGTGTAATGCTAGAGTCGTAGCCTGGCAGACAGCAGGTCGCTCCTCGACATACCACAGCGTTCTTGTCTCGAATGTAGAGAGACCTGAAGACCTTCTGTCTTTCAATAATAACTTCAGAGGGGAAGTCATGGAGGGACGCGCGGGCTTGGTGAAGGCCCATTGTTCGAGCCAGATGACAGGCCTGGGCAAAGATGAGTTCTGCGAGGGCAGTGGTGCTGTACTGTTCCGTCACGTAGCTCTACAGAAACACATTAATGATCGTTCAGCAAATACATGGGGCGTAGAAAACCTACCAGCAAAGCCAGGGCCTGAACATTGACGAGTCTTGGTGTCAAAAACACCCTCGGGTTGTTCACAGCCATGCCTAATGTTTGCAGAAAGGGCTGGATAAAAGGACTGTTTCCGTGACTCGTCTGATCTTTTCCAATCGCCAGCAGAACAATGACGTTGAAGCACACGGCCCATCCCTCATCCGATGGCCTTGGAGGATGCGAGTAGATACGATCGAGATTGGCCTGAAAGTTGGACCTCGTAAAGATGTCGGTTGCGTAGTCGGCGCTCTTGAAGAATTGCCCAACGACAATGGTGAGAAATTGCCTAGGAGGGAGACAGATGCCAGTATGATCGGAGGCTATATCAAGCTGTTGCTCTTTGCTAGCCTCGACAAGCATCTGCTGCAGCATGACGCGCACAGCAACACCATCACCCGAATCATGGTCCGAGGTCCTAAAGACGGGGTCGTCGTGGAACTCCTTGCAGAGCGTGTAGAGGGAAGACGGTCCGTGGTATCGGTCCACAGACTGTGACACGTCCCGTGCTATGTTACGGTCCTTGCGGGGAGCAGCCGCTGTCTCATCCGATCTTGCCGCCGTGTCTTCGGGGATCCAGTCTTCCCCCGGCGTGGGCAGTGACTTGGCTCCGTTGCCGCTCCTGACAAGCAACGTCAAGGTTGAGAGGTCGCTTTGGATGCTGCTCAACTGGTCCTCGAGAGCCTCGAAATTCTGGCACCTGAGACATGATGGTTTGAGCTTCTTGTGCTTCCAATAGAATGGGACAGGTAGGGTAACTTACAGGAGCTTGACGTGGTTGATACGCTTCCCAGGGGATGAGTATCGACACTCGACACCATCTCGCTTGCAGCTCTCGCACTGAGGGCGCTCTCTTCCACAGCGGATCTTGCGAGCTCGGCAGTGAGCGCATGCTAGATCGTGAGTCGACCACATTTGCGGTTGCTCCATCGTCTAGAGTTAGGATATGGCTCTCGAGCAAAGTAAAGATAGAGAGACAAACCTCTTTGGTCTGGGTATTCCACATCCTTGCAGCAGATCTCAGCGGAGAGGCCCATAAAAGATGGTCGAGGCTTCCAAGAGACCTGAGGTATATAGTAGGTTAGCCTAATCAAGGAGGAGGCCAGTTTGTCACAGACACCACGGATATGGTACCACGCTGGGCGCCATTACGTGAGACTCTACCTTGCGAGAAAGAGAGATGCAAGAGATAGAAATGGTCTTCCAGGCTTCCAAAAAAGGCCTTCGGAGGGTTCTTCTCTCAAAGGTCTCGAAATGCTCCAGAGTGGCTTGGCCGATCGCTGACCGACGCCCCCTCCACACATACGGGAACTGTTATGTACCAGGTGAGCTTAGTCTATGGGCTCGAGGTGGTACAGTGAATCATTATCAGCGGGACTCTAATCGTTCCGTTCCGTATAGGCTGAAGCCCCCTGCAACATGGAGATACCGTTCTGCAGGTGTATCCGTAGGGGACGTGTTCAGGGCTAGAAATATCTCGTGATAGACTGGAATCTTTCTTTTCGAGAAACATCATTAGTATCTTACACTCGCAAACATCGCCCTGATGGCTATCGAATGCACTGATTCTCCCCTCTCCGGCCTATGGAGGCCCCAGGACCATCTCAAGCACCTGCACTACGGTTCCGGGTGCGTCGAGAGACACCTCTTGGGCGTGATCCCATCCCCTAGCTCCAAGGTCTTCATCATCACTGGCAGCTCCATCGCCACCAAGACTCCCACTATCCGCAACCTGGAGGAGCTTCTCGGTGACCTCCACGCCGGGACCTATTCGGACATCAAGCAGCACGGCCAGGCCGAGGGAGTAGACGAGGCTACCCGGCTGGTCAACGAAGACGACAAGATCGACACGGTGGTGTCCGTTGGAGGCGGCTCGCCCATTGACTCGACCAAGATGGTCTGCTTCCGCATACACGAATCCACGGGGAGGACCCTCACGCACATTGCTATCCCCACGACGCTCAGCGCTGCCGAGTGCACAGCCGGGGGAGGTTTCACACGCTCTGACGGCACCAAGCTTGGCTTCATGCACCCTTCCATGGGTGTGGGCGCCATATTCTACGACGCCTCGTTTGCTCGATACACGCCCAAGCGCCTCTGGCTCTCGACGGGTATGCGGGCGGTAGATCACGCAGTCGAGACTGTGTATCATCCAAACGCCTCCGAGGTGCCGTGGAAGGCCCTGGCTCAGTGGGCTCTGGGTGTTCTAGTCGAGTGTCTTCCGGCAGCAGATAAGATTCATGGCTCTGATTCTGCCGACGACATCACTACCAAGCTACAGCTCGCTGCTTTTGCCAGTTCTGGCCTTCGTGGTTCCAACTTTAGAGGCGGAATGGGCCTATCACACGCCCTAGGCCACGCTCTTGGAAGTCCTTATGGAATCCCTCGTAAGTTTACCATCTCTTACTATCACACGCCCCGTCTTACTTTCATCCCCTTGGAGAGACGGGCGAACAAGGCTGAACCCTCCTCTCCTGAGACACCTTTGACACACGTCCAATCGGATCTGCAGACGGCGTGGTATGACAGAGGCACAATGTCGGGATGATGTAACCCTACACAACTGACAAAGCAGCAACAATAAGCCCAAGACAAAAAAGATACCGGCAAATGAATTTCTGCTGACCAACGAGTCTCTAGACGGTGAAACCAGCTGTCTGACGCTGGGTCCGGTCCTCCGCCACAAGGCAGAGACGGACGAGGCGGCCGCCCAGCAGATCGCCCGTCTGCTTCCAGCCTTGGGAGGAAATCGCCGAGGAGGAGATGCTCGTGGCGAAGCTATTGAAGTGGCACAGCGTGTGGTGGCCCTGGTGAGGGAGTTGGGGCTCGAGCAGCCGTCCCTCTCAGCACGTGGAGTTGGTCGTGAGCAGGTTGCTGTTATCGCCAGGAGAGCATCTGGAGGGGAACCAAGCAAGGAGATTCTCGCATTGGTTGAGAGTTTGTTCTAGTCGGATGCCGAGATGTATCTCACCAGTAGATGTCAGTATGGCTTCATATCTACCCGTCTTATACCAGATAGGGCGTCATCTGTGATCCATAAGCCGTCCCGTTTCAGCTGCCACCTCCGGGATGCAACATAATCAAGCACAGCCTCAGATATGATCTACCAATACCCTTACCCAGAGCCTGTGTAGTGGTATCGCCCTGCCTATACAGGCCTAGCTAGCCGCTCGATGACTCCCGTTTCTGGTATTTTCCCGATTGGAGAACTCTATTTTGACTCGATGGCTCAGCACACCATCCTTGGATAACATTCGCACGCCCGGGGATGAGATGGGCTCTGCGCGAATCACGCCATGTGCATATACGACGGACTTTTGCCTTGAATGCCACGTGCTTATGCAGCTTAGCCTGAGTTCGTCATCTAGCCAACGTCGTTGACTCTCTCTTTCATGCATTGTCATACGCCGGCAGCGGCATACGAGAGCCGAATCTACCGGGTCAGCCGGGCATAGCTATAGGCTCCGGAGATATTGCGTTCGAGGCCAAGCAAGTGAGCTGCAGAGCGGGATATAGTGGAGACCGGAGATGTGGAATTGTAGTTGATGAGATAATAGATCTCAAGGCAAGATATTCTATGTAAAACATTGTTTCGAAATATTGTTGTTTAAAAATAGACTTCTCGTAAACTGTCAAACCGTCAAGCCACATACTACTGAAACCATCAACTCCGACTTCCAAGGCGAGACGGAGGAATATTAAATGAGTCTTAATGAGGGAAGAGAGAACTAGTAACATGACACATGGCGTGAGGCTCTTATCTATTCCTGCTGGAATCATTGTAGCTGGACCGTTGACTGGCTGGGTGGCCAAGCTGACATTGTCAGGTCAACTTCCTGATTCAGCCGAGAGCAGAGGATAACCGGGACAACTCACCAATAAAGAGGATCATTATCAATATGTATGTAACGCTACAAGACATGAGCCACAGGTACGGTTGTTGTGGTTGTGGCACAGGTGGCTGCAAGTCGGGACTTTACAGGAGATGGACATGTCATCGAGACAGGATATAGGAGATGCGGGCAAGACGAGATTCCATACCCTTCACTTATGAAACATATATGCCAAGGGATGAGTTAAATCAAGTATAACACATCTACTTTTGTCAAATGCCCATTCATGGAGAATTAAACCAGTTCTCCATCCGTAATGTGAAACTCGAACCATCCAGTCACAAACTTGGTTCTCGACGGGTCAGAGAAGACGGCATGATCAGGGTCAACCACAGTCTTGTACTTTTCGTCGTTCTTTACTTTCACGTAGTCTTCAATGTCCCTGAATACGATCTGCACGATGCAGTCGGCGTCATGAACCTTTTCCAAGGGGAGATTAGGGAGGATGCGGTCGATTAGTGCTCGCCCCTTGGTCGAGTTGTGTTGCTAGATAGCATTAGTTATGCCTTTAACATGCGTCTCCACACTAATTATGATATGCTTGCCATGTGATATGAAACAATCTTGTTCTTGATGAGCAACTCGTTCAGATGCCCCGCGTGTGTCTCACTGACGTACTCATGATAGGCATCTTCATCCATCCCAGGCTTTCGATAACCAAAGATAGTCACCGAAAAGAGTTGATGACTCTTTGACGACATGATGTCTTGCGAGAGGAGCAAACAAAGTCTTGGTACAGCGACACCTTCGTCAACGACTCGAGCGGCGATGTGTCCGGATAAAGACGCGTGCAGATGATGGCTTTTATCGCTTTTCTTGGAACAACCAGACACTAGCACGTGCTCACTTCGTCTCAATCCATCTTCGATAACAGCCGCAGCTTCATGATCGTCATGTCCGGGGGGCGAGTCGGACGCCGAGGACCGCCCTTCCCAACGGTTCCGAGATGTCAATACACAAGCCGCTCTGGCGCTTACATCTCGAGCTGAGTGCATAGTGCTGCCTGGCTGTCCCGGAGGCCATGTGACGCTCATTATCAGTGAGATTAGATGCGTCTAGCCAGGTCTGAGGCCCTTTCGCAAGCCGACGGTTGGGTGGTGGCGTCTAGGCTGGTCGAGATGAGGCCAAGGACTCGGTGTCAGAGAACCATATAGTACAGGTATCGGGCGCTTGAATGCTTGAGGGCTCACCATTCAACATCCAACAGCATAGTTTCAACATGAAAAACTGCAAAATACTCCTGTTTGGAGATCTGTCTGTCCCTTTCGAGGGACAGCTCCAAGCACTTTTGCACGTTCACGACAACCCCTTGCTCACCTCCTTTTTGGAACAAGCTGGAGCCAAAATCAGAGATGAGATTGGGCTTTTGACTACACAGCAGCAGAGCCTCTTTCCTCGCTTCACCACGCTGATCGACTTGGTTTCGAAGCTTGGTGAAACAGAGGGCACGCCAGTCTTGAGGTTCTGCCTCCTCCCGGTCTGTCAGATAGGGCAGTTCATAAAGTGAGTGACCTACACCATATCATGGATGGGATAGCTTACAACTGCAGTTACTATGGCCGCAATGGGCGTCAGTATCCATCGCCTGATGAAGCCTATTGTCTTGGCATTTGCGCCGGGGCATTCTCTGCAGCGGCGGTCAGTTCATCGTCATCTCTCTCAGAGCTGGTCAACATAGCCAGCGAAACAGTCATTATTGCATTTAGAACAGCGCTTCATTCATTCAGCATCAAGACCGATACAGTTGGCAACAACGAGGAGCATGAGAGGAGTTGGTCAGTCATCATTCCAGGGGAGGAGAAGGAGATTCAGGAGAAGTTAGATCGATGGGGGGCATCGGGAGTAAGTCTCTGCCCAATATCCCCTGATTCAGCTGATAACTAACATGCTTAGAATCTACACGACCTTTGGAGACCTTATATCAGTGCTACAGCACCCAACAACATCACCTTGAGTGGCCCACCAAGAGTCCTTCAGGGGTTCATCACAAGTCAGCAACTCAAATCCCACGAACTTCCTATTCACTCGCCATACCATGCCCCACATCTCTTTGATGAATCTGCTCTCGGGGAGATTTCCAAGGATGTGTCTTGCAATAACGTCTCCTTTTTCCCTCTTATTTCAGCTTCCACTGGAGACTTGACCGCATCAGACGGTTACAGGAACACAATCACGACCGTGATCAAGGACACTCTTATCAATCAGGTGAGGTGGAACTCGATTCTGAAAGAGACGATAGGAAGACTTCAAGAGACTGGCTTTGAAAGCTGCAGCATCCTTCCCTTTTCCAGCAACGCCTCTCAGCTTCTCTCCACAGCTCTCAACCGCGCCAATCTCAACGTGCAAGTTGAGCAGGTTCCTGAAGTTACCAAGTCATACTCAACCCATGGCCACTTTTCAGACTCAAAGATTGCCATAATTGGTTACTCTGGCCGCTTTCCCGACTCTGCCTCCAACGAAGCATTCTGGGAACTGCTGAGAGCTGGCAAGGATGTCCACCGCGAGGTTCCAGAGGATCGCTTCAACTGGAAAACACATTACGATCCTACGGGAAAAACCAAGAACACCAGTCGTGTCAAGTATGGATGCTGGATCGAGGAGCCAGGACTCTTTGATGCCCGATTCTTCAACATTTCACCTCGTGAAGCCGAGAATACGGACCCAGCGCAGCGATTGGCCATCACGACGGTCTACGAGGCAATGGAAATGGCTGGAATGGTCCCCAACAGAACGCCATCTACACAGCAAGACCGTATCGGCTGCTTCTTTGGAACAACGAGTGACGACTGGAGAGAAGTCAACAGCGGACAAGATGTCGATACATACTTCATCCCCGGAGGTAACCGCGCCTTTGTTCCAGGACGTATCAGTTACTTCTTCAGGTTCTCGGGTCCAAGTCTCAGTATGGATACTGCGTGCTCGTCTAGTTTCGCTGCTATCCAAACAGCTTGTGCATACCTTTGGAGGGGAGAGTGCGACACTGCTGTGGCTGGTGGTACCAATGTCCTCACTAACCCTGACAACTTTGTGGGACTTGACCGAGGACATTTCTTGTCGACAACCGGTAAGTGGAACTGTCAAGTTGCTATGAAGTATTGATGCTGATATTTTTTAGGCAACTGCAACGCCTTTGACGACGGAGCCAGTGGTTACTGTCGAGCAGATGCCGTCGGCTCTGTCATTCTCAAGCGCCTTGAAGACGCCGAGATGGATAATGACCCCATCTTCGGCATCATCTCAGGGGCAACCACCAACCACTGTGGCCAAACAGACAGCATCACTCGTCCCCACGAAGGTGACCAGACATCTGTCTTCAAGCGCATCATCCGCCATGCTGGAGTGAACCCTCTTGATGTGAGCTACGTCGAAATGCACGGTACTGGCACCCAGGCCGGAGACGCCACAGAGATGAACTCGGTGCTATCCGTCTTTGTTCCAGGGCATCAACGCATGCCTCGTCACCCCTTATATCTCGGCTCAGCAAAGGCAAACATAGGCCACGCTGAATCTGCTTCTGGAGTCTCTTCTCTCATCAAGGTGCTCATGATGATGAAGCACAGCGAGATCCCCCCACACTGTGGTATCAAAACCAAGATCAACCACAACTACCCCCTCGACCTCAAAGACCGCAACGTAAACATCGCGTCTAGACCTACCCCATGGCTTAGAAACGACGCCCCGTGCGGGAAGAGACTAGCCTTCTTGAACAACTTTAGTGCAGCTGGTGGTAACACGGCTGTGCTACTCGAGGACGCACCTCTGCCAAGAGATCTGCAGGCCGACCCCCGAACTTTTCATCTTGTGGCTGTTTCTTCAAAGACGGCCAAGTCTCTCAGGGGAAACATTGAGGCGTTGATTTCTCATCTTGAGACGTCGAGGCATGTCTCGGTCTCTAGCATTGCATACACAACCACTGCGAGGCGGATGCATCATGGGTATCGCATCACTGCTATTGGCTCCGACATAACCTCAATCGCTCAGTCTCTGAGGTCAAAGATTGATAATTTAGACTCAAAGCCAATCCCACCAGTTGCCAGGGTTCCCAATGTAGCATTCATGTTTACCGGCCAAGGGTCCTTCTACGTCGGACTGGGAAGAGAACTCTACCTTCACGTGTCCTCTTTCCGAGACGACATGACACGATTCGAGAAGATGGCTATTCGTCAAGGCTTTCCCAGTTTCCTTGATGTCGTCCACGGCTCGCAAGCCACCGAGTCGCCTGACCCGGTTGTCTCTCAGCTCGCCATTACCTGCCTCCAGATGGCCCTCTCAAGACTGTGGATTTCTTGGGGTGTGAAGCCGAGCTTCGTCATTGGACACAGTCTGGGCGAATATGCTGCTCTCTTTGCAGCCAATGTCTTATCCGCCAGTGACACCATCTTCTTGGTGGGTACACGGGCGAGGTTACTCACACGGCATTGCAAGCCTGGCACCCATTCGATGCTGGCTGTCAAGGCATCTGTGGATGTCATCCGACCTCTGATTGAAAACTTCAAGGCCGAAATCGCTTGTTTGAATCAACCTACTGGAGTGGTTGTGAGCGCCGAGGTTGAAGAGATCAGTCAGTTGACCCAGGTCTTCAAGACCAACGGGCTAACTACGACACAACTTGATGTCCCCTTCGCTTTCCACTCGGCGCAAGTCGAGCCCATACTGGAAGAGTTTGAATCAAAAGCACAGGCAGTGAGGTTCTACTCCCCATCTATTCCATATGTCTCCCCCCTACAATCAGAGGTCATCTCCAAGGGGTGTGTTCTGAACGGCGCGTACCTTGCCAAGGCATGCCGTCACACAGTCAACTTCCAGGCCGCATTGGAAGCAGCCACAAACAGTGGAATATGCAGCGAAAAGACCATCTGGTTGGAGGTTGGCCCCCATCCAGCGTGTTCCGGCATGGTCAAGGGGACCCTGGGCAGCAATTCCGCTACTACATCGACACTCCGAAAAGACACAGACACATGGAAGGTCCTATCTACGACCCTTGAACAGCTTCATCTAGCCGGTATTCAGATCGACTGGAATGAGTACCACCGAGGCTTTGAAAAGTTCAACCGCGTGCTTGAGCTGCCGAGGTACAGCTGGGACCTGAAGAACTACTGGATCATGTATCGGAACGATTTTTGTCTCACCAAGGGCGAGGGTACACAACCTGCAACTGCGGTCTCGGATGTTCCAAAGCCCATCAAGTACATCTCCCCTTCTCTTCAGAGGATTATCGAGGAAGAACACAGCAACGAATCTTCGTCGATTCTGGTCGAGTCGGAGGTTCATGACCCGAAACTCGTGTCCGTTTTTACGGGCCATCGGGTCAATGGTGCACAACTATGTCCTTCTGTAAGTCAAATTCACTGCGCTTGTGGAAATCCCTGTACTAACAAGGTATTAGTCACTCTGGGGTGATATTGCGATGCAGCTCACCCACTACATGATGGAGAAGCGATCATTGTCAACGAAGAACACAGGAATGGACGTCACCAGAATGCAGATACAAAAGTCGCTCATCCTCAGCCCAGATCTCAGTTCCCAACTGTTCAGGGTATCAGCAGTAGCAACATGGTCTACCAGCTCAATCAAGTTTTCCATATTCAGCGTCAACAACCAAGGGGTTAAGGCCGTGGACCACGCCACCTGCACTGTCAATATTTCTCCCGCCAAGATTTGGACCAGCGAGTGGAATAGAAACGCCTATCTCATCCAGAGCAGAGTCGAGGCTCTCCGAAAGTCTGTGGAGCATGGCGAAGCCCATCGGATGAAGCGAGCCATTGTCTACAGGCTCTTTGCCAACATTGTGGAATACGACCCCGAATACCAAGGAATGAGAGAAGTGATCCTCAACAGCGAGGATCTCGAGGCCGTTTCAACAGTCAAGTTTGAAGTGGATGACCAAGGCTTCTACTTTAACCCAAAGTGGATGGACAGTCTTGGCGGAGTTGCCGGCTTCATCATGAACGGCAATGACAGCCCTCATCCAAAGGCTGAAGTGTTCATCAATCATGGATGGGATGGCTTCAAGTGCATCTCGAGATTTCAGCCTGGGAAAACATATCACAGCTACAACAGAATGCAGCTTCGTGAGGGCACGCTGTATGCGGGGGATACCTACATCTTTGATGGAGATGAGATTGTTGCCGTGATACAGCAGATTCAGGTATGTCAAATTAGCTTTCATCCAGGGTATTTTCTGACCATTTTAGTTCTTGGGGGTTCCACGTCGAGCTTTGGATGGCTTGAAGCCCATGTCCAAGTCAAGTCAGAGACCAGCAGCACCATCCAGGAGTACAGCACAAACTGTCCCAACTCCAAAGCTGGTGGAAAAGAAGCTCTTCCCATCTTCGATACCTCCACAATCCGCCCCATCTGCCTCTAGTGGAGTCTGGCCGGGGATACTAGGCATTATTTCAGAAGAGGTCGGCGTTAGCATCGGCGATCTCAAGCCTGACACAGAATTTGTGGAACTCGGTCTCGACTCCCTCCTGTCCCTCACGATCACGGGTCGTATACGCGATGAGTTGAATCTAGACCTTCCTTCTACCATCTTCGCCGAGTGCCCTTCAGTCCGAGACCTTCAGCAACTGCATGGATCTGATGCTGCACCATCATCGACAGTCACCGACGTGAGCGATGAGGAGAAGTCGGGCACATCAACACCAGACACTTCCCTAGCTTCAGAGCCCGAGGCTTTGGATCATGTCCATATTCTCCGCTCCACAATATCTGAAGAAACCGGTATCAAGTTGCAAGATCTCTCGCCTTCAACTCGCCTGGATGAGATCGGCGTCGACTCACTCCTGGCCTTGACGACTATGGGCAGGTTGAGTGAGATATTCGAAGTTGAACTTCCATCCTCTCTTTTTGCAGACAATGAGACTCTTTTGGAAGTTGAGAAGGCCATCGCTACAGCTCTAGGGTTGGATACAAAACCAACACGAGTTACAGCCCCTGAATCACTGCCTTCTCCAACCACGAGCGATCCAGTGGTTCGTGATACACCTCACGCGACTTCCATTCTGCTTCAGGGGTCGGCCAGCTCCGCCACTTCAACTGTTTTCATGTTCCCAGACGGATCGGGTTCCGCATCTTCATATGCTACTCTCGCTCGCATTGACCCGAGGGTGGCCATCTACGGACTCAACTGTCCCTGGCGCACAACTCCCCAGGACATGGCCCGGTCTGGATGCACCCTTGTCCAACTCTCGGCCAAGTACCTGACCGAAATCCGACGCCGACAGCCAAAGGGCCCGTACAACCTCGGCGGATGGAGCGCGGGGGGCATCTGCGCCTTCGAGGCGGCCAGACAACTCGTTGCCGCTGGGGACACAGTCGAGAACCTGATCCTCATCGACTCACCGAACCCAATCGGGCTGCAGAACCCGCCGGCGCGCATGTACGACTTTTTCCAGCAGCTCGGCATCTTTGGGTCTGGGGGCAATGTGCCCAAGTGGTTGCGCCCGCACTTTGACGCCTTTATCGGCATGCTCGACGACTACGAGCCAGTCCCGTGGCCAAAGGGCTCAGGCGAGGCCCCCAAGACCTTGATGCTGTATGCAAAGGACGGCGTCTGCAGTGATCCAGACGGCCCCAGGCCCGAGATCCGCCCTGATGATCCGCGCGAGATGATCTGGCTGCTCAACGACCGGACTGACTTTTCCGCCAACGGCTGGGCATCGTTGCTGGGGAGGAGTCGCATCACGGTGGAGGTTCTGGAGGGAGTCCACCACTTTAGCATGATGGATGCAGGGAGGCAGATGGATAAGATGGGAGAGCACATCAGGAAGGCGGTTTTATAAGAATGAACACTGGGGTTGTGAGATTTGTTTCTAGGTGCAGGCGCATGTTCTCAGGTGGGATTCAAGGAGGCCAACTCCTGTCGTTCTTTTACCTGATTTATTCTTCAATTCATGACAATCTCAATACATCATCCGTCTTGAATCAGTGACGCAGATAAGAACTAGTCTTATAATTTGGGTGCAACGGTCCCTCGCTGAACTGCAGCCGAGATCCGGAATAGGGGATAAGCATGATGATCCGTGTATCAGATTGTCAAAAGTCGATATGTAAAGGGAGGCAGAAGAAGAGCGGTCTGATACCCGAATGGTTCTCGGCGGCACCTCTTAAAGCCATGTCGGTCTGCCAAGGTCGAAAGTGCAGATCCGTTCCGACTGGTCCAAAACATCTGGTGCTGTGTCAGGTCATGGAGTTGTCACCTCCAGCGACTTCCGAGCCGATATTAGTACAGTCCCATGTACGACCTCGTCGGGCACCCAGCAAAGTTTTTATCCTTGTAAGTAAGCATGATTAAAGTCATACGTTTACCGGTCTTCCCCATGCAGCAGCAAAAATTAGGGTTGCAGGGCCTGCGGTGTAGATCAACCGGCCGGTCGGGAGCGGGGCGGCTTTCGGGCCGGGCACGTCGGGGTAGAATTCCAGCGGGAGACAGGCAACGGCAGGTCGGCGACTGAGTGGGTCCACGGTGGGTCCGCAGCGGCTCCAACATGCCCGGCCGAGAGCCCGAGTTCCGTGAACAGGCCGGCTATCACATGGAGGGGATAAGAACTTTTTTTCCCCTTACCCAGATGCGCCCACCAACATGCCAAATCTCGATCGGGGACCTGGAGACCGCTCTTCCCTGCTGGCCAACCAGATGTCTCCTTCGGGGGTTTCTGCAACCCGTCAGAGGCCGCTCCGGCCGACTCCCGTCGTTAGCCAGGCAATTCTGCTACACTGATCTCTCCACGGCCCTATCATGGACTCTACCCCGGCGAGCCTTGTTTCTGTGGACAGACTCCACTCCCGTCTTCGCCGTCTCCCGCCCTGATAACTTTACCGTCTGCCGGCTCGTTGGTTCCTTCCTGAGCCGCCCGGCGGCCGGGGGCACCTCGTATATATCCTGGGGATCCCGTCTCGCTTGTCTCTCTCTAGAATTCCTCCTTTTTTCACAAGGTTTTTCTATACATCACCGTTTTATGCTGGGCCGTTGAGACTTGCATCATGGCGTCCCAAAAGGCTTCACACTTTGTCACCAAGACGGTCCTCGGCATTGATGTCAACGAACGATACTCCCGCATGCCCCAGGACCTCGATCAACGCGCGAGAGAGACCATCACACCCGCCGACCTCTTCCTGGAGCAGGAGCCAACGATATCCGAATTCTTCAAGGAGTTTGCCCCCTCACGAGACGGTGTCCATCAATACTTCCAAGGACTCTTCCCATCAGCTGCATGGGTTCCTAGATATTGCCTCAGCTGGCTACTAGGTGATGTTACTGCCGGTAGGTTGAGCTTACCTAACTCCTAGTTCTGTTCTAAACTATGTAGGCATCACTATCGGCCTAGTTGTTGTCCCCCAAGCTCTAGCCTACGCCCTTCTCGCCCAGCTCACACCCGCATATGGCCTTTACACATCATTTACCGGTGCCGTCTTGTACTGGCTCTTTGGAACTTCAAAGGACATTGTCATTGGTGTATGTACTATACCTTGACTCAACCCTTCAGCACTAACACACCCCAGACAACAGCCGTCGGTTCCCTTCTCGTCGGCCAAGTCATCAGCCATGTCGATAGCGCTAAGCCCGGAAAATACTCCAACGAAGAAGTCGCTCACACTTTGAGTTTGATGTCTGGCGCAGTTCTCCTCTTCTTCGGTCTGTTCCGTCTTGGTTGGATCATCGAGTTCATCCCCTATATCCCCATCTCGGCTTTCATCACCGGTGCTAGTATCACTATCATGTCGACACAAGTGCCCGTCCTACTTGGCCTTTCGGAGATCAACACTCGCGAGTCCCCTTACAAGGTCATCATCAACACCCTCAAGGCCTTGCCCGATACAAAGCTTGACGCCGCCATTGGTTTCTCCTCGATTATCCTCCTGTTCGGTATCCGAGATATCTGTGCTTTCATGGAGCGTCGCCACCCTCAAAAGAAGCGTGTCTGGTCCTACATCTCATCTCTCCGAATGACTTTTGTCATGCTTCTCTTCACTCTCGTTAGCTTCCTCGTGCATCACGGTGTTCCTTTTGAGGAGAGCAAGTTCCGAATCGTTGGCAAGATCGACCCAGGTATGCACCATGAATACTTATAAAAGACATCAAGCTGACATACAGACAGGATTCAAAAAGGCCGGCCTGCCCTCGCCCGACACTGAGCTGCTTAAGCTTGTCATGCCTCAACTGCCTGCCGTTGCTATCATTCTGGTTATTGAGCACATCGCCATTGCCAAGTCGATGGGCCGACTGTACGACTACACTGTCAGTCCTTCGCAAGAGATCGTGGCCCTGGGTGCTGCCAATCTGTTCAGCCCTTTCATGGGAGGTTACGTGTGCACAGGCTCCTTCGGAGCTTCAGCTGTCCTCTCCAAGGCTGGTGTGAGAACACCTCTGGCAGGTCTCTTCAGCGCACTGGTTCTTGTCTTGGCGCTATATGCCCTGACAGTGGTATTCTACTACATCCCCAAGGCTGCTCTTGCCGGCTTGATCATTCACGCTGTTTGCAACCTCTTGGCACCTCCCAAGAATCTCTACAAGTACTGGCAACTCTCGCCCCCTGAGCTGCTCATCTGGATCATTGGAGTCATCCTGGCAGTCTTTGAGTCTCTTGAGATCTCCATCTACGTTGGTATTGGCCTTTCTATTGCCCTTCTCCTCTTCCGCCTTGCCCGCACACGAGGCAAGTTCCTCGGTCGTGCGCGAGCTCATCGCATGGTCAACCACGGCAACCAACATACCCTGAGCCGAAGATCAAGCCATGCCACTCTTCTCCATGACGAATCTGGTCGTGACGTGTTCCTACCCCTCGACCATAAGGATGCCTCAAACCCCGACATCGATGTCGAGTCACCTTACCCAGGTGTTTTCATTTACCGATTCAGCGAAGGATACAACTACACCAACCAGGCCTATCACGTCGACACACTGGTTACTCACGTCATGGAGAACACCAAGCGTACCTCTGAGGAGCACTTTGAAAAGGAATCCGATCGCCTCTGGAATGACCCTGGTCCCAAGGGACAAAAGAAGAATGGTGACGACCTTCCTTTCCTCCGCGCTATTGTTCTGGACTTTTCTGCTGTCAACAACCTCGACATTACCTGCATCCAAGGCCTCATGGATCTCCGCAACTCTCTTGATCGGTATGCCTCCCCCGACGCTGTGGAATGGCACTTTGCAAATGCCAACAACCGCTGGACTCGTCGCGCTCTCGCCAGTGCTGGTTTCGGATACCCTTCTTCTAAGAATCAGGAGGCGCTCGGAAGCTGGGTGCCTTCATACTCTATCGCGGCGACATTGATGGACAAGGACGTGCAATTGCCCGGTGATACTAATCGACCAGCCGATATCGAGGCAGCCACAGAAACTTCGAGCTCATCGGATTGTTCCGAGTCTAAGCTGCCATCGAACTCATCAGATGAGCTTTCTATGATGACCAAGAGCACGCATGTGCACGCCCAGTCCCCCCAGCCTCAATCCATGGCAGCCATTTTTGGTGTTGACAGGCCATTCTTCCACATCGATCTTGTTGATGCAGTGGATGCTGCAGTGCGAGATGCACGGAACAAGGATCAGAAACAGTAATAGGATACCATATTAGAGGCCAAGTTTTTTCACGACGACATGATTGGGTTTGGCACAGGCGTTTGGGAGAATCATTTTTAGAGCGAGGCATTGTTGCGCATTAGAATAGTGGCATACTAAAATCACCGCTCTAGATAGAAGAGGCCAAGGGATAATAGAAATAATACATGTTTCATGAAAGTTTTATCCTGTCCATGACTGTGATTGAAAGAATCAGGGATTTCTTGTATTCTTGCTACCCTATTGTTGCACCTATCTATCACCTTAGATATCTTTTCCCCGGATATCTAGACTCGTCCCTAAAATTAAGTAACAGGTAACTCTTCTGGAATTAGTGGAATTTCCTTGAGAAATGCATGAATAAAATATCCTGGTCAGATATGGTATCTTTCTGTCCAGACATCACCTCTTGATGATAGAATCCCAATGGTCCCACCCACTTAACACACGCATGCCTCAGGACAAAAGCGTGGACAATACCTAGTCATCCATTATATCCACGGCAATCTCACGCCCAATACTAAGTTACTCAGCCAAGTAAAAGACAAACTGACTCCCTATTCAAAAATCACGCCCCTCGCACAGCTCTTAAAGTTGACAGAGGTTGTCTAAAGAGCAAGGGAGGTTTCGTCATTCGGAGTTGCGGATGCTGACTAAATCAATGGCCCCTCCCCCGCGTTTTCAATTGACGCCGTTGAAAGACGTTATCTCAAAGCACACAACTTGACACCAACATAGTTGACAACCATCAACTGTTCTGTTGTCAAGAATCGTCATACTGCCCCATCTATCCTTGATTGCATTGCATTGATTTGATTTAACTGGATCTTATTTGAGTGATAACTGTGATACTCTTCCCCCCCGTCCTGCTCCCTTGTTGTCCTCGCCACTTCGCCTCCGCTCGTCTCTTATCTCCGGTTGAAGGTGACAACTATGACTTCCCACGATAGCGTCATTGACAGTCTACCAAATGAAGTGAGAACTTCTACGCGCTTGTATAGTCTATTCATTAAATGACTAACTATCATCAGATTTTTATCTCAATTCTATCTCCACTATCCTCCCAGGAACTCCTCCCACTTGCCCTCATAAATCGCCGCTTCTACTCCCTAGTCACTCGCGTTCTGCATCATCGCCTCCTCCAAACAGCCCCCCTGCCTGATAATAAGCTTATTCTGGAATGCTACCATCCTAGCGACCAGCTTTATACACCTTACCTAGCGTGCCAGTATCAAGGCACCATAACGCGTGACGGGCCCGCCGTCAGCGATGAGGCAACTGCGCTGGGTGACCTACAGCGCCTATATGCGTCGTTCAAACCCACCTTTGCAGAGGAGAATCGTCGGCCAAGGAGGATTAGAGCGAGGTTTACTGAGGCGCAGGCGTCCGAGGATTCCGAAGACGATTCCGCGACGCAGCACATTCATCTCGACGATGGCGAGCTGTTTTCTCAGCTATGCGCCGTTACCAACCTCGTTAAGGAAGGACCCAAGCGTGGGTTGTTTATAAGCCATGTTAACATCGTCGACGGTGTCGTACGAATCTTTCGAAACTGGCTGGCCGAAATGGCAAGCAAGCAGGACTTGTCGAGCGTGGGCCCCGAGAGTATCGTATGGATAGGTCGACATGACAACGTTGGAATACGCTTCCGAGTTGTTCCTGCGGCGTCAGAGACAATGCCTCTTATCTCGGGACCTGACGATGATCCGCCGGTCCATTATACCATGGTCTATGAGGGTAAGTTGCCAGAGACGAGTTTTGATTCGGGTCCTGGCTAACAACTGTCAGAACTTCTCGTGAGAGCTAGTAGCCTCTTGCAGGCTGTGGAACACTCGGCGGTTCAGGAGGTTGCAAACTCTGGAAAGACTCTTGTTATCCATGGGGCTGCACTGTTGTAGTTGATGAAACTTACCGTGGGCAACCCCACTAGGGCTAAGTGCTTGGAGATAGCCACTTCTTCGAGTATTAAGTTCTAACGGGATCGTTTAGCCGTGAGTTATGGAACAGTTATTAGTAGGGAGTCTTCCAGAAACTCAGAGGTTGCAAATGTGGAGTACAGAGCTGCTCTATTCCTTCTCAAAACCGGACCTGGGTGTAAGTGGGAGTCTCAGACATGGCCAAAATGGTCTCATCCAAGGTGTCAGTGTCGAGCAAGTGATTCAACTGATGCAGCACATGGCAGAAGAGACAACCATTTCGGCTCGGCCGAGGCTGGAGAGTAAGCACCGAAACTAGATTCAAAATAGGGAACCAGTGTTGATAGCTCGGGTTAAGTGTTGCGTTTTCGTGGCTTGAGGGTTGCATTTCATTTCATCACCAGCGCGTGATATGAGCTGTTAAGCCTTGATAGGCAAGCCTGAGATTGCCTCTCATCAGGGTGCAAGTTGAGGCCACGCCCAGTTGGTTCAGAAGGAATAGTCTAGCGACAAAAGTGGCGTCATCCCAAAGATCTCGAACAGCAAGGCCCTCTCCCTGACACCATCTGAGATGCTATGGACCCGGCCTTGAAGAAAAAAAGTAGGGATCGCGGGGAAGAACGCGGAGCCGCAGCCCCGTCCCGCGGCTATGTGGCACTGGATCTTGGGATCTTGGGGAAGACTACGAGAGAGGCAATAGGTCAGAGGCTTGGTAAAGGGCTGAGAAACCGGAGCCGTGGCAGAGAGGCACGGCGTCGGATCTCCGTGTGGCTGCGCGCCGCATCCGCAAGGACCGTCCGGGTTTAGACACGGGGGGATCGGTGCGCTCATCTACAGCCTTCCGCGGTGGACGCTAGATGTGTCTCAGAAGCCTTCTGGCTCCCTTGGAGAAGGAGAATGCTAATCTGAGAAGGAAAGATGTGAAGAGCCCGGGTCCCCCGGCGCCGGCGGTGGATTGCGTCCGCGATTGGCGCTCCTCCGAGGGACGGGCTTGCTCCTCCGCGCCTCCACCGCACAATGGGACCACTCCAATCTTTCGGCCCTGGATCTAGGCAACATGGGGGAGAGGGGAAATGAACCAGTGAGAGGAGGGTATTTTGCAAAAGGAGCCAGGATCTGGGTTGGAGGGCGGGGAAACATGCCAGAGTGACGCCGAGAATAAGAGGCCCTTTTGGAGCCCCCAGTTCCCCCTTCTCCCCACCATCTGGATCATCTTGGCTCGCGAGGAGATCGCAGACACGGATCTGCGGAGAAAGGCCCTCGCTCGCGCGGGGAAGGAGAATCACCCAGCCCTGGCGACTGCGGGGGAAAAGATGGGGGTTGAACCATTCTATGACATGAGATGTTTTTGGCTTTTTCATACTAAGAGTAATCCCTCAGCATAATAGAAGCCTTTTTCCTCGAGACGGAGGACAAAGTGCGAAGGACACGGCTGATGTTTGATGTCTGAGAGCAATCTTGATGTCTGTCGAGTAAGCCATAGCATTCGACTAATGCGTTATTCCGCATGTTGTTCTTTTCAGCTCTAGCTGTACGCACCCGTCGTTCATCTCTTTTTCCTCTCAACAAACCGTTCTTGCCTCTTTTCTCTGGCTACCCCAAGTGATACAGACCAGACGCAAGGCGTCGGCGTGGCTGCGGGCACACTGCGAGACGCGGATCGCCTCGCCGTGCCAAGCTTCTAGAAATTAACGCCATGTTATGCTGGTTCCCTAGCCGCCTGCGGCTATCAGCACTAGTTTGCAGTTTCCCACCGACTCCAAATTTATCTCTGCGGGCTGACGCTCCAGGCGGCATGACGGGTGTTTGCCTTGTCGTCTTTGCTCTGCAGACAACATGAAGTTCTGGATAGGCTTTTGGATCCAGTTTGATTTGAGTCGGATGCAGTACGAGATGATACCGGCTTGGGCTTGATTTGTCAGGGGCCCCGGGGCTTCTAAATGGTAGGTATGGAGATGGAGGCAAGTGGATGCGCTGTATGTAAGTGGGCTGGGATATGCCACGGACAACCTCCACCGCATCTACTACCTTACTCAAGAACGGCCAAGGCCACGTCCGCTCGTTTCTTGATCCCCGTTTAGCGACCTTGGCGCATCTCTAAAACGACGACGAGTCATGCTATTGTAACTAATGTATTATCCCGTGTCCGGTGCCTATTACACCGTCATGTTACGTCTTCGGGATATTTTTTTCTCTGGGCGAGGCGAGCCGCCGTCTGGGCGATAAACAAGAAATTTTGGGGTGGCAGGGCCCAGAGTAAGCTTTGAGAAGCGGGCTACAATGTGACAGTAGACTGCAAGAACCCCGGTCTCTTACTGCTGCGCTTGTTTTCTTGAGAGGAAAACTGGGACCGATGATGAGGGGATACAGGCTTCACAGAAACCTGTGTGGGTCTGATGGCAACCCTACTATGTATCTGAAGCCTCAGAAGGCCACGATGAACCATGGGCCAGCACAAAGTGGAGGACAAAGGCCGTTGGGCGGGACAAGTGGCTTGATCGAGGTGGCGGCAAACCACGCGAGGTTCTGGAGGGCGGCAAACAGGTGTGGCAACTCTGCGGCATCTCTCCTGTTTGCTTTGGGTCTGTGTGCCGCGCGGAGCATGGCCTGAGAGGACGTGAAATGACATGACGCGTGCTCTTTTGGTACAAGAAGGGGGTGGGAGGGAAACCAACTGAGAGGGACGAGGCTTTGTACGAGAGAGCGTGTAAGACCATTTGACCGGGGGATGTCATGCACCATCTGTCAAGCGTGTTGCTCAAACGGTGATGGAAGCCAGGGTCGGAATGAGATGCCTACACTGACAAGAGGAAGAGACAGAGGGAGAGGTCGAGAATGAGAAACTCCAACGCCTACGTGAAACATGTTGGCCGTCAGACCTACCTATGACGGAGCCGCCCGCACCCTCCAAATATTTGTCGACTAACTAAAAAAGAAGCATATTCGTTCGCTTCGGGCTGACATTCTCGGTCCCTCCCCGAGCTGTCACGGCTCACACATGGCACAAGCAGGCAGAGAGGGAGCGCCATCTCGCGTGGCCCGCACAACCACCAAGAAGGGAAAAACGAACCCATGGCATGTCTAGCGTTACATGACCCATCTGCCGGGCCCCATAGACGAATCCTACTGCAGCCAGGGAAAGACATGCACCAAAACGTGCCCCCAGGAGGATCATTCATGGTTACAAGGGCCGGTCGTCCCCCTGTACCCCCGTTCTCTCCTCGCCCAACATGCACCGTGACCCCAAACCCCGCAAGAAGGGACAAGATCGACAGATCCCCGAGACTGAAGCAGCAAATCTCTTTCGCTGCGTAGTGGACTCTGCCCTCCCCGCCAACGAACTGAACTGGGGGAAAAGAAAAGCCCCCTCCCCTGCGGGACAGGGAGTAACCCCCCAGTTGTTGCTCTCCGACTGGGGAAGAGTGAAAGACTCTTTTTCTTGAACGTGGTTCGTTGGCTTGGGGGCCTTGTCGGACGGACGGATGGATGGAATAGCATCCCATCCATATTGGAGACGAGGGTCCTCTACTACTCTACTCCTCCATACTGTATGCGCAGAGGTCGTCTCCTCACCGAGTGGCATCCTTGGCGAGAAAACGTGGGCGCAAGCATCCCCACACAGCCATGGCCTCCTCCTCATTTTTTTTCTTCTCGGGGTTGCATTCCCCCATACGGGGGAGTGAGGAGCGAGGTCATCGTGTGTGCGTGCTCGGGGCAAGATGAGAGTAGATTCAAATTAAGTATTAAAGGGCTATGGGATCCTCTTTTGCCCCAGGTTTTTAAAGATCATCATCCACAAGTTTCTTGCTTGCTTGCTTGCCTGCCTCTTTAAACAAGCTTCTCCTCCTTCTTGTTGCTTGTTCCATTATAAACAATCCCCCTCCATCATCTCATTCCCGTTTCTCGCTTCGACAAGCAAAAGTCTCCCCGTTGTTTCACCGTCACTCCCGGCTTCTGGGGTTCATCCCATTCTTGTCTCGCATCTTTGACGAGAATCTCTGGAGCCTCCCTTCTCCTCTGTTCCTTCCCATTGCCGAAATAGTCACTCTCGGCTGGTTGCTGCTTCCTTGTCCTCCATTACTTCCTTCCTCCCACGTTTTTTTTTTCTTCTGGGCTGTCACCACCTGACGCGGCTCCTTCTTCTCTCTACCCCTCGACTCTTAGTCTCTCTCAAATACAACCTCGATATATCTGAGGAATATTGTCACCATGAGCGACATTGATCGGAAAGAAGTCTTCGATGAGAAGGCCTCGACTCACGAGGTCGATCTTGTTAATGACCCTGATGCGGGTCTGACTGGGGAGGAGAGAAAGGAGGCTGTAAGTCACTATCTTTATATGGCAAAGCTGCTTATACTGACTATTCGCAGGAAAAGAAGCTTCTTCGAAAGATTGATACCCAGCTTGTTCCTTGGGTATGATTTCAGTATTAGAGTTAACGATCCATACTAACATCATATAGCTCTGCTTGCTCTACCTCGTTTGCTTCCTTGACCGAACCAACATTGGAAATGCCAAAATCGCAGGCCTCCTCGACGACATCGACATGAACACTTCTCAATTCAACGCTACCCTGACCATCTTCTACATCTCATATGCCGTCTTTGAACCCCTCGCCAACGTTCTCCTGAAGTGGTCCAAGCCCTCCATCTTCATCCCTGCCATCATGTAGGTAGCCGCGCTGACACAGTGTCCGTCGCCTATGTAATGCATGTTGCTGACTCTCCGGGTTCAGGGTTCTATGGGGCGGTGCCATGCTGGGCATGGGTTTCGTTCACAACTGGGACGGTCTCATGGCTGCTCGATGGTTCCTTGGTCTTACTGAGGCTGGGCTGTTCCCCGGTATCAACTACTATCTCTCATGCTGGTACAAGCGTTCCGAGTTTGGTGCCCGCGCCGCCTGGTTCTTCTCTGCTGCTGCTCTTGCCGGCTCTTTCGGTGGCCTTCTGGCTGCTGGTATCCAGAAGATGGACGGTATCTCTGGCATTGCTGGATGGGCGTGGATCTTCATCATCGAGGGTCTTCTCACCATCCTCATCGGTATCGCCTCATTCTGGATGGTGCATGACTTCCCTACTGAGGCTAAGTTTCTCACCGAAGAGGAGCGACGCCGAGTCATCTACCGACTTGCTTCTGACCAGCAGTCGTCTGCCAAGAACGAAGATTTCAAGATGAAGTACCTCTGGCAGTCGCTCACTGACTGGAAGACCTACTGCGGCATGCTCATCTACATGGGTCCCCTGATGCCTCTCTACTCCTTCAGCGTCTTCCTGCCCACCATCATCCAGAACATGGCCTTCACTGACAAGAAGGCTGT